ACAGGCATTTTTGTAATATTTACAGTGTTTCAGTGTTTGGAGCACTTTCTTTTTTTATTTACCAATGTATGGAAAATGTATACAGTAATTGGAAGCCAAGAATCACAAGGCAGAAGATCCCTGAGGATCCCTTCAAGGCAGCCTTCCAGGTTGCACCCCGCCCCCCAGTCTTAACTGACTCCAAATACAAACTCTGTACACATAGTCTCCCTCTTTCAAAACTGCAAAATGAAAAAGAGAAACTATTTCTTCACAAACAAATGCCTTACATTTTCCCCATTCTCAGAGCTGGAGAGGTGTAATTTTCCCAAGTTCTAGTAATGCTCTTTAAAACACAAAAAAATTGCTTCTATACTAAAGCCCCTCAGTGCTGCTGAGACATTGCTTTCCCATAATTACATGGGTGAAATTAAACGTTTTACACAGCTCAAGGTAATGTTACATTTTATTCATCAACACGCACCCCTTTCCACACAATTAAAAAAACCTTCTATAATATTCACAATTAAGTCCTGGTTGGCAGATCCCCTTTCTGGTCCTAATTGCAAATGGGCTGACTGCAAGTCCTTTTCATTTTAACTCTTTCTCTTGATCACAGCCATGAGATTGGTAAATGTCCTTTTAGTTGCATCTTCAATAGTCTTTCTTAAAGCTCATCAGCTTTTCTGTGGAAAGCCACTGCATACCACTGAACTGCAGCAAACATCAACCAAGCTTTCTTGGGATTGACATTTGCTTCAATCTAGAGGTAAACAGTGGGTTTTCCAGAGGAAAGCAGTGGGGCAAATGGAAAATCAGTCAGACCCATGCCCAGAAATATGGGATAAATGAGGAACTGCTTGGACCCACACTTTCTAGGCATGGGATAAGCAGAAGAGTGGACAAACCCTTAGTTGTCCCAGCACCAGTTTCTGTTCCCCTATGAAGGGTGGAAGTTTCAACTGCTCATTTATTCTCTCTCTATTTTTGTAATAGTGAAATTGTACTATTTTGTTACAAACAGAAAGAAACATATGCAAGGAAACCAGTAACCGATTCATTACAGATCAGGAGAAAGCAGAAATCAATGAAATGGGTGAGACCTGCACATGGGATATTTAGAATTAAAGGCACGGGAGTTCTAAAAATCCTCAACAGCAGTTGGTCCTGCAATTGTGTTTTCTTGCAGAACAACATTGTCACTAATTGCATTTGAAAAAGAATATTCCATACAGGAAAACACTAGACATCAACACTATGGCAGTGACACTGTTCAGATGTGCCATAAAAAATGCGTAAACAAAGGATGGTGGTTCCAGTAATGTAGAAGCAACTGTCAGTCCTCAAATATCTCCTTATCATTAGCTCCCATTGAGGAAAGCAATCAAGCAACCATCCTGGGGCACTGAACCATAATCTTCCTTTAGAAAGAGAAATGAGCAGCCAGAAGCAGCAAAAGTGCTTTTCCAGTGATCTCTCCTCCAAAGGAAACGGCTTGCTCATGAAACTTCCTGCTCCTTAGGAAAGTGGGTGTCTAAATAGGTCCAGAGGGACAGCCACAGTACATAACTTCTTTCAGGGTCACCCAGAAGTCCTCCTTTGGGACCTCAGAAAGGGCAAGGGAAGTTCTGGTATTGCCTCATACATCTTCCAGAATCTAATGACTTATTCCCAGTTCCGTCCCTAAGCCATACATACCACTGCAAAGAAGCTCTTCCTTTATATCGAGGCTTCCTTCAACACCACTCTTTCATCTCAGAGTGTTTTCCCACAGCTTGCTTACATGCAAAGCCCATGTCAACCCATCCCTAACCCTTTGCTCCCATCTGGCCGTACTGTCCAAGCCCAAGTTATAGAGCATTGTTCTTCACCAAGCTTTTCCACCCTTTCTATTCTATAACAGTTCCTAGCTGAATGCCCCATGAGATCTGTCCAAATGACAACCTGTGGTGTGCGGGGATTCCCATCCACAAGTGTGCAAGACCATTGTTCATAAGTCACTTACCTCTAAGCAGCAACATGCAAAGATGCTTCATGTAGTTGTGGTTTGCAAAGGGAAAACACATAAAAAGGCTTCTTCTAGATGAGGTAGGAAAGGCACAATTCTAGTAAATTCTCACTTCTGCATAGAGTTCCAGTTTTTAAATTACTGCCTTAACTTGCATGTGAAAGTTGCATGCAGCTTTGTAGTAAGAGTGAAAGAGGAATTGTGTCCTGAAGTGGAGTAGTGAGTAGTGAGTAGTGAGTTCTGCTATACCCTTTGTAACTAAGTTTATCCAGTAGAGATACTACTTGTATGAGACTTAGGGAGAGAAGTTAGCTTGAGGAGCAGGGAAAGAAATACTGGAAAAGAGAATGGCTAAACATGCAGTTCTAGCACCAGGATGGTGAAGCAAAGAGGTACTGCTAACTGGCTTTTTTCTCCCTTTTTCTCTAGGTTAGTTTTCAATGGGCTTATAATTTCATAGCAATGTATTCTGTGCAACCTGGAGAACCCACACAGATAAAAGCTGACTTTTCCCCATTTGAATGGGTATTGTTAGAGGGTTCAAATGAACATCTTAGAGGTAAAGGACATCATGGTGTGATTTTCAGGAGAAGAGTGTGTCTTTGTCTCTGTGTGCATATGGTATGGTCTGTATGGTGACAATGCCATGGAACAATAGTTGCTCATCTCCTGCTGGGTCATATTTCAAAATGATTCTAGGATGTGCACCAAGTGATTAGACCAGGGACAGGATTCAAGCCGTGTCTCATACACACAGTGTCTGAGGTGCCTCAACCGCTTCAGTTTTTCACCCAAACCCACCAAATTATCACCACTTTGTCAATGAGTAACTGAAAAAGAAGGGGCAAAGCAACAGGTTCTCCAGTTTCCTATTTGAGTGTTCAGGCCCACATAATGTTAATTGCATGAGCCAAGATAGCTGGTCCACACATATTCATCCCACCTCCACATCACAGGTCATGAGTTTGGTAGGTTGCACCTACCAAATGCATAAACAGTACTGAATAGGGGCAGGGCTGTCTTTACCCAGGGGTGCAAGGGGTGCGGGGCACCTGGGTGCCGAATTCAGGGGGGCGCCAGGCACCTGCCGCTGAAGCCACCTAAGCTCTTAACTATCTACCTGTTATGAAATAATAAAGAATTTTAATCAAGCTAGAAAAACAGAATACATATATTCCTAGGCATTACCGAAATGTATACCTACTGTTTCACTAAAGGACATTTGACTTTGTGCGCTCATTTACCAAAGATGCGCCACGCCAGTGGCGGCGCTTGTCATTCACAACGGCGCGCTTGTCAGACTCAATGATAGCGCTTGTCATTCTCAACAGTGCTGTGCACGCAAAATTAACTAAATTTGGGGGCGCTGGGCGGATCTGTGCACCCCGGTGGCACATATGCTAAAGACGGCCCTGAAGATGTGTCAGCCCAGGACACAATGTGGGAGTAGGCTGAGCACAGCCACACTCCCATGGTTCATACAATTGACATTTTGTGGGCCTTCACATACAAAGAGAGTTCCTGCAAACCAGGGATAGGGAAGCTGTGGCCCTCCAGATATTGTTGGAGTACAGATCCTATCCCTGACCATTGGCCATGCTAGCTGAGGCTAATGGGAGTTGAGCAATGCTCAACAGTGCCCTACACTGTCATTCTAATATATTCACTTGCTTTTAACTATTTAGGGTTACATTGCTTTTTCATACAAGCAGGACCAAATTTGTGTATAAGATAGAAAGCATATATTTTATAAGGCTGTACCAGTGTTTTTCTACTACCTAATGAACTCTTTATAGCTGTGGTGGGTAGGTGTTTTAATGCTGGTCTTAGACTTTAAATATGGGCCATCAGGAAAGAAAGTCTTGACATTCGTGCCACATGGGGTAAACACAGTGCTGCCTTATGGACATCAACAAAGATGTCCTGAATTGTGTGAGGAAGTTGCCTTTCTGTGCATAGCTTTACATGAAGCTGTACAGGAGAACCTGTCCATTTATTCACCTATACAAATAACTCAGGGCAGAATTAAAGATGTATTGAGATGTCTGTTGCTAGAAGCAGCAGCCACCAGGTACTGAGGAAACTTCAGGAGCGAGGGCAAAACGGCTTCCCTCAATAATTAACGGATACTAATACAAGGTCTGGGGTGCTCTGGTCCATGGGGTCATGAAGAGTCGGACACGACTAAATGATTAAACAACAACAGTACAAGGTCAGTTATTCCCCAAACTTTAAAGAAAGAAAATTGGGGTGGAAAGACCAAGGTAAAGGTTGTTTTCATGGAGCCAAGTTGTAACAAGTACAATATATAAAACTGTGGTACATATTTAATGTTTCCATGTTACATAAGATGGGCACCTTAATCTCAAATTCCCATGCTTTTTGATACATGAGTGAATTTGTATGCACCTGATCTCTAATATTAATCCAAATGTATACATATTAATTCAAGACTCTTAAAAGGCTTCAGAATAAAGTGAAGTGAGTAGACCAACTGATAAGAGTGTGACAACACTCCACATATAAAATAGTTTCAAGCACTTACCTGCCCTAGCAAAGAGATTCTGGGAACTGTATTTCTTCTTTGAAGAGATGCAGAAGCTTTAGCAAAGCCTTCACTTAGCATTCAGTTCCAGAGTTCATTGTGGGAATTATCATGATAACTAAATAGGCTTTAAACAAGTGTCAAGATTTTTAATGTGGCTGACATTACATTAGAGATGTGTATAAAAAGTGTACCTCTGTGAAAAGATTCCCTGCATTCCCCAATGCGAATTGCAGAATACCAGGTACCAGTGTCTGCATGTCAAACAGTAGGCAGTTTTGATCACCGCAAGTACCTCTTTAAAAAAAACCAAACAGTGATCACTAGATGGACAATGTATGATTCCCAAATATCTTTCAGAGAGATGGAAGCCCTTTTCAGAGGAGCTGCTGGAATAAATTGGAAGCAAGAAGAGTGGCCAGCATCTTCCTGCTCTTCCTGTTTCTGAGCCCACCTTTCTGCAAGGCGATGCTCACCAGCAAATGTCAGATCACTGAGGGCTGGCTACGACCACACACATCTGAACCCCTATCCCTCTGTCTCTCTGCTTCAGATGCGGGTCTGGTTGCATTCTGTAGCAATGTCACCTCCTTGCAAGAAGATCTGGCTACTGTTCCTGAGCTGGTGAGTGCCCTTTGTTTCTCCGGGAGTGTTGTCATTTATGAACGAGCTTTCTCATCTTTTCCAGAACTTAATCACCTGAGCATCAACTTGAAGGCACCTGTTATCTCACCCAGGGCTTTCCTGGGCCTGGACAAGCTACAATACTTATCAATCCACCACTCAGATACAGGATGCAGCAACAGCTCCATCCCAACTCAAGCCTTCCACCAATTAGAGCAACTGCAGACTTTGAACATGAAGGGCATCTATCTCACAGGACAGCGAGGGATAAATCTTCCAAGTCACTTAAAATCGCTTTCCATTTCTGGATGCTGCTTAGACCAATTTTCAGAGCTGTTCAGCATTTTCCCATCTTTGCAGTCAGTGCCTCACGTGTCTGTAGATAACTGTGAAATAGGGAGGTTTCCCCACTCTTTGTATCTGAGGCAACATCCTAACTTCTCAAGCTCTAGGGTCCCATCTTCTCAATCACAGGAAAGAACGGGTCTTTATTCTCAGAACAAAAGCTCACTTCAGTCCCTGGTGCTGAGCCATTTCCCTCTGGCACTCAGTGAGCTTCTATCCTTAGAAATAAAAGAACTTGATGCACTTTCGTTGGAGAAGACACACCACATGCATGAGAACCAGACTTTTCAGGTCTGTGCTCTGGCCTCCCATTTCTCCCTCCGATCTCTGTCATTTTCATTGAATTACTACAAAAACTTCAACAGTGAAGAGCTTCCTGGCTGCTACTCTGTGGAGAATTTGGTACTTGAGGATAATAAAATGGAGCAAGTAGATCCCTTGCTTCTGTATAAGCTCTTCTATCTCCAGCTGTTAGATCTTTCTGGAAATAATCTTTACTGGAACCTTTGCCCACTGCAGTATGAGAAGATGAACTTTAACTCCCAGCTGAGGATTCTTGATTTCTCTGGTAACAGATTTAAAAGTCCCCAATCTACTGTATTCTCCTGACTGTGGGTTTGAGAACATTCCAGTATCTGCCTTCTCTAGACTTGGCCAACTTAAGGTTTTAAATCTGAGAAACAATCGATTACGCAACCTTGCAAATGCCTCTTTCTATAAACTGTCCAGTCTGGTATCCTTAGACTTGTGTGGCAATCCCATCACACAGTTTGAAAGCGATTCATTCCAGGGTTTGGCTTTTTTGAGAGAACTCCAAATAGGCTTTCCATATTTTCAGGAAGGGGAAGAAACCCTGAGATTCTCAGTGAAAAATGTAGAAAGTCTTGCATTGCAAAATTTTTCATCAATTGCCTTATACAATCCACCACAGTCTGACTTTGCTTCAGTGCAGAATATGACTCTAAGTGGCTGCTTTGAATTTTAAAACTTGTCTCATAACACATTTTTCCCCAATGTGCGATCGATGCATTGGGAGCCAGCTTTGGAATGTGATTCTTCTAAGCCCCTCCATCTGCTTTTCCCTGTGCTGGAGCAGCTTGTTTACAAGTATAAGTTAGAAGCAAGATCTACTGAATGGAATTTCAACATGTCTCATCTGTCCAAGCTGCAACTCCTTGAGGTGCACAACCTGCCTGAAGTACCTTACGGTTCCTCTGCACCAGAGATGCAGTCCCTCTTCATGGATCTGCCCCAGGTGGAGGCCCTGAGAATGGTGAACAGCAACATCAGGTACATCTCAGCAAAGTTCTTCAGAAGAAAGTGCAAACTCAAGCAACTCGTGCTAGAGAAGAAGGCCTTCCTGGAACTTGACAGTGACATTCAGGATCAAATACTGGGACAAATGCCTCTCCGCTACTTGCATTTTTCCAGTGTCACCTTCAGGTGTGACTGTTCAAGTGCCTGGCTCATTGACTGGGCCATCAGAAGGAAAGAGATTTATGTATTTGGGCTGGAGCATGCAGACTGTCTGGATGTCCAAAGGAGAGAAAAGAAAGGCAACTATCTGTCTTTCATAGAGCAGAACTGTAGTCAGGATGTTGGCTTCCTCCTTTTTGTTTCAACCTCCTCGGTGCTGTTCCTCCTTATTTCACTCCCTATCCTGAAAGCCACTTGCGGCTCAGAGCTTCTTTTCCTGATCTACATCCTGAGAGCATGGTGGCATGGACTGTTGAATAACAGAAAAGGCCAGAGGTTTGAGTATGATGCTTTTGTGTCCTACAGCAGTCAGGACCAGGAGTGGGTGTTGCAGCACTTGGTGCCCAATCTGGAGCAGAAGGGACCCCCCTTCCTGAAGCTCTGTCTCCACAACCGGGACTTTGTGGTGGGCAAGGCCATTGTGGACAATATCATGGAGAGTCTTTACAGCAGCTACAAGACCATCTGTGTTATCAGCCACCATGCCCTCAACAGCTCCTGGTGTTCTCTGGAGATGACCCTGGCCACATACCGTCTTGTGGCTGAGCAAGAGGATACGTTGATCCTGTTGTTCATGGAGCACATCTCCAGATACCGTCTCTCAGCCTATCATCATCTGGCAAAGCTGGTGAAGAGGAAGGCATATCTAGACTGGCCTCAGGAGCCAGCTGCCCAGGCTGCCTTTTGGGATAGGTTGAGGAAGATACTGAAGCAACACTGTGGTGGGGAGGAACCAAAGCTTTAAGCATTCTGTGTTGTCCAACTTGGCTATGCAGTGAGCATCCAACAAACTTCTGCCCAACGAGATTTGTTTCTTATCTTGCAAAATAATTAGTTGTGAAAAGATGTAGGCAAGCTTAATGGAGTCTTGACCAGAGAAACCAAGAGAGTTCACATACAGACACAAACACTGCTAAATCTTGTTCCCACATAACGTTTTTGTTTACTCGGATGTGTCCTATTTCTATGTAAATGAAGGAATGTTATATCATGGATAGCATTATTGTCAAATATTTTCCTGCTTGTGTGTAATGTACACAAACTCTGAGGTCTAACCTACACAAACACTGCATTACACTTGAGTGTGCAGAAGCATCATAGAATTAAGCCTTCTTTCTTGGCAACAATTTTATTACAGAAATTTCATCAACCATACAGTACAATAAATATACATATAATATCCTGTATAATTCATTATTTTAACAAGCCAAACCGTTTTTTCCTGCATTCACCATATTTAAAAAATCCATATATTTACTCTCAGGTCTTGGTCTGCTGGAAACATAAAGCATTCTGGTTTCTTTGCTTTTAAAGTCCTTTGGTACAGCTGACGTATTGCTTTTTCTCTAAATAGTTGAAAGGGTAATTAAAATGGAGTTTCCAGCATATTAATATAGCACTATATCATGCAGCAACACCCTTCCTTTGTGGCCAAGATCCTCATATAATATTTACCCCCAAGAAAGTCCCATTCAGTTAAAAGTTTGTTACTTGCAGTTCAGCTTGTTCAATTGCTTCCTATTAATTGCACCTGGGAGATGAATGATCACCCCGTGAATAGTCTCTCAGAATTGCTCCACTGACAATTTCTGTTTCTGAGGAAAGATGTTTTGATTACTGATCTCTTTTCTTTTCTTTACTGGTGAAACAGCACTATTTGGAGAGTGGGAATAAATATTACAGAAGGAAACTAGTAATTAAAGCAATAACAGAAACTGACATTTGGGTAATTCTGAATGGTAAATTAAAGAGGCAATTAATAGGTTATTTAGCACCAATCCCCTAATCAGGGGGCAAAACAAGATCTGAAAAGAGGAACTGCTGAAACTTTAAGCCTTAAATTTATAGGGATATGTTTCATCTCCCTGTAGCCTTCAGTTTAGTCTGCCATAAGTAAAAAAGCCAAGCTGTTCACTGACACTGCTTTAAAGATCCTCTTGACAAAGAAGAACCTACAGCTGTTTTTGGACTATGTGAAGTTAAGGACAGCATTTCCATCCACACTACTCTAGTGCTGGAGCTCTAAATAGCAGCCATGGGAATCTTGTGGGAGATAGCAGCAAAACCTAACAAACACATATTCTTGCTGAGTTAGCATGAGAAGGGGCTATGTCCACAGAGCTGTATTGCTGATAGATACTCAGACCACCAAATTAAAATTGGCAGCGAGGGCTCTGTGCTATGTCATCCCCCCCCCCCTCTCCTGGAGAGGAAGGAGCATGCAGTACTTCCTGTTCCTCTCTCTCCCTTTGACAGCCATGGATGCAGATATGCCTCTACTTACTCCAGCTTTAGGTGCATAACTGAAGATGTTTATACTACAAATGTATTTTGCTTGCATAGTTTTTACTGCTACCATTGCTTGAACCAATGCTAGATTATAAATAAACAAGCTATAGTTTTTAACTTACTTTCCGAGTTGTTGCCCAATCTTTATTGAGCAGGGTAAGAAAGGAGAGTCAACTTACTTCATAGCTGGACTTGCTAAAAATAAGGTTTTACAGTCTAATTCCTATTCTTTTAATTGTTCAGTTTGGGGTGGGATTTTAAAACTCTGTTCACCCCATACACATGGCCTAGAGGGATAAAGTGCAATTAATATATCCTCTCCTGCCCACTAAAACCTATCCTATACTTCTCTCTGATCTTAATGCTAGCCATCACAGTGCTAAGGCTGGATATGAGCCTTCTGCTTGCTCTTTAAGATTAAAACTCAGCATTTCCCCACCCTAGGACTGGACTGAGGGGTGGGCATGTTGCCTTTTACTCTTAAATATCAGGTAGAGGGGTAATCTCCAGTCTCAGCACTGTGGTGTTGAGCATCAGGGAGAAATGATTCCTATGACTGCTCTCCAGATATCCCCTCTAAAGGGATGCCAGAGGGATCTTTTATCTCTCCATAGGTGGATCTAAAGAGAAGGAAGAGGAATTTTATGCCTCAATCTGGAGATTTAAGTGCCCCATCTGCTCCTTAAAGAGCAGGCGAGATTTCCAAATCAGGTTGTGGACTTGAAGGCCTGGTGGTCCTGATCCGGCCTGTGAGTTAGCCATCCCTGTTTTAAAGGTACAGGAGCTGTGAGAAGCTGGAACAGAACTCTGCCTGTTCCTCATGGGCAGGCTGGTCCAGCGATCATATTTTATTTCTTTAAAATTGTCATAACTGTCTAAAAAAAATCATGGTGAGATGATACAGAAAATTCTGGACTGCAACACCTTAATAATGACATTGCCTAGATGCTCCACAAAAAGTAAGTGAACAAAGGAAGGCATCTCCAGCTAATCCAGCTAAAGAGGAAGCAACCGTTATCTTCTCTAGTGATGTTCCTGCTATTGAAATAAAGGTTGTTCTGCTGAAACCATTGCTACCCAACTACACACTCTCTCTCTGGCAGGGAGTAGATCACCCATTACTGACTAGCTAGTTCTATCCAACCTGGCCAACAGCAGAGATGGCATTATACTGAACAAACTACTGCTAAGTCTTATTTCCCTTACTTGGGTCTTTCAACTCATTTCAGCATGTTCATGGAAGAGGATTATCTAAAATCAGGGTTGGAGCCCAGGCTCAGTTAGCCATGAGGCTTCCTGTGGACTGGGATTGCTTCCAGGGCTATGACCATTCTGAATGGTGTGGGTTTTCTCACAGAGAATTAGCTCAGGCAGTATTTCCCCTGGACAATTCTCCTGAGATCTATTGCCCAGGTTAGTATTGCCCCCAATAGGGTCATTGAGGAAGGCACCTGAATCCATTGTATTCAGAGGATCATCTTGAGGACTCTGTGTCCCTCCACAGCTGTCCACCCGCCAAGGCAGAGCTAAGTACTTGTGCACTTCAACAGCAGGACTGCGGCGGTTAGGGTCAATGGCCATTAGGCGGCGGAACAGACCCAAGAGATGGGTGGTAAAGCCTCTCCACAGGGCCGGAGCCTCCCCTGGCACCGTGCGGTTCTGCCAGATGCCAAATTCCTCAAACTGAGGGTCAGGGCTCATGGCCACATCCCAAGGGAAGCAACCTGTACAAATACAGAACAGTAGCACGCCAAAGGCCCAGACATCCAGGCTGGGGTCTAGAGCCAAAGTCTCGGTGCCTTCCAAAAGGCACAATTCAGGTGGGGAGTAGGGCAGAGTGCCAGACATAGCAGCCACTTGTGTGCCTTCCACTCGTGTGAGGCCGAAGTCTCCCAGTTTCACCTGACAACACTCTTTGTCAAAAAGCATCACATTGTCCAGCTTTATGTCCCGGTGCACCAAGCCTTTGCCATGCATGAAATCCAACGCCTCGGCCAGTTGGGCTGCACACCGCTTCACCTGTACCTCAGGAAGGCCCTCCTGTTGAGAAAGAGAAAAGAGAGCAGGGGTAAAGATGAGCAGTACCTCTTGAAAAGGATTACCCTCCAGCCTCCATCTTTCAGAGGAATGGGACCAGTTTGGAAGCACCATCGTTGAGTCAAGTGCAAATGGACCTTACATTGAAAGAAGCTAACTGTAGATGTAATTGCCTGGCTAGTGGTACATATGATGTCACCTAGACACCTCCCCCCCCCCCCAATCCTTAGAACAGTTTTGCTATATTATCAAATATAGCAAATTGCTATATTATCATCAGCTGCTTAACACTGGAGCACTGAAGGCAAAGGATAAACATAAAAATGGGGAAAAGTACTGTGGCACTTTAAAGAACAAAAAGGTGGCCAGTTGAACCAGCATTTAATTAATATGCTAGGCTGCAATGTTTCCCAAACTTGTGTCTCCCTAGCTAACAGGACCAGTGGTCAGGGATGGTGAAAACAGCTGGAGATCCAAGTTTTGACAACAATGTGCTAGGGTGTGTTTCAGCCATTCATATTAGAGCCAGGAGGAAGCTGGATTACAATTGCTTGCATGTTTAATCTTTCCCTATACACAAAATAAATCCTACTTTCCCACCTGTGCTGAGACTCTCCCATTTGTAGGCCCCACAAAGTTTCCATCCCACTTCGTACCCCTGAATTCAGGATGGCACAAAGGTCACCAGCTGGTGCCAGCTCCTGTGCAAAGCCATAATGTGTAGATGTCTCAAAAGCAATGCCAGTGGTTCGGAGAAGGGCGCGGTGTGAGGAGAGGCAGAGAGCAATACAGTATTCCCGCAGGAACTCGTGCCTCCCTGTCCGCTCCTTGGACATCAGCTTCAGAGCCATTGATGTTCCTGCAAACAACAACAAAATGTCAGCGGCTGGACATTAGAGGGCACCAAAAGTAGTGCCCATGTCACACATAAATCTTCTGTTTAGTACTTGATACCTGCACGCGCCAGGCATTGTACCTCGAAAACACAGTTCACACAGCGGCTAACCTGTAAGCCCTTAGAAGCTGATCATCCTTGGATTGGGAGAAGGAACACTCAGGTCAGAAGCTCTGGGGGGCAATTCAAACTCTGGCAACACACTTGTTTTCAGAAATTAACTGCTGCATACCATTGTCTCCCCAGCAGGGGGCACTGCAAAGCTAGTTTCAAATGGTGAGGAAGATCTTTCATCTGGGTAACAGAAAAAATAATCTGTCCCTAACCTGGGTTTGGGACTCGGATTGAATCTGTTGTTCAGTGACATACTCTTCTACAATTATGTTCAAATGGTTACCTCCTTCCTTCTTATTCTTACAGCTGTGAGGCTGGCTAGCTTGCTACTTGGACTGCTGCAGGCACTTGGCATCGCCAACACAGCACCTGCTGGCTGGCAGCTGCCCACACTCCTGGGATGACACAGCTAATTAATTACAGGATTTAGTGAACTAGAAGAGGGCAGTGGGGCAGCTTGGGCTGAGCTGCAGCAGAGCCAGCTCCAGGCAGGTCTTAAGTCAAGCGTTAGCCCCAGGGCATGTTTGCAGTACTAGAGGGTAGGTTCTCTTCAAGACTAGGGTCAATCTCAAGACAAGACCACACTCTAATCTGGTTAACATCCCATTTCCCGCAGCAACTTTTACTTACCGTGTTCCTGCTTTCCTCCATAGCAGCCCTTGGAATTCTGTCCTACTCCTTCCCAACAAACCTTTAGCTTTCTAAAAGGACAAATTTTCCTGTGATACTACACCCCTCCCCTAATTCTCACTGGGAGTGAGGGGCAAAGAGAAGGACAGTTCTTTTGCATTGTCTGTGGCCCTTAATGGCTCAGTACTTCTTTCCACATTGTTCAGCCAATATGGTTTGCATAAACTAACCCATGTATTCCTTGTCTGGCACAGTTCTGCAGCTTGCATTTTCCCTTTGTATCCCAAATATTATCCAAATATTACGGTTTATTAGCTTCTAATATTCACTAACAGACTTTGGTACTCTGGTCCCCAGCTGTAACAGCACATTGCCTCCTGTGGGCTGGCGTGGCCCTTGTGAACATCAGAAGAACCTGCTGTATTTGTCCAAAGGTCCATCGAGTTCAGCACTCTGTTCTCACAGATGCAACCAGATGCTCATAGGAAGCCCATTCAATAACATTATTCCCACTTGTGATTCGCAGCAACTGATATTTAGAGGCATACTGACTCAGACAGTGGAGGCAGAAAATGGCTAGAAAACTAGATAAACTTCTTCTCCCAGAATTTTTCTAATCCTCTTTTAAAGCCATTGAAATTGGTGACCATCTTGACATTCTGTGGGAGTGAATTCTACAAGTTAACTATGTGCTGTGTGGAGAACTCTCTTTTGTCTGTCCTGAATCTTCCAACACTCAGCTTCATTGGATATCCCCAAGTTACAACATAATGAGACAGGGACAAAAATGTCCTTCCTCCACCCAGTGCATGAACTGTATACAGTTGTACTTTGGATGCCAATTGCCTTGGTACTCGGACGTTTTGGCTCCCGAACACTGCAAACCTGGAATTGAGTGTTCCAGTTTGTGAATGGTCTTTGATACCTGAATTTCCGATGGGGCTTCCGCAGCTTCCAATTGGCTGCAGGAGCTTCCTGCAGCCAATCAGAAGCTGCGCTTTAGTTTCCAAACATTTTGGAAATCAAATGGACTTCCAGAACGGATTCAGTTCGACTTCCAAGGTACATCTGTACACCTCTTATCATTTACCCGCTTGTTCACTAAACGAAAAGGCCTCAAATGTTATAGTCATTCGTCATACGGGAGTTGTTCCATCCTCTTGATCATTTTGGTTACCCTTTTCTGAACCTTTTCCAGGTGAGATGAACAGAATAGTACACTGTATTTCAAGTGGTCATGCTACAGATCTGTGTAACAGCATTACGGTATTGGCTGTTTGGTTATCAGTCACTTTCCTTATGATCCCTAGCATGGAATTTGCCTTTTCACACTCTCACCTCTCTCACGATGCTGGATGTGCAGAACATGTCCATAGGAGCCACTGCCTAGCTCCTTGGCTATGTCATATTTCTCCTCTACTTCTAGCTGAGGTAAGCTGTCTGAGGTGATGCACATGAGCTGTTCTATGAGCTCCTCATTGTCTTCAATATCTTCCAGAGCCTCAGTTGAGGTGGTGTTCTGCTCATGAATAGAGCCTGTGGAGAGAAAGGAGGAATGATAATTTTTTTAAATTATCTGTAATCCACATGTAGTCTTCTAATTCTCTGTAATCCACATGTAGTCTTCTAAATTCCATTGGAAGATGAAGAAAGTTTGTTTTCTCCTGCTCTGGAGGGTTGTAACTTGCACCAGTGGCTGCAAATTACAAGAAAGGAGAGTCAGACTAATCATTAGGAAGAACTTTCTAATAGTAAGAGATGTTTGACAATGGAACAAACTCCCTTGGAGGGTGGTGAACTCTCTACTGGAGGTTCTTAAGCAGAGGTTGGATGGCTACCTGTCATGGATGCTTTAGTTGAGATTCCTGCATCACGGGGTTGGACTTGATGACCCTCGGTGTTCCTTCCAGCTATACAATTCTATGACCCCATCCCATGATTCTATGAAGGCTGACCTCCAACATCAACAGCAGAGTAAGGGGAGAGGCCCCCTTTCCCCTCAGTTTGGCTGGGCTCATTTATTTATTTTTGCAAGAGCACAGAAGATGGGGAATCCTACACTTAATTACCGTATTTTTCGCTCTATAGGACGCACTGGATCATAGGAGGGGGAGAATGGGGGGGGGAATTCTCCCCCTCTCTGCTCAGCGCCCCTTCAGCAAAGCGGCAGGAGAAACGGAGCCCCTTCCATTTCTCCTCCTGCTTCACTGAAGGGGCGCCGTGCAGAGAGGGAAAACTGCGCAGCATCTCTCCAGCGAAGCGAAGCCTGGAGAGCAAGAGGGATCGGTGTGCACCGACCCCTCTCGCTCTCCAGGCTTCAGATGGCTATCCACAAGCCTTTGGAGCGCAGCGGGAACTCCTGCTGCGCTCCGAAGGCTTGTGGATAGCTGCCTGAAGCCCCCAGAGCGCAGCCTTTGAAGCCTCTGCAGAGGAGCGGGGTGAAGGCACCCTGCTGCCCTGCAGAGGCTTTGCGCAGCCATCCCCAAGCTAAAACAGCAAGACGGAGCACTGTGCAGCGCTCCGCCTCGCTGTTCTGGCTTCGGGGACGGCCTTTGAAGCCTCCACAGGGCAGCGGGGTGCCTTCACCCCACTGTCCTGCGGAGGCTTTGCGCAGCTAACCCCAAGCTAGAACAGCAAGATGGAGCACTGCGCAGCGCTCCGCCTCGCTGTTCTGGCTTTGGGCTTAGCCGCGCATCCTGCATTCGCTCTATAGGAATATTCACTCTTAATTTTTGGAGGGGAAAAAGTGCATCCTATAGAGCGACAAATACGGTAACTTAGGTGAGAGACAACAGATGTCACAGTTGCCTGAGGTAAGAAACTGTTGAGGACTTTGACTTTGCTTTCTTTGGGGGAAAATGGCATCTGGTCTTGCTGTGAGATAAAACAGGCGGTGGAGCAGCAGCAAGCTATGCATGCCACTTACCCATCATCAAATAAGAGGAAATGAACCACACAAAAAGAGGTGAGGAGAGGACACATTTTCATAAGACGTGCATAAGTATGGCTGCAAATTTCGTGACAATCACTATTTATTTAAATAGACCGTAAAATACGTCTCACCACAGCGAGGGAGAATGTGAACGGTATGTCTGGCTCCCCATCTGCTGTCCAGTTAGTGTTGATGGATAACTTTAATGCTCATGCTCTCTTATTTTTCTTTTTTAAACACAACTTGGAATGAACAGCCCTTCAAATCCTCCCCTGTGCAGTGCAGGACACAGGGCTCCCTTAAAGCTTAGGCTGAGGTTCTTCCTCCTGCCTTCTGTTCAAAAACTGAACACTTTATCCTGCACAGCCCAATGAGGGAAGGTTTTGGTGCAGTTGCCCCTGATTTTAATGAGGCGTGATTCAGGTTTGCTTCCTGAATCTCTTATTATCGAAGGATGGCACTCAGGGAAGTATGCACTTAGGAGAAGAGGCAGCGGGCGGGGGGGTTGTTAGATAACCACCGTGAGCAGGCAGCCAATATAGCAGCAGGCTGGGAACTGGAGCAGAGCCAGGCCAGAGGCATCCTTCCACCATCCCGCGCACCACGGGAGGACATTCCCTACATGCCGCTTGCCTGTGTGTTAGCAGATGACTCTGCAGTTTGAGATCCCAGAAAGACTTTCTCAGGGAGTCAGAGCAGTGCCTAGGGAAAACTGGCCGGGGTGAGGGTGCTGTGTTGAATGCAAAGCTCTGTTGCTCTGGGACCGCAATAAGAAAGGTAAAAGCAGTGCTAGGTAATCTGACCCTTGTGTTATGGTCTTAAGCCCCCACCTTCCTCTGTGCTTTTTAGACAGCTGTAGGTATTTATTCGATTATGAATACGAAGCACACACACATTTAACATTTCCCCTTCCCAGCTATTCTATACTTTACATCTGCTTTTGCATTCCTGATATGGTATAGAGTGAAAAAATAAACAAAAGGAGTTTGACTAGAAGGAGGAGGAGGAGGAGGAGGAGGAGGAGGAGGGAGGGGGAATATTCTGAGCACATGCAATTTCACATTTGAAATTTACTTAAATAGCACCATCAAAACTACAGGGATAAAATGGAAGTTGCTTCTGCTGCCCCCGATGAGAAAAACATGGGAACATAGGACCGTTTTGTTGTAGAAAAGGGTAATAACAAAATGAACACCTGGAGCAGCGCTTACTAGCATGTTTGAATGAACAGATTTACAAACTGCTAATTTTTAAGCTGAAAACAAATTTTGGTTTAAAATATTTACCAATGAGAATAATAAAAAGATTTAGTGGCCAGCATTAAGAGGTTTTCAACAGCTGGCTTTAAAACTGAAATTTGAGCATTTTGAAATTTCTAATCAGAATTCTGAAAGTTTAACGACATGCTAAACTTGCACACAAATTCAAATCAGCTTTAGAGTTTTGGTTTTTTGAATGAAATGTGTTTTTCCCCCACTATCCCACACAGTGGGAAGTTTCAGGGCTATATCTTACCTGGGTTTGGTTTTCTCTCACTGGAGACTATTATTTTCTAATACTTTGGCTCCCAGCAGCCTAAGATCCTTCTTATCCTCCCCCACAACTGTCATAGTTCAAAAGCTTTAAAATATTTTTCATTAGTTTTTGTGCCAATCTAAAGATTCAACACATTTTATGAATAGTGGCTTCTATTCGGTTTTTTTAAAAAAAATTGTACAAATTTTGCATATTAGCCGTTTATCTTTTGATTTTCAAAAATTTTCTTCAAAACAGTAAATTCAGTTCTTTCCTTTATTTATTTAGCAAAACTTATGTGTTGCTTAATCAAGATATCTAACAGTTTCCATGAAATTATATAAAAAATGAATTAAAATAGCAATAAAAAAGACTTTAAAAACAGTAGACATAATAAAATTATTAAAATGTCAATAAAACCAGTTTCAAAAACAATTGTAAATAATAAAAATACGTCTGGGTAGACTTGCCTAAAAACAGTTTTTAGCAGACATTGAAAGCAGTACAGAGATGGCATCTGACGAATATTAATTTTCTGGGAGTTCTGGAGAATGGGTGCTGCCGCACTAAAATATTGATTTCCCATAGGTGAATAATGAATATTATGTGGTGTTTGTAAAGTGCCGGTTCCACAGTTAACATCATTAGAGTAAGCTCTTATAACCCCAAATCAAATATCTGTGCGGCTGAATCATCATTACCAAATATGTGTGAGTTAAATACAGGTGTTTTCCCCTAAGTTTAGAAGCTTTTACCTGCTTATATTTAAGACCTTTAAATAAGTTGCCTTACCCTTGCCCCGCTAAAGCCCCTATCATGCTCACAGTTATTGCAGCTGTGCTTTTGCGGTCTCTGGGTGTCCCATTCCGCCAGTCATTTAGTTTGTTGATTTAAAATGTTTTCATCATTATTTCCCTTTTAAAAAGCTCAAGCAGCAAACAGAAGGTTAAAAATATAATAAAACATAATTACAAGATTACTAAATAAAGCAGAGACACACACACACACACACACACACACACACACACACGTTAAGTATGATAAGGGGCTAGTTTCCGATCCACCCTAAACCAGCAGGAATCATGAGCAAGCTGAGCGATTCAGGTCAGGAGTTTGAAAAGGTATGGCTTGCAAGGTGGTGGGCAAGGCCTCATTCTTTTAATAAAAGCTGTCTATCATAAATTTAAACTTAAACGGAAAATATTTGGGGCAACCAGGTGTTCTGGGTAGAAGCCTGGCCCCCTCATTTCAGGGATGATTCTCATGAGACCAAAGGCACACAAACAGCAGGCCCATTTTGGGGCCAGTGCACTAGATACTCACAGTTGTTGGTCATCATGAGATAGCAACTAGGAACAACGAGCACCTTTTAGAAAATAGAGGGGAGATTCATCAAACAGCGGGGTGAAGTGTTTTCTCCCCAGCTTTCTGGTGAATACGTTGTTTAGGAGGATAAACATGGGAGAGACAGCGGTGAGTCAGTTTGCATATTAGGCACCGTAAAACACATTGGCATGGGCATGCATCGCACAGGGATTTGCTGCTAACTCATCAACAGCCAAGAAACCATATATGGCATAGAAAACCCTCCCTTAAGTAATCACCTTATCCTTCACAGCCAAACTCTTCTTCATCTTCCAGTATATAATTCACTGTTGTTTTTGAAGCTATAGAGAAGTTGTTCATGGAGCAGTCTGGTGTGACTCATAGCAGAAAGATGGTGAACACAGCAGTTTAAACTGGATATGATGCATCCCATTGTGTGTATGTTTTTCGCTTCATTCACATGATGACATTCTCATTCAAGTGGCAACCTGTGCTCCCCCACCCCCAATTTAATTTGGATTTTCTTGATCCACAGACAGTGTAGTAAGGGGGGGGGGAATGTTACCCAACTGGGGATGTACTGAAACTCTTTCTGTTGGCAGGATTGTTTTGGGTTGTTGTTTTTTAAAAAAATGTTTTTGGCAATGCTTTGCTGGGTACCATCGATCACTGCACCGCCTACGATACAATATATCTTTATTGTCATTGTCCCATACGGAACAATGAAATTGAAAAATCTACATACGACATTCAAAACCCCCTAAAAACTCTGAAACCCCCATTTTAAAATACAATATACCCCTATAGAGACTCCTTATACTGCGTTTAAAACCAGAATTGCATTTGGGTAGAAACTGTTTCTCAGGTGGCTAGTCCTAGTCTTTATAACCCTGTACCTTCTTCCAGAAGGCAGAAGCTGAAAGAGATCATTCCCGGGGTGTGCACTATCCTGCGCCATCTCTGCAGCTTTCTTATGGCACCTGACAGCATAGATTTGATCTAAGGTGGGAAGAGTGCACCCAATTATTCTCGCTGCAGTCTTTACAATCCTGGACAGCATTATTTTTTCCCTGGTCGTGCAGCTCCCAAATCACACACACAGACCATAAGTTAATACACTCTCCACAGTACAATGGTAAATGCCATCTGAGAGATTGTTTTTCTGGAGGATTCTTAGAAAATATAACCTCTGCTGTGCTCTCTTCATAAGGTCTTTGCTGTTTTCTCCCCAGGTTAGGTCATCTCTCAACTCCATTCCCAGAAATCGAAACACCGAGACCTGTTCCACGCACTGGCTGAATATTCAATTTACATTTCCTAAAGTCCACAATAATCTCTTTTGTTTTCTTTAAAGTAAGGAGTAAGTTGTCTTTCCTGCACCACTCCCCCAACTGCTGATTGGTGCCTGAAAGCACTGAACAATTTGAACCCTAAGAATACAGCAGCAGCAACCTCTAATATTCAAATGCCAAAATACTCCTTCGGTGGGTGGCATACATTTTAAGCTATCATTAATGGAATGTGGTCGCAAAGAAGCATTGTAATTGTGGGGGAATTGATCTGTTATTAAATTCTAAAAACAGAAGGGACTCAAATTTCCTGGAAGTCATAATATATATGGGAATAAACCTGGGCTGTTAAAAAGTCATTAAAAGGCACTCTGGACATATTCAGACACACTTTTATTATTTCATATGTTCCTTGACAGAGCACTGCTACATTATTACGCACTGCTAGAAAGACAAGCAGGTTCCTTCTTTTTTTTTCCTTCCGAGATCTGCTTCTCTTTGCCTTTGCCCTTCAAATGACACATGTCCAGCCTCTAAATCAAATGGTGATGGTCTTTTCCTGTTCTCTGCCCTCTCTTGCCATGCTTCGGACAGTCTGTGTTCTGTGTTCCCCACCACTAGCCTCTCTTGCATATTTATTCTGTCAAGAACATTTTTTAAAAGCAGCTGAAAAATATTCCGGAAAGGGAATTCAGTCAACCAGGGCTTTGCAAATTTGGCCTTTGCTGCATACCTGAAGTACAGGTTTCCCATGAAATGGATATAGGGAGAGATTATATTGCATATAATGCTTTGAGTGTACATTTACACTGCTCAGATTATGTGTGTCTGTGCAGAGTCATGGAATCCTGAGTCAAAAATTTTCCAAGCTAGGACCTCAGCTCTGGTAGTCCACATTGCAATCAATACCATACAAATTGTAACTAGGGTAGCAACATTGTAAGTAGTGGCTAGAAAGCTAGGTGGCCTGAGGACATTAAATCTCCAGTCAGCATTAAAACTGACTGGGTGATCTTGGGTTGTCTTTCACTCTAAGTTGTGCTGTGTGGTGGGTGCTTCACAACCAAGTACAGTACTGTGCCCTGAGCTACTCAGATAAGGGTAGGAGGGGAAAGGAAATAAACAAGCTGTAAGCCAGGAATTTGCTGAGAGCCTTTCTCTCACCTCTGAGCAGCCCATTCACACCTATAAATCAAGAAGGGAGTTCAGCTCGGCTTGAATACCCACCACCTCTGGTTTTAGAAGTTAAACCTTGCTTAGCTTTCTCTCTTTAAGAAACTGATAGTGATAGACAGTGCAGATCTCGATAGGGCACTAGCTTCAGTTTCACTCAGCAAACATGGTGCAGGAGGAGGGAAGGGAATGCCCTGCAGACCTGGGCAGGTGTTTGCTCTTTCCTTGTGAGAAATTGCTGATAGGGTATTGGGTGCCAGGTTGCCCTTGCACAGCGATATTAGAGCTCCTGCTGAGACAGAATCTCACACTCAGTGGGCCCAGCTCTGAAGCCCAAAGGGAAAATATATGGCCACTGGGGGGGGGGGAGTGCAAGCAAACTGCCTGATAGGTCTGTAAATGATTCTGGAATTTTTTTTGCCATGGATTGCTCTTTTTAATCCACCTTGCTTTTTAACCAAGTATTGGATCTGATCCGGGCTTACTATCATCCAGGACTCACCAGACCCTTGCCTGGTGTTTCAGTACCAAGGCTCACTGGAACACAAAACTAATAATAATGACTAGAATACCACTGAGTTGCACAGCATGCTTTCCCCTTCACCAATGAGCAAGTAGAACCAACCTTCCCACCACTGAAGTTAGGAGCCCTGTGGATAAGATGGACTGTTTCAAGAAGTGGCAGAGAGATATTTCTAGATTTGTCTGGCAGGGCAAGAAGCCCAGAATAAAATTTAAGATATTAACTGATGTAAAGGAAAGGGGTGGATTTGCCCTGCCAGTCTTTAAACTTTATTATGAATCAGCAGCTTTCTGCTGGTTGAAAGAATGGCTGCTTCTGGAAAACACAGACATTTTGGACCTAGAAGGTTTTAACAACGTATTTGGATGGCATGCATATTTATGGTATGATAAGGTTAGAGCACATAAAGCATTCAAAAATCACATTGTCAGGAAAGCACTGTTTAATGTTTGGATAAGATATAAGGATTTATTGGAAAATAAAACCCCAAGGTGGTTGTCACCGATGGAAGCGAAAGCTTTGAAAAGGCTCAGTATGGAGGCCAAATGGCCGAAATATTGTGAAATTTTGGAACAAGAAGGAGACAAATTGAAATTGCAGAGTTTTGAGAAATTAAAAAACAAAGTGAGAGATTGGCTTCATTATTATCAGATAATGGAGGCATATAATTTGGATAAGAAAATTGGCTTCCAGGTGGAAAAATCAAAATTAGAAACAGAACTGTTAGAACCCAAAACTAAGAATTTGTCAAGAATGTATAACTTGCTGTTGAAATGGAATACTCAGGATGAAACGGTGAAATCTGCTATGATTAAATGGGCACAAGACGTTGGACATAATATTATGTTTGCTGACTGGGAACAGTTATGGACCACAGGTATGAAGTTTACGGCATGTAATGCCCTAAGAGAGAATATCATGAAAATGATATACAGGTGGTACATGACCCCAGTCAAGCTTGCAAAAATTTATCATTTGCCCGATAATAAATGCTGGAAATGTAAAGAAACTGAAGGTACATTCTTTCACCTTTGGTGGACGTGCCCAAGGATTAAGGCTTTCTGGGAAATGATATATAATGAACTGAAAAAGGTATTTAAATATACCTTCTTGAAGAAACCAGAGGCCTTTCTTCGGGGCATTGTCGGCCAATTGGTGTCAAAGAAGGACAGAACTTTTTTATGTATGCTACAACAGCAGCAAGAATACTCATTGCAAAGTATTGGAAGACACAAGATCTACCCACTTTGGAAGAATGGCAGATGAAGGTGATGGACTATATGGAATTGGCAGAAATGACTGGCAGAATCCGAGACCAGGGAGAAGAGTCGGTGGAAGAAGATTGGAAGAAATTTAAAGACTATCTACAGAAATATTGTAAAATTAATGAATGATAGAATGATGTTGGATAGAAATTAAGCGGTTTCCAGCTGTAATGCTCTAAGAGAATATGAAAAAAGGGTTATAAATGGGTAAAAATCTTATGGTAAGGATTTGCTGAACTAATAAATTGAAGTGGAATACAAAAAAGGGAGGTATGAGGAGGTCCGGGAATCAAGCTAAAGGAAAATAAGTAATGGAAAATATGTGTGTTTTTAACTGTTTTTATTTTGTATTTTTCTTTTTCTTTTTTCCATCTTTACTGTAATATTTCAAAAAATCTTAATAAATATCTTATATAAAAAAAAATGAAGTTAGGAGCCCTGACTTCTTCACACCGCTCAATAAACAAAGACTGCCCCAACTCTATAGGTAACACAGATGGCTGCCTAGGGCAGCAGTTTTCCAGGAGCAGTAGACTAACCAGAAAAAATTATTAAGGGGGAAGAGTCATAATTGCATCACATGTAATTTTTCCAGTTTGAGGTTCCCTTTCCCCTTCACAATTTAAGTCTGCTGGGACTTTCCACAGAAAAAACTGTAATGACTGGATGAACTCTTGTAGGGGGAACAAAATTTCTCTCCTCCATGGTTTCCTCAGTTGCAGCTCTTCTCTTTGATCCATTTGCGTAAACAGAGTAGAACCCTTGGAGAGGAAATATTCCTTCTTCTCTGGCATACAAGATGCTTGTGGCTTGGGCGAAGGTGTTCATAACAAAATGGAAAGATGTTAGAGGTTTGTGTTCATATTTTCTATCTGAAACAATCATTTTTAGAACAAATTTAAGGACTGTGCTAATTGGATTATAAATAGCATGGCTTTTTTCTGCCATACACACAGACAGAAAAGACACACCCTTCCTTCAAGTCAAAGCAGTGAAAAAATGAGCAAGATAATTTTTATATTATATGATTTAACATTTTAATGAGAAGACTTTTTCATAACTTGCTTCTTTCAAGGTTGGGATTACTGAGCTCTTTTTACCTTTTGCGTAGCCAGAACTAAGGATCTACTCCTAAATATTTTGTGATTCTGTATTTAATTTTTGATTCTCTATTATAACTTCAGTTAACATAGCCCCTCCTTCCTTTGTTCAAAGAACCACAGGAGAGCCAGCTTGTGGTTCTTTGAACATGAAACTTCTCTTTTGCTCTGAACCTTTTTGTTCTTTAGCCTGAACAAGATATCGCTGTAATTAGAAAGCTCTCTTCAGTGTTTTTTAATAGCTTAGCCATTCCAAGATAAACATATCACCTCTCTTGCTTTATAGTTTCCCCTTCTACCATTGTTCCCTTTCAGCTTTCAGCTGTCTCAGGTCAAACGACTGGATAAATTACGCTTTAACCACTATGGCTAGTAGGTGTTGATAGATTTATCCTCTGTGAATATGTTCTAATCCATCTCCCATATCCCAATTATCTTTTTAGCTTTGACAACGTCCCACAGCAACAGGATTCTCCTCCCCTGCAATCTTCTCTTGTTGATGGAGTCTTCCATGCAATCTGACTTTTGCTTTTGGGGTTTTTTGGGGGGGTTTAAACATTCCATTGGGAGTAAATTTCAAAAAAAACAATTCCATCCCCACTTCTCTGTCCTGTTGTGCTTAAGGCAGAAACCTAATGCCTAACTCCATGGATATACTTTTGCTTGGGCTTCTAAATATGCACAGCCACAAAGGGTTGATTGCAATTAAGGAGGAAAGAGCCTGGTGAACTGCTTCCATCCAGCTCCCAGTGGTGGCCTCCACCTGTCACCACAGCAGCTTCTGAAGGACCATCTTGCCCTGCAGGGAGCAGAGAAGAAGCAGTTGCAACTTCTTCTGAACAGACAGTAATATTTACTGTAAGTGGTTTGTTTTTTAAAAAAATATGTTTATTTTAGTAACAATCTAAAGTAAACCTCTTTGTGAGGTTCGCCCGAAAAGCGGAATATAAATATCTTAAATAAATATGGTTTTTGTTTGTCTGCAAGGAAATTAGATGACATAGGTTACTTAATGAGCATTCATTCTGATTTGTTTTTGGGGAGGTCTGATGACACATCAAAGCAAGTGTTGCCTCACACTTTCCAATGCGTTTCCTGATCACTTTCCTTATAGCAAAAAGTTCGATCTTTGGGGGGAAGCAGGTTTGTTGCGCAAGACCTCCCAGTTAACTATAATAAGGCAACCTGAATTTGCTGGTATGTGAATGAATTCCACTGGAAAATAGAGAGTCTGGATTAGTAGTAGTTAGTGTGTTGAACCATGACACGGGAAAATTAATGCTGAGCTGTGAAGCTTGCTGAGTGACTTTCATTGAGTCATTCTCCCCCTGCCTAACCTGCCTCAAAAGGTTGTAGTGAGGATAAAGAAGGGAGTCATGCTTAATACCCTGAGGTCCTTGGAGGAGTGCAGGATAAAAATGCAGTACATAGGAATGCAAACAAACACACACATGGTCAACTGATGATTGAGCATAGTCTCAAGCTATCTATTACCTATGGGAGTTCTCTGAGCCAAGTTTCATCTAGTTTAAGCCATGGACTCTGTTTTAAATGCTGGCACTCAGCCCTTGAAGATGTGAAGTAATCAATTAGAAGAGAAAAGCTCTGAATATTGGCAGATTTCAAACAGGCCTCAATCAGTCCTGATGCATCTGATTTTAGGGACAAGGGCTTTCAAGTTAAAAAGGTGGAATAGCCAAAAAGTCTTCAGCCACAGCACCTCTCTTTTTAGAAAATAATGTCTAGTTGTCGTCTTCATAAATAATGATTTGGAGATCAAACAAGATGCCTCTATATAAGGATGTAAAACCTATGTAAGTCAGAGTGATATTTTTTATTTTACTTTAATGTAAGCCACTGAATCACTTTCATTACAAATAATGTTACAGGGCTGCAGATATTTACAGTATTAACCTATATATTTAGTTATCTATCTAGTTACTGTATATATTTATTCAATAATATAAATAATGATAATTGGCAGGGGGAAGACTGCTGAAATCGTACCCACTAGAAAGAACAAGTTTTAAATTTGCTCTAAAACACTTTTTAAAGTGTTGTACGCATATTTTAATAATTGGGGAGGATGAAAATAAACTGTAGTTCAAATAAAGAGTTACTTTAAAAAAACACAACCATTGAACCATTGGGAAAGATAATATTGAAAGAGCTTGAAAGAAGATGTATGTAGTGATAAATCCCTCTGCGAAGTTGCTGTGGGTGCTTTGCTTGTCACCGTCAACCATCACCACTAAAAATGCCATGCTTATTAAACTTGTTGCTGACAAGAGCTCCAGAGAAATCATATGGTTTTCTTGGAAGTTATTTCTAATAGTTTAATTGAATTGGAAATGTAATATGAAAACAAGCTCTATGCTGAGCTGTGGAAAGGAAGATTCCCTCTGCATGCCCCAAGGCCAAACTCTTGCTGCTGCTGCTACTATTACTGCTAATGATTATTATGCACTGTCAATTTAAAGGTAAAGGGATCCCTGACCATTAGGTCCAGTCGTGGCCGACTCTGGGGTTGCGGCACTCATCTCGCTTTATTGGCCAAGGGAGCCAGCATACAGCTTCCGGGTCATGTGGCCAGCATGACTAAGCTGCTTCTGGCGAACCAGAGCAGCGCACAGAAATACTGTTTACCTTCCTGCCGGAGCGGTACCTATTTATCTACTTGCACTTTGACGTGCTTTCGAACTGCTAGGTTGGCAGGAGAAGGGACCGAGGAATGGGAGCTCACCCCATTGCGGGGATTCAAACCGCCGACCTTCTGATCAGCAAGTCCTAGGCTCTGTGGTTTAACCCACAGCGCCACCCGGGTCCTTCACCATCAATTTATGAGAAAGAAAAAACAATTATCAGGTCTCTGCCTCAGGGAGTTTACAAGATACCTTTTTATTGTTGAAGAGACAATAAAAGTATAGAAATAAAGGCTGAGAGATAAAGGTAGCATGTGTGAAATATATTTGCACTGCCATATACTTTACCAATTCGTGATACAGTGGTGCCCCGCAAGACGAATGCCTCACAAGACGGAAAACCCGCTAGACGAAAGGGTTTTCCGTTTTTGAGTTGCTTCGCAGGACGAATTTCCCTATGGGCTTGCTTCGCAAGACGAAAATGTCTTGCGAGTCTTGAGATTTTTTTTCGCTTCCCCCCCCCCCATTTTCTAAGCCGCTAAGCCGCTAATAGCCTTTTAGCAGCTAATCCGCTGAGCCGATAAGCCTTTAATAGCCACTAAACCGCTAATAGCGCTAAGCCGCTAATAGGGTTGCTTCGCAAGACGAAAAAACCGCTAGACGAAGACACTCGCGGAACGGATTAATTTCGTCTTGCGAGGCACCACTGTATTTAAAAGAATATTTATGATATTCCTGCATTACGGTGACCGTTGCAGAGAGAGGGAGTGTTTAAATGACCATTGAATTGAACTGATTTATTATGGTCACAGACCAGAAATATAAAAGACCATTAAACATAACAACCAATTCATTCAGTGGAACTTTGAAATTATTCTGTTTAAATTACAGTTCAGATGCTGTTTGGGGCTGGAGCTGTAAAAGCCCTGTTTTGATCATACTTGTGAGACTGAAAGCACCGATATTCTTAATCAGTTGAAATTTAGAATTTAGAACTTGCATTTAATTTACTTATTTAAAATGACACCATCTGTTACCTAATTTTCATACAATCAAATGTTCCCACTGATATGCTGTTACATATTCAGAGCTTTTATTATTGAACTCAGTTGCAGTTTCTTTGAGTAAACATGCATTTGTTTTGGCCACAGAGCTGTATCTGTATAAAACGCTGGAGAAGTCATTTGAACAAATGTAGATTGCAAGAACGGTTGATGAAACATCACTTCTGGGAAGCTCCAAAGGTTTTCCACAGTGTAATCACGATTATCTCTGCCATGCACAGAATGTGAGAACATATATGAACACACTGAAATGCATGATCAATGTGTTCTGCAACACTTACAGAATTATAAGCCATTTGCAAACCATTTACACTGGTGAGAAAGCAGTAGGGGAAAAGGCACCACAAAAGCACCATGCAAATATTTTCTACAGGAATAGTCTTTCTTGCAGGAAATGCAAAGACACATTTGTGTCCACATTTACCCTACAACTTCAAACATGAATAGCACTGAATTAATCCTGAATTATGTCTATTTAAATGTACTACCAGAGGATGTTATTCTGGGATTGGTGCTGTTCATGCATCTAAGTCTTTTCCAGCATTCAGATGGTTACATCGGCATAAAAATACTAGCTCATAATTCCCTCACCCTTAATTTAATCCAGTTTTACTCTTTCTGCAGAAAAATCTGATAAGCTAAAATAGGCCCAACTGTTGCTAGTGATATCTGAAGAACTTGTCTGAGATATTAAGCCTCTGCAAGCACTCTGAGAATATGCAATTTGTTGAGTTCCACAAAACAATTTACTGCTAGATCTAAAGCCCTGTGCAACTGAAACATTTGCAAGTTCATGCTGGTTTTACCTCATGGACTGGCAGGTATATGTTCCCCTTGTATCCTAGAGCTTACCTTGATCTGGAAGGCACTTCTGAGCTGGTGCTGTAGAAGTCTTTTGTGGAAACACAACAACAGACCATTCTCTTGTTGTTGCTTGTTTCTCGTGTCCTATGGCATCAATCTGCCCAGGTGTCATCGTTTCTGGTGCCGGCTGAGCTGTTTCCTCTCTGGCCCAAGCTGTGTACACTGGGTGGGCAGAGCGTTGCAAAACAGTCAGATTTTTGCTCTGCTCAGCCTGTCAGTTGTGCCTGTGAGAGCAGGCTCATTCTAATCTCTCCCACTGTGAGAAGAAGGCAACATGTGTCACAGGCTCAGACACAAGCCGGGCAGGCTTCCAAAGTTAGGCAGGGGAAGCAAAGGGAGAGCAGTGAGGTGATGGCAACAATTCACGGTGCCAGAACTAACTCCAAGCTCATCACCTGTGTGGGCAATGAGAGGCTGGGTATTGCTCAGGCCCAGGACCCTCAGCCCAAAGAGGTGAGCAGCCCAGGTAGACAGATGAACTTCTGGCAATGGGGATGAAGGTAGACAGGTATGGGGATAAAAATAAAACTATTTTAGTGATGAAATATTACAAATTAACTTCACACCCAGAGGATATAAGTCTGGGTTTGAATGAATTCACACACTTTCACATAGTGATTGTAAAATCATATGGTGGCTTCTACTGTATTTGTAAAAGAGCCACCATAGATCAGATTGAATGGCCAGATACATCATCTCCTATGCAGTACTTTAACTGGAAGTCTTTCAAACATTCAGTATTAAATGATGTCATTAAATGATAAGTAAACATCAAATAATGAATTCTTGTGCGAATCACTCACTATCTGTAACATTTTCTAGGCTCACCACCATAAGGAGTTGTACATGATCAGTTTCCATTTTTGAGGTCCACGGACAAGGTGCTTATAGCTGTACCTCTTAAACTTACCGGTACTTATTTTTTAAAAAAATAAAAAACAAAAATAAACAAAATAAATAAAAATAAATCTTGGTAGTGGCACCCGCCCTGTGGAATGCCCTCCCATCAGATGGCAAAGAAATATACAACTATCTGACTTTTAGAAGACATCTGAAGGCAACCCTCTTTAGGGAAGTTTTTAAAGTTTTATTGTGTTTTTAATATTCTGTTGGGAGCCTCCCAGAGTGGCTGGGGAATAAATTATTATTATTATTATTATTAAAAATATCAGAGCTGTTTTCAACAATTATGTTTTAAAATCATATGGTAATATCCATATAAAAATGTGAAAATCAGTAATGAGCAAACTATTATGGAAATATGTGTTCTTAATAGCCTGCAAAAACTTGACAGAAAAGAAATGTTTTTGGCAGGCGTTTAAAAGTTGAAACAGAAGGCAGCTGCTGAATCTCTGTTGACAATACTATTCCATTCCGCAATACTGGGCTGATGGCACAAGAGACTCAGTTTCTTGTCATCAAGCGAGTCTCAACAACTCATGAAACCAACAACAACGTTCCTGCAGATTATCTATGTGATTGAGCTGTGATGTAAGAGTTCAGGCAGCCGAGGTACCCTAGACCTCGTGTAAGTCTTTCAGGGCTTTATAAATTAATGCAAGGACCTTGGATTCACAGTAGATGGGGAGAAAGTACCTATGTTTTAACAATGGTGTCAATGAGCCACTTGCTCATCATGGCTAATATGAGTTAAATGGCGATGCTGATTGGGAAGGGGGCAGTTCTAGGCGTAGTGATGGAGGATTGGGTGACTGCTACTTTGAAATAGGTAGTGGTACAGCTACTTCTTAATATTTTTTTCCTGAATCCTAAGTCACTTAAAAATGACTATCTGGTCACAAATACCCCCTTTTGGGGCAAGGTGCTGTGTAGGTGGTATTTAACTTCTGGCAGCTCCAGGCATTTTTGGAGGAAATTGATTATTTGGAGCCATATATCAGTCTGGGCCAAGCTTTGGGATAGAATTTGCTTTTGTCAGGATAGAGGACCTTTATTCTTGCTGGATTTGTCAGTGGTTTTTGATACCATTGACCATTGTATCCTTCTAGACCAATTCTGTGACATGTGGAATCATGGACACTGTTTCACAATAGTTCCATTGCTTCCTGAAAGGTTAGTTTCAGAAAGTGGTATTGGGTGACTATACCATGGCCTTCTGACAATTACACCATGCAGCAACTATGCCTCGAGCTCTGGGCTTTACTTAAATATGCAAAAAAAGGGGTAAATATTTGTATAGAGAAAAGTTATCAAACTAGAGGATGGTGACAAACACATCTCTTTAAATGTGAACCTGCCCCAATCAAATATAAAGGAGTTGAAGACTGATTGGAAGAGCAAAGGAGATTTCAGAGCAGAGGTGAATCCTCTTGACTGGACTCCAGTATTGGAAGTAAGCCCAGATTGGACATAGTATCTGAGGAATGGGCTGCAATTAGGCAAGCAGTTGATGGGGGGGTAGAGATCCTCACAAGAATCAATGTGAGGATCTCTGATGTGATTGGGGCAGATCTGCATTTAAAGAGGCTGAATTGCCATTATATATTTAGTTATTTTGGAAAATGTTGGTCTGACTCTGAAAGTGCCTTACTGAAAATCACATCTACTTCACCCTGTGGTTAGCTAGCCCATCTTAGTTCAATACTCCTTAAACCACATAACGCTTTATCAGAAAACTTATATCCTAGGAAAGAAAGTTGGATTATCTAACAGAAAACCATTCTTATTTGTAAAAGATTATTTTGTCCATATATATGAGCTGCTTCTGAGAAACTCAAATTGTGTTACAGTGAGAGGACTTTGTTTTCTAGATTGATATAGTAATAAGAGACAACACTGTATAGTGACAACAGACTGGGAGCAAGCAAATATGCAGTTCAGATCTAATTTCAACCACAGATATGCTCTTTATCTGTGTGGTGGGGCTACTCTGAAAGCATATTGTCCTTTTCTAGTCAAGCAAACAATTTTTTTTCTTCAGGCCTAATCTTAGAGGGAGCAGACTGTTCTGTGAGACTGCAGCAGAAGTTGGCAACGCACAACACTGATTGACTGGTACCTATGAAACTCCTAATTCATGACATACAGCTATGGGTGTGCAATACACTAGATATTCCTGCATGTCTAACTACTTACACCTGAAGATTCTCTATGTGTCAGGAGTGGGTAGCTAAACTGCCACCTTCCAGATGTTGTTGGACTCCAGGTCCTGTCAGCCCTAGCCAGCATAGTCAGGGATAATGGAAGTTGTGCTCTAGCAACATCTATAAGTGTTCTTGAAAGACAGCATACTTAATGTTACTGATATTTCTCAGCAATACATATAAGGGAGTGAGCAATGAGTTCACAGTGAGCAATGGTAAGGCCCAAATCACTGGTCTACGTTAACTGGCAGCATTAAAACAAGTCCCAGAACCCTTAGTAATATGCAGTTTATTTGGCAGACAAGTTGGCATTGAGAGTGCTCCCTTGAGATAGAAAATGGAAAACCACTGTGATACAACACTGAATATTAATACTATCAGATTTTAAATACCAGTGCATGTCATCTATCAAATTATCACTCATCAGATATCAGATACTGAAATCAATATGTGCCAAATATAGATAACAAATATCAGGAGAATATTCAACATATATTTGATTACAGAGAATATTTGACATCAAAATACACAAAAGAGAATTGTCAGGAACAAGTACTGTATGTTTCAGTCCAGAAATGGGAACTGGCAGTGATTACTTGGTAATGAGGGGAAAGTAGTCACATATGCCAAGGCACTCTCTTATTTACCATTTACATGTCCCATAACTGGTGCAATGACTTTGACCACTGGGGAAAGCATTGGCTGGATCTGAACCAGAGTCCAAGGAAAGAAAACCAAATGTTCTCCAAATAAATAGCTAATGAACCTGGCGTTTGCCCAGCATAATCCAAGCAGAGGCAAGGAGTGAAAGCAAAGGTCAGGATGTGGTGTCTGAGTTAACTCTGCAAAAATGATGGGGCTAAGAGCCAACCCCCTAGTGCGACCTATTCTGTGGCCCCTTGAGATATTTGTGGTGAGAGGGGATCATCCCATAAACCCGCCTTGTAACATTAGGCCAGCCCAGCCTAGCAGCTGCCTCAACTATTTACAATGGCTGGCTGAGGTCCTGATCATTTGCAGCTTTGGGACATGCCCTACTTTACAAGGTAGTCTAGCTGCTTCTCCCTTTTACAAGCAAAAATAAGGAAAATGTTTGCACCAAGAATTAGAAGCCTTAAATTTTTTTGCAATAAAACAAAGACATCAGTTTAACCTTCTGGAAAATGTGTGCCAAGTTCCTGCTATTGCTGACTTCTAGTTTTCTTTCTAATTACCGGTATGTGGTTAAAGAGACCAGGTTCATGTGCTCAGGTTTGTATGTATAGCTAATCATTTTCATTGTAGGACTAAACAAAGCCAGCAACAGAGTATTAGAAATTAAAACCTATTCTGCATGCTTAGATTCTAGATAGGGAATTTGAGTTTGGAGAGAAGCTGCAGCCTCTGACCTAGATGGAGATGTGATGTTTGTAGTTACTTGTAGGCAAGAAAGGAGAGAGTCCTATGATAGCCCCTTAAAATCTGACTGATTTATGGGATTTAGTAGGTAATGCTTGTTTCATCAGATGCATCTGATTCATAAATATGATGAAGGAGAACACTTTGTCCATGCTCATTTTTCAATATTGCTTAACATGTTCTAAGGTACGCCATGTAATTCAAAACAAGTGCTAAATCTGGGCCTTGATGAGTCCAACCTCATCAAGTAGGTCAAAAAAGGGTGCCTATTCTGACAGATTTTACAGTGTCACTGCAAATTCCATGGTTTCACATTTCAGTTGCTTTCATCATCATCATTATTTTTATGGTTAAAAGATGTATATAAACCCTTCCCAAAGGCTGGCCCAGGACCTGCTGTTGTACCTTTAACAGGAATTTGACATGCAGATGTTAGCGGGTAAATGCTGATTTCCGTGCTGTGAAAAGTTTCATCTGATTATTCCTACACACTTAACAGCTATAAAACACAAAAGGGTAGGCTATCATCTTCCACTAGGCACAATCTCCGTGCTGCCTCTGAATACTAGTCACTGGTGAACAACAGTAGGAGATGGCTGTTACCCTCATGTTCTGCATGTGGGCTTCCCAAAGGCATCTGTGGGAAAGAGAATGCTGGACTAAAGTTCCATCTAGTCCAGCATCCTGTTTTCACAGTGGTCAACCAGCTGCCACTTAAATTAATAGTAATTTAATTACAATTACTATTTAACAGAACATTCAAATAGTGATCAAATAGCACAGGTTATAAGTCTGTTATGTTATGACACGCTGATCTCTGTGTTGAGACACAATTGCCTGAGGGCCTCAGAGCTGAAGGGACTATGGTTATGCCAATGGTCAGTGAACAACAGGTTACTGGGAGGCTGCACTCTTTGCCTCCCGAAAGAACATCAATGTAAAAGGGGACCATCCTAGCTCCATCCATCGTCCAGAGAAGGAGCAGCTGCAAAGGACTTGCTTCTGTCCTCTCTACCAGAAAGTGACACTTGGGGGGGAAATTGCCTGCTGCTCTCGGACTTCAAGAGGCAAGGCGAAAGAACACACTGGACCCAGCCATCGTCCAAAGGAAAAAGAGCCACTAACTTTAATTAGAGGCAAAACACTGGCAAGGGAAGATGAGCCTGGCCCAAACTAGATATAAATGCTTTTAGCCCTGTGCTTTGTTCTGGCCTTGAGGGACTGATTTCTCTTCTCTGCCTTTTCTTTCCACTCCCTTCCCTTGTGTGTCTTTCTAGTTTGCAAGCCTAGTAGCAGCACCTCTCTCTTTATTGCTTTGGGAGACAATAACTGTCTGAAAAGTAAGGTGAAAGTAATTAAAGGGTTTTTGAAATGGATTCCCAGAGAGACCAAATGCCATGTTACACTGCTATTATCTACCTTTCCATGGCGACAGCATGCAATCACCACTTTTCTCATAGGGGAAATGTTCCAGTCTCCAAGGAGCATGCCACAGCTGTTGCTGCTGCCATGGTGTCAGCTGCAAGCAATGCATCCTTGGAGGCCAGATCTGCTGCCCCTATGGATCCTGTGCTGTCTGAGACAGATGCCTCCTGGGTGAGCTAAGCCTTGCTGGCACATGTGTCTCAAGTTGCCTATAGAAAACTCATTGTGTCCTTTGCACACTGAAGGGCTCTGGAACACTCAAGTTTTTACGGTCATGATGCTATTTTCTGTATGTTTGTTTCTCAGCTCTGCCCAATGAGCACACATCTGTTCAGATGTTTTAGTTGTATCTTTCGTATAATTAAACTTAAATCAAACAAACAAAAAACCCAACAGTTTATCTACTTGGTGCCTTGAGTATCCTCTTCTTTGCTTTTGGTATTTTCCTGCCAATTTTATACTTCAGTTTTCTGTTTATAAGCTGCCTGTAATTCCCTCAGTTCCCTTCACTGTAGTGTACAAACTGTCTATCATTAGCATTTCTGTGCTCATTTAGAGTTTCATATTTTTCTTCCATCTATTTTAGAAATCCTTCCATTTTATTTTTCCCCTCACACCTCTTTATGGCATTCCTTTGGTCTGTTATTAATAACTTGAGGGTTGTTTCCCCTTTGTTTTATGTTCCTGCCTTTTATTGGTAGGGTGGGTGGGTATGCATTGAAATAGATTTGGTTATACTTTTCAGGAATACTTACATGATTTTTTTCTCCTCATGCCTCATTTTGTTTCCTTTCTGTTTCCTTTTACTTCCTTCTGTTTCCTTTCACTATATTATATGAACCATCGACAACTGCTCATATTTTTCTATGCTTGGCAAATTACTTTTATTTTGAAAAACATTCATAAATATGTTCCCCACAAATAAATGCCCCACTCCCAAATCTTTATGCTAGTTTTGATCAGAATATCATCAGTGTCTGTTAACTAGACTTGAACTGAGCACTTTTTGTCCTTTTCTATCCCTGGGTTTGTTTTATTTATATTTTATTTAACAAAATGTGTAGACAGCTTAATAAAAAAAGAAAAACAATCTAAACTGCTAATGCAAAACAGTATGAAATGCATATAACATCAACAAAGTCTAAAAACAAATATAAATAACGGGGAAAAATTATGATGTTACTGTGGAATACTGAACTATGTGAACACCTTTCCATGTTTTTTTAAAAATACCCCCATGGGGTGGGGGTTGGGGGTGGTAAAAAAAAATACCTGAGGTGCCAGTACTCATATATTGATAAAAATGCTGTGGGTACTGCCACAAAATGGTTGCCATGGTACTGTGAGTAGAGCACCAAAATATCCTGCTGCTCCCTTTTCCTGAAATTGTTGTGTGATTGTTCTCAATTCTTAATTATTAATTTTCTTCAGTTTATACTCTACTAGCAATACTTTCCCCCTTCACATATTTTTTATTTATGCAGTTGCATTCATTTATTTTTTTTATCCAGTCTGGTTTTCTACAATTTCTCTCCCAACTTTAAACAATTACTACTCTCAAAATACTCTCCAGATGTAGTTTTCAAAGTGCCAGTGCCTAGTTCTCTTATTTTTCTTCTTTCCTGAGATGTACAATGGTTTCAACTATTTTCCAAATTCTGTCTCTCATTAGTCATTCTTCCTTGTGCAGTTACTTTCTGAAATTATGTTTTCCTCGTGTTAGAAACTGGATGGAAGTTCAGTGTGTAACGCTCTTTCTCTCATAAAATCTACAATGGCTCTGAAGAGGTAGTTGCAGTTTTTCAAATCAACTGTTGTTTATTTCAACTGTCACCAACTGCCGCTTCCTCCCCTTTCATAACTGTCAAGGCTTTTTAGTGTTTCTAGAATTTGTTTCCAATAGGAGAGTTCCCACCCCTCATCACTCTTTTGAAACTTTTGTCTTTGTCATTTTCTTTTTTTAACAAAGCACGGGACCGCTAAGTTTGCCGTTTATAGGGATGATGATTACTATCCCAAATGGCTCAGGCACCATATGAAAGTTAAAACAAAGAAGCAAATTGTGTCCACAAGTTTCAAATCCAGTAAAATGCCTCAAAAGAATAGACACAATATGATTCTGTTGTTTCACATTAATTAAACAACACCAAAAAATCCTACCCTCAATCCAGATTGTACAAACAAAAGAACAGCACAGAAGAGAGAATCCTGTGAACATAGCTTTCTCTACTTTATAGGGGGCAGATATTATTATTAATTAATTAACCCTATAAAATTTTCTTGGTAATGAACAGGAAGCATTTTTTAAATGCAATACTGAGCCTAATGTTGCAACTCTTTTTTTTATGACCAGGTTTAGCTTTCCCTGACATTCTTATTAATGGAAAGGAAAAGTTTTGATTTTTGCATGTCATTCAGTGGCTAATCCACATCATTTACATAAAAGGGTTTTTTTTTAATACTGCCTTTCCATTGTCAGGGCAGTTCATAAAGTAGTACTGAAATACAGTAAGAAATAAAGTAACGGCCTAGAATTTCAAGTAATTTCAAGTGCTTCTCTAAGGATTTTCAGGGTCTGCCTGTCCCTCAGCCTGCTACATAAAATGATTCACCACGACCTACCAGAATTCCTGAACCTTTGAGGGCAATGCTTCTGTCTGCGTAAATATGTGTACTTTTAGAAGGAAGGTTGGGTACGAATCAATAGAATTAAATAAATGTATGCTTTGCCAGAATTCTAGGAAAAACAGCAGGACATCTATACATTACTTTTTCTAATGGTCTTTCCTGAATTCTGTGGAGGAATTGTAACTTGTATTGCCTTTCTTACCAACTTGAATATTTGATTGACTGTATATATTTATATATCAATCGTTCATCTCCTCCCAATAAATATCAGAACTTTAAGAACACATGAAGAGCCTATCTAGTCCGGGATTGTTTTCACAGTGGCAACCAGATGCCTATGGGAAGCGTGCAAGTAGCTTATGAGAGCAACATCACTCTCCCACTCCTTATCCCCAGCAACTGATATTCAGAGCATACGGCTTCTAATCCTGGAGGTAATATAGCTGTTAAAACTAGGAGCCAGTGATCGTTTTATCCTCTGTGACTTTGCCTATTTGCTCTCCAAAGCTCCTTTTATAGACTTGTTTGTGGTGACAATCTCGGTCTTCTGGCAAATCTTCAAGCAGTCCTCTCACAGTCAGCGACTACTTTTTCCACGTGTCTTCATTTGCGCAGTTGTATCTCATTTTATTTGTTCTTCAAAGTCCACTTTTTAAAATCCATTTTTTCCTTTCCCCTTCAATTCAGGTGCTTCCATAGTTGTCCTCCATTCCTCCGTCTTACCTTTTTTTAAAAAAAAAAAAACACCTCCTCAAAGCTTGCTTCCAATCTTTCAAACAGCAGAAGGTTTAAAACTCTTGTGGCTACCGCTTTTCCAATGCCCTTCACTAGGCAACAACTGCCATCTCAGGGAAACTAGATCAATAGAGGCGAAAGGGAATCTCAGGGTTTATGGGCAGATGACAGACCTCTTTCCCTGCAATGTTTTGCATTCCATTTCATCACTATTTGATTTACATTGTAGGCAAGGCATTTCAAGAGAGCAAGGTATTCAAATCAAATGTCATCATTCGCCAATGATGAGATGGTTATGAGCTAATCACTTAACGCATGCCATCATTTCGGTCTAGTAAAAATCCTTGAACAGTTCTCTTTGTGCTTTTTAAAATTCCACAGCTGCTGAAAGACTTTCTTAGTACGCAACTGCTTGGCTTATGCATCTGGAACCAAGCTTAAGCACTCCTTTTCATGGTTACTTAAAAATTGGAACAGCTGGGAAGGGAAGCTTTGGGGGGGGGCTTTAAGCTTTGAAGCAAGAATTACAAAAATAGTCAGGCATTAGCACCACAGCAATGAGCCACAGTGATTTCAAATGGTCATTTTAAAATACTGGTAATGCTTGAAAAACACTGACACTCAGTACATGGCTTTTGTATTTATACAGTAAATAAAGCATTTTATGCCATTAAATCCAAACACTCTATTTTTAAAGTAATTGCATAGCCTGTGCTTTACAGTTCACCTCATTCTAGTCTTTATGTGGATAGGGGTTTTGCTCACAAGATTAATTGCTGAAACCTGTTTACAAGAAGAGGTCAGTGGTTTGGATCCTATGCACATTTATAGAACTGAACTCAAAATGTCGATTGAAGTCTATATAGGATTTAAGGCATGACTAATGCATCCCATTGCTTTCAGTGGGACCTAAATGCAACTAAGGGCTTATCCACACTTACCTTTGCTCTGCTCTTTCCAGGTACCACCTGCGCTTTAAAACTCCATTTTCCAAGTGACCCCCACTTGTTTTACTCTGGAGCCTTCCCTATGAAAACCCTCTCCTTCAAGCTTAATTGGAACAAATGGCAATCCTTTGAAAACTCAAATCGACAACTGTGACAATTGAGCACCAAAGAGCAGTTTTCACAGTGAAAGCTCTGGGGCAAAAAGAAAGGAAGCACTTGAAAGTGGAGTTTTTAAGCACAGATAAGTGTGGATAAGCCCTTTGTCTGGATCCAACTCAACATCCATAAGAGAGGGATGTGGAAGTATGTGCTTGTGTCATAAGATCCATCTTTTTTCACAGTAAAGGTCAGCAGAATAAAGTCAGGGCTGTTTTGCAGGAATGCATCACCCTGTTGTAAAGCACATTTGTATGTACCTTGTGCATTCTTTTGCATGTTTTCTGCCTACAGGATAATGAAATGAGTTATGCTTCCCATTTCATGTATTTGATGTAATGATAGCAAACAGATACAGGAAATCTTGGAATGCATTAAGTGATTTTCTTCCATGCAAGTTCCATGTTGAATCTTATACCACTTGCTTTGAAAGCAGGAAGCACAGCTCATGCTTCCTGTCCCCCTTTTAGCAGGTAAATTAAGCAGATATTGTTCTACATAAATGCTCCCTTGTTCTTTGTCCCATGTAAAAGGCACTACCATTGGCAAATTCCAGGCTCTGTCTAGGGATCATGGGTTTGTGCCTTAAGAAGAGCACCTCCTGGAGGGGACTGAGTGTTGCGGCTGGAACAGTTAATCTGCATTCAGAACAGGGCTATGTTGAGATAATGACTGTTATGTTTATGTAACTGTTTCCTTCAGTGCTAGGTGTGACTGGCAAAGGGACTGAGGTGCCATGCATAGATTCCACCCACACACCCATGTCTTGGCTGTGATGAGAGGACCCAGGTGAACTGTTAGGAATCTACAAGTGTGCGAACACACCCACATACATTTAAATCTACTAGTCACTTCAAAGTTCAGAAGAAAATGTTCTTTGTTTGGAAGTGAGAAAATGAAGCTGCCAGCCAAGGCCTGAGAGCCTACATAACCACTTCCCAGTTGCATGTCTAATCAATGGTGACTGGAGGAGTACAGCCTTTAGAGTTGTGCAGAAGAGAGGATTTCAGCAGGTGCAGATTTTTTCACACCTGTACACCTGGGCAAAATATGCAGTTCCTAAATGATAATCAAGCTCCTTGTTCACCTTTGCTTCTGGTCATCCATGCACTGATGGATCCCCATGCTAACCCACCAACTCCTGTTCACATCTGGACTTGTCAGGAATGGAAATTTCCTGGGGTCTATTTCTGGAGGCCATGCTCTGTCAACAGCTCTTTGGCAGCACACGGAGTTTGTGTCCTGCCAGGAGAGTATTATTGTATTGAGCTGAGTTGTTTAATGTCAAAAAGAGGAGGCACCTAGTTTTTATGGGCAAAACACCCCAACAACAGACATTGATAGTTCCACTGAGACCCACCCTCAGAGGGCAGAAAGGGCGGTAAGGTGGATAGACTGTAGTGTGGCTTATTTTGGTAGCCAGGTGGAAAGGAGGGAAGGATTTCTGTACCTTTCACAGAAGTGGGGAAAAGGGAATTTGGTCATGCCAGGATTAAGAAAAGCTGTACATTATGGAAATTTCACTTCTACATAGCTGCTTTTCAGTTAATTATTCTATCTTGGAAAAGCATTGGACACAAAAGTAATAAATAAATATATAAACTTGGCTTTTGCACAGGACTGGATATAAAGACAATACAGAGACCACAGTTTTATCAAATTAAGTGGACAATTGCTTTTTTTTAAAATAAAAAAAGTCATATACAGTGAAAGTCAAACACAGTCACACATTACTTCTAAGAGAAAATTTCTCTTTTGAAAATTGGATTTGTAAAAAGAAAGTTGAAAGAGAAAGTAAACAGGGTCAAACCTCCCCAGAATTCTTGTGGGTTCTTCAAAACTGCAATAAACCGAAGTTCAGCCAGAATGTAGCACCAAGGCCAAGAGAACGTCAGCTTGGTTAACAAGCAAAATCAAAGAAGGTATTAGAGGAAAGAAATAATAGAACCATAGAATTCTAGAGTTGGAAGGGATCCCGAGATTCATTTGGTCCAACAACTTCCCTACAAGGAAATATTACATATTTGGGACTCTGGTTTAGGAAAAAGGTGAATGGGGATGGGGGAGCATGGTATAAGAGTATAAAATTGTGCCTTGTGTGAAGAAAGTGGATAGAGGGGGGATTTTCCTCCATTTCTCGTGATACTAGAATCTGATGTCATCCAGTGAAGCTGAATGTTACAAGATCCAGGAAAGGCAAAGAAGTACTTCTTCACAGAGTGCATAGTTAAACTATGAAATCTTCTTCTATACGATTTAGTAATGGTATAGACAAATTCATGAAGGATAAGGCTACGAGTAACTACTAGCCATGATGGCTGTGCACAACATCTGGTATCAGGCACTATGTCTCTGAATGCTGGGGAGCACAAGCAAGGATAGTGCTCTTGCACTCATGTACTACTTGTAGGCTTATCATGGGTCATAGGCTGGTCACTAAAAACAGAATACTGGACAGATGGGTCTTTCATCTAATCCAGCAGGTTCCTTCATATATTCTTATGCTCCTTTTGAAGAATTTTTGTTGGAAACCAAGACTCCTGGCTCCTTGCTGTAGCTAAAATGAATATACAGTATATTGGGGTCAGTGGGAAGAGCCATGAGCTGGGAATTCTGATTCCTAACGTCTATAGCAACATCTTTTGAGTTGTGTGAATATGTTTTAGAACTGTAGAAAAGGCACAAAGCTTTGAATCAGCCCATCTGACATTTCAACTTTGGGCACCTACTGATTAGTTTGGAAAAGAAGTCAGACCAGCTGTTCCCCAGATGTTGCATGCCATGTAGTGGTCAGAAGCAGTGCCTGATTTTTTTTTGGGGGGGGAGGAGGAATGTCAAATATATTATGCCCATCTGAAAGTCTATTCTGTAACCTGTCCCAGTTCATTTCTAGAGGTGGGTAAGCCATGGCTCACCAGTGCTTGAGGCTCAGAAAGGTGCATGATTGAAGGCACTCCTCTCTTCTAATCATCACTCTGGCACTTAGAAATGGACTTGAAATATTTTGACCTATACTCTAAGCATGCAAGTGGGCACATGGAATGCTTTGTCTCTCATGCCTGGACCTGTTCTGGAGGCATCTTCCTCCAATCTGTCCTCCAACCATCAATCTCATCCTAGTGAGTAAACAAATTAAGCAGGCAGGCAAAGAGAGGCGGCTGCTCGGAAGTCTTTGCGGGTAGATGGCTGCATGCCTGACCTTTCCCTCCGCCAAGCCCAGGTGCTGCTAATGTGGTGTCAAGTATTAATTACCTTCCAAATGAGGCCAGGAGGGTCAGGCTATCTCCCTGCAGCTGGTTCCTCCCAGAGTGAGAGGGAAGCTGAGCAGAAAGGACAGAGGAGAACCCTTCTGGGAGGGCAGAATTTGCAGTTTGAGCTGTAGATTGATTTGTTGGTATAATGTGTTAAAGAGGCAATAAACTCCATAAAGCTTACTATCAAGACAGTGTTATCCCAATAGGCATTCCATATGTGCCATTTGTCATGAATATTCCTGCCTTGTTAAGAGTGTAACCGTAAGCAGGGGTCATAGAATCATAGAATTGTAGAGCTGGAAGGGATCTCGAGGGTCATCAAGTCCAACCTCCTGCAATGCAGGAATCTCAACTCAAGCATCCATGACAGATGGCCATCCAACCTCTGCTTAAAAACCTCCAAGGAAAGAGAGTCCACCACCTCTCATGGGAGTCTGTTCCACTGTCAAATAGCTCTTACTGTCAGAATGTTCCTCTTGATGTTTAGTCGGAATCTCCTTTCTTGTAACTTGAAGCCTTTAGTTTGAGTCCTAGCTTCTGGTACAGGAGAAAACAAGCTTGCGCCATCCTCCATGTGACAGCCCTTAGGTCAGGGCAGCCCTTGGCAACATTTGACCTCGACAGAGCCTAGTCCCTCCTTCCCAAATCCTGGTGCCTTGCTTATCCAGCTTTGGGAAGACAGCATGAGGGTGGCAGGGGTGTGTGTCAAATTTTGACCTTGCTGCCCCCTCCTGAGCAAAGCTATAGTGTGCAGCCCATGGGTACCATTTTGAAGTACCTTTGTGGCCCATTTGGTATGAATAGTTGGACTGCCCTGCTTTAGATATTTGAAGATGTCTATCAGATCTCCTCTCAGGACTCATCTACACTGCTGCAAATACGTTTTAAATGTGTTGTAAAGTGCAATATACAAATGTGACCCTAAATGGTGATAGTGAACTATGCAAACCTCAAATGTATTTTTCAAAACTTTTTCATGGGGGTTTTCTATGTGTGTAGATTCCATCTCAGTCTCCTCTAGACTCTACATGAGTCCTAGAATGTGTTTTCACTGCTGTGGCTCAACCTTGAAATACAAACGAAGGGGGCTTCTGGAGCATGTGTAGAGTGTACATGAGCTAGCATGCAAGGAAAACCTGTCTACAAATTGCAGGAATGTAGGTCATTTCCTGCGACCTTTCAGCATGCAGAAGATGTGGCATCAATAGCTATGGAGCAGTGGTGGTGCAAGAGGAAAAATGATGGGGGCACAGACAGGGCCAAGTTACAAGGCCCACCCTAAACATATTCTCTGAAGTAAGTCCTATTGGTTTGAGCTGAGTCTTCAATAAGAATGCTTAGGTCTGCAGCTTTAATTTAATCTATTAATGTATTAATTGCATGTGGAAAGTGCTTTTCCTTCAAGTAACCATAGGTATCTGGTAGTGATGGGGACGTGAGCTACTTGTTGGGGGTTGCTGCCCTTGCTTCCCCTTCGTGCTGCCTTGGGCAGTGGGGAACCTGTATGGCTCATGAAATCCTGCTGATCATGTGAGATTCCTCTCTGGGCTTCTTCTTTTTTAAAAAAGCCTTGCCTTGTTAGATTAGAAATAAAGCCAGTAACCCTATAAGTGTATACACAGTGCTCTTTCTGGTAATAAATAAATAAATAAATAAACAAATCAGGTCCCGCTATTCATATATTGGTAAAAGCATTGTGGGTTCCAGTGCAAAATGGCTGTCGTGGACAGAGAAAATAGAGGTGCTGCTAATCGGTGTCAGTGAGAACTATCACAAAAAAGGCCTAGGTGCACATAAATAAGAACTAAAGAACAAATCTAATATATAAAAATAGATTCAACCATAAAACTAGTAGGAGCAATAAAATATCAAACCGCATGCAATAATCAGCCTAAAAAAAACCCAACACGAGGAGCATCTTCAGTGACTCACTCAAACGGCCTGGCACTGGCAAGTCTCCTTTTTTATGTAAGAGGCTTGCAGTGTTGTGACAACTACAGAGTTAAAAACAAAGCAACCTGGGCATCAGGGCGGGTCCAAGACATTTTGCTGCCTGAGGTGGAACAGCAAATGGCACCCATCTCTGGTCAAGTCAAGAGTCATAGTGTCCTAAACTGGCACCTGAGGCAGAAAATCCCACAAATGCCTGTCCCTGGGAATATAATAATAGCAATAATAATAAATTAAAATGTAAGAATTTTCTGCCCTTCTATCAGAGGTGGTTTTAGGGTAGAGTGACTGGTTTGGCTGCAGGGGGCGCCACAACAATGCTGTAGAATGGAGTGTGAGAGCCCAAAGTCCGCCATCTCTTCCATTATGCTCAAAGTCAGCTTCCTGAGATGAGCATCTCACTCGACCTAACAGCAGGGCTGATACAGGTAGGCATTCTAACATAACATTGTACCCCAAAGAGACAAATAGATGAGTTTACTCTGCAGTCCGGACTCCTGTTTCCAGTGATAATTAAAACAATACATGAAGTGAATTCAGCCTGGCATTTTACCACATGTTTTGCATGACAACCTAGGTGTGTGCATGCCTAGCTGTCAATACATTTTGCTAATGGAGGCAGAACGAGAAATGGATCCCCCAGTGCAATGCAAGGTATACAGTGGTACCTCAGGTTAAGTACTTAATTCATTCCGGAGGTCCGTACTTAACCTGAAACTGTTCTTAACCTGAAGCAGCACTTTAGCTAATGGGGTCTCCTGCTGCTGCCGCGCCACCAGAGCACGATTTCTGTTCTCATGCTGAAGCAAAGTTTTTAACCTGAAGCACTATTTCTGGGTTAGCGGAGTCTGTAACCTGAAGCATATGCAACCTGAAGCGTATGTAACCTGAGGTACCACTGTATAGCACCCAAGATCAGTCAGGTTCATTTAGGACCTGAGGCAGAAGAAACATATTACATATTGAGAAAGTGGAGCTGGTTGTGAGGGGGAAATGGATTGCAAAAGATTTTAACAGAGTATTGCTGCTTTGGTTGAATAGTCATTGTGTTTATCCACTATACATTTGAGGTTTGCAAAGGAAACCAAGACTTTATCTTTTACATTTCCTGACATTTCAGATCTACTGGTTTACTTCTTTTTTTATTTAAACCCATGTTAACTAAGAATAATAGTTTATGCATATGGTGACATGAATGGCAACTTTTCCAACAATCTCACAATATCTTTTTGCGTTGCTATAAATGCCTACAGACCTGCCCCTCCAATTTAAATACCAACATCATTGATTTATTAATCACCTTCTAAAGAAGCATCTCAAGGCAAGCCACACAGAAGATAATTAAAACAGTTAAAAACTCAAAATACAGCAAAAAAATAAAACAAATCAAGTCGAAAACCATAACAAAGTAGACACATGTGGCAAAGATCCATTTATCCAACTAAATGTGGGTTAGCTTTCTCATGAGTTGCACTAGATGATCCTCAAGGTGCCTTCCAACTCTACAATTATATGATTCTATGAACTACCCACCCCCAGCCAGCCAGTGCCAGGCTGGTCTCATGAGGAAGCTAGCTGGTATTTTTCCCAGCCCTTGCTAAACTCATGAATTTGTGAGTTTGCTCAAATCCTAACACGTCACTAAATGTAAAGATTATGCGTGGCCTGCCCCCCACCCCAAATTCATATTGGTATATATCCCTCCCCTGATAATAATAAGATACATGAGTATGCAAGGCAAATGTTGCCATTTCCTGGGAATATCCAGATTCTTAATCCTTTGGTTGGGACCTAAATTCCTGAAGTCAATCAATTGTTTCTCTTAATTCCTAGCAGAGTAGCAAATGACTAATTAGCTGTATGCCCAATCTGTCAATTTTGCTGGCTTTCTATTCTCACCAGGGCCTGCAAAGAGGCAATCTTTGCCTTGTACGGCCAAGGTTTCCTGTGTGGGTACCACTGAGGCCCCTGTTGGGTACCGCGGAAGCTGGTGTTGGCATCCCTGTCCCATTGCAGAGGAGATAGCGACATTCTTCCCAGTGACGTCTCCAGGAGCTGTGAGAAGGAATGAAACGGCCAAGGGGCAGCACAGAGCAAAGAGGGTGGAGGGGAAAGAGGTATAAATAGATGTGTTGGGCTGTAAATAGTCCCCCTCTGTGGCCATGCTGAGTGAAGGCCTGATGACAGAAGGACGTTCAGCAACACTCCAGACGTAGGCCCAAGCAGCTGTTGCTTGGGGGCTACCCTTGGGGATAGCAGAGGGCAGGGCATTCATAGCTTCCAGTTGTACCTATTTGATTGGAATGGCATTTGCTTTCTCACTGTATGTACCAGCTGCTGCTTTGTACTCAGTTCATGTGTACTGCTGGAACATAGCCACTAAATGCTTTAATTATGACTGATAGAATTTGCCTTGAGTGTGGCCTGTGCAATGGAGTCTGCAGAAGACCCTGTGTGCTGACAGTATTCTTCCCTGAGAACAGTGCTGTTGCTGACATATTACTGGCTCAAGAGAGGTGTTTTGTCCTAGGGGAGAGGAAGCACTTGATAGCTGCTTAGTAACTACCCAATACACTCCTCAACAGGACTTCGTTTCTAAAATAAGAGGGGTTAGGGCAGGAATTGCAATCATGGTACCCTCCAGATGTGGAATCGAGTCTTTGACCATTGGCTACACTGACTGGGTTGATAGCTTTGATAGTACAAAACATCTGGAGGGCACCACACCTGGAGGGCTACCCTTATGTTAGGAGTGGGGGAGAAATTTGATTCACATTTTAAGGCAAATTCAAGGTCTAAACCACAGAGCCTAGGGCTTGCCAATCAGAGGGTCAGCAGTTCAAATCCCTGTGACAGGGTGAGCTCCCATTGCTCGGTCGCTGCTCCTGCAAACCTAGCAGTTCGAAAGCACGCAAAGTGCAAGTAGATAAATAGGTACCGCTTCGGCGGGAAGGTATAAATGGTGTTTCCGTGTGCTGCTCTGGTTCACCATGCTGGCCACATGACCCGGAAGCTGTACGCCATTTCCCTCGGCCAGTAAAGTGAGATGGGTGCCGCAACCCCAGAGTCATCCGCAACTGGGCCTAATGGTCAGGGGTCCCTTTACCTTTACCTAATTTGCACTTTGTGAAACAACACAGGAACAGGGACATTGCTGCTCTTAGAAATTCTCTGTATTTTGCAGTTCAACTCTCCAGCCAACTGATGTGTACCAAAATGCATAAACAGGGGAAAGTGTACATAAAAATGCATATATTAGTGAAAATAACATAGAAAAATGCATTATATTAGGGAAAATCACCTTGCAATAATGTATACAAAGCTGCATGCAAGTGTGTGTATGTATATTAGAAGAAATTCTCACTAAAATGCTATGAATTTTCATAAGGACTTAAAACAACAACCATGAACTAATTTGGAAATGTGAGTCACTGAAATTAAGTTTGGAAGAATGAGAAACAGAGAGATTGGCAGATTCAGCCGTTCCTAGTTAGGGCTTAGGTTTTCCTGGAAAAAACACCTGCAATTATTAATATGCTTAATAAGGACCATCAGTGTACATAGTGCTTTACAGACAATACATAGGCAAAAATTAACATTTTAAGCCCCCAAGGAGCTGAAAATATAAAATAATAATGAAAATCTATTTTTAAAATAATATGCTCTATTCTAGAACTCTTTCCATTACTTCCACACATAGAGGAAGATTACTGTAAATCATTACTTTGGATTTTTTCATATGCAGGACCCCTTTGGGAGCTGCGCTTAGGACACCAAACCTATCCGCTGCACATGTCCTTGGAGTGTGCAGTGCCATGGACTTCATGCCACAACATGCCCCTCTGGTCCCCTCAAGGCTGGGACAGGTGGCGGGATTAGTTGCTAATGAGCGCTTACATAATGGGGTCAGGTGCGAGGCCCCCGTGGAGCCACCAGCTCATTGAACAGCAGCTCTGTCCTTATCAGGGTCTCTCGTGGCACCTGGGCTGCCACTCCCAACCCATGACGGAATGAATTAGCACCTCTCTTCTCCCTCCCATCCCTGGGCAGCAGCTGCACCTGACACGCCTCTCATTCTATAATCACTGTGCTAAATATAATGCAGCTGACAGAGTCCTCAGTAGAGGGTCAATGGGATGTGTTCAAAGCCAACATGGCACCCCACCCCACCGTTCCTTTTGCATTCCCAGCACAGATGAGACATTTAAGTCAGTTAGAGCAAGAACCTTACGGAAAATCTGTAAGGCAATCTTGATATCAATGTTGACCCACTGGGGAGCAGGGGCAGGGTTGGAAATAATAATAATAATAATAATAATAATAATAATAATAATAATTTATACCCCACCCATCTGGCTGGGTTTCTCCAGCCACTCTGGGTGGCTCCCAACAGCAACAACAACAACAAAAAGCAATAAAACATTAAACATTAAAAACTTCCCTAAAAATTTCCCTAAACAGGGCTGCCTTCAGGTGTCTTCTAAAAGTCAGATAGTTGTTTATTTCCTTGACATCTAATGGGAGGGCTTTCCACAGGGCGGGCGCCACTACCAAGAAGGCCCTCTGCCTGGCAATACCTTAACCAACCAGAATATCGAAACCTTCCCAAAGTCTAGTTAGCACTTTCTCAGCTTTAGGAAGGAGATGCTAGGGTTCTAGGACCCTGCGGAAGCCTCACACCTCCTTCCCAAAGCCTGGTACCTCGCATAGCATAGCCAGCTTTGGGGAGGCAGAACAAGGGCTGGGTATGTGCCTTGCTTCCCTCCCCCTCCCCACTCACAGGCCCACAACAAAGCAGTGTGTGGCCCATAGGTTCCTTGTTGAAGTACTTTTGTGGCCCACCTGGTGTCAAAAGTTGGGCCACCCTGATCGAGATCCTGCCTGGTTTTTTGTCACTACTTGAAAGGACTTAGTAGCAAAGTACAACCTTGGGGTTGTAACAGTAGCCTACTCTGATGTCACCTATGCTATTGTGATGCCATTAGCATTGTTGCCTACATTGTGATGTCATCCCTCTGATGTTCATATCCTGTTACCATGGTTAGAGCAAAAATCATATGGCTTGTCTAGTCTCCAAGAGCAAACTTCATTTTGAACTCCGATTGCTACCTCTCAGCTAGGGAGCCTGAGGGTCATCGAGTCCCAACACCTTGCAATGCAAGAATCTCAACTTTTGTGGGCATTCAAGCAAGTATTTGTGTACCAGTCGGGGGGGGGGGAGGATTTATATGTTTTATAAATGAGATGCAAGTTTTCCAATATACCAGACTTTCACAAAATAGCTAGAAAACAAAAATTAAACAAGTGTGTGTGACATGCCCAGACCTAACAGCAACCCACGGAGAAGCAACTGTCCAACAGAAGTAGGGGGTGTAGTTTTGTACACCACACATGTAAAAAACAAAACCCTGCCCGCACAATGCTTCAGTATGTCCACAGTTGGGTAATGTGACCCTATCCGCAGATCAGGATACACTTGGATAAGAACACTGTGTGAATGACATTGAAAAAATGGAATACATAGAATACACAGATGGAATACATTGACACCAACACCTTTAAAGCCTTGGAGAATGAATAAACTGTCTTGCTATCGGACTTTGCTGTGAAGCAACTACTGTGGGCAGTAGATTCAGAGCTTATCCAGACTTGCACTTGTCCCACCACTTCCTCCCAGGAAAGCCCAATCTTTACCGTTGAGTTGGAGCAAACGCCAATTTGCTCTGCTTTTGTACTAAAGAGCGGGTTTTCTGGGGGAAAGTTGTGGAGCAAAGGCAAAAGTGCATTGGCCCATGCTGTCTAGCCTTAGGACAAGTGGAAGTGTGGACAAGCCCACTGAGAGGGCACCATTTTTTTTGCCTACAATTGACATCTATGCACCACAAAAAGACAATGGTGCAAAAATGGTCTCAGACCACTGAGAAGGCTGGAACTAGGAAAAGACAGTTTTCCTCCAACTCATAGGGATTAAGATTCTACAGCTAATTTGCATAAGTCCTGCTTATTGGAGCAAGTGGCAGAAGCAACACCTCCAAGAAGATACCACCCTCCTTTGCTGGAACAGACAAAATGTCTAGCAGACCTTCAACAGCAGTGAGCTAAATGTCACCTGGAAAAGTCTCCAGCTTCTAGAAATTGGTAATATATTGCCTCTGAATGAAGGAAGCTTATTTTAATCTGTTACAATCATAGAAGCATAGAACTGTAAATTTTGAAGGGACGCCAAGGGTAATCTAGTTCAACCCCCTGAAATGCAGAAATCTCAACTAAAGTATCCATGACGACCGATGGCCAGCCAATCTATGCTTAAAAACCTCCAGTGAAGCTGAGTCCATCAGCTCCCAAGGGAGCCTGTTTCACTGTTGAATTGCTCTTACTGTCAGAAAGTTCTTCCTGATGTTTAGTTGGAATCGCCTTTCTTGTAACTTGAAGCCATTGGTTTGAGTCCTACCCTCCAGAGCAGAAGAAAACAAGCTTGTTCCATCTTCCATGTGACAGCCCTTTAGATATTTGAAGATGGCTATCATATCTCTTCTACGTCTCCTCTGTTCCAGGCTAAACATACCCAGCTCCTTCAACTGTTCCTCATAAGGCTTGGCTTCCAGACCCTTGATCATCTTGGTCACCCTTCTCTGTTAAAATTTAAATTCTTAATATTTTCTCCATTAAAATGCATGGGACTTTATTAAGTAGCATTGGGGGGAGGGGAGAGATTAGGTCCCTGACCCAGAGGCCTTATGAACACTGTGGCGTGTGGCAAGTGTGAAATTTTGTTTATTTATGATAACGATACCTTTTATCATCCTTATTGACATCACCAGCAAAACTCCTAATTCTAATGTATTGGATACATCTTTTTATTTTATTTTTACCAAAGTAAGCATAATGATTATAATTTAATTGTTTATTATTGCAGAGTTTTGTCCATCAGATTCAGACATTAGTGAAGGTGTCAGCTTTTCTCCTAAAATCATCCCTCTAAGTGACTTCTTACACTATTGTAGTAGTTTTATTAGGAGTAGGTTTAACTGATCAAATTGACTGGGGGAAGAGGATTTTCAACTATGGAAGGGATTTCAATTATGGTTCTTGGGTTGTGTCTGTATGACATTGTGATGACATCTCGTGGTCATTTCAGGAATTTACTTCTGAGACAGTGGATATACAGTATTACCAAAAAGAATACACCTAGTGCTTGGCTCCTGCCCTTTCCAGCCTTCTCTACTCGTTCCTCCCATTTTGCACAGGAATGATCACACAAAATTCAACAGTTTATTACATAGAAAGGTTCAATGACCAGCCTACACAAACAAATGAATGGAGTATTCATGAAGGCTTATGCTAAAATCCAAAATATTTTAGAAGATAATACTGATCAGGCCACCACACATCAATGTAAGCAATTATACAAACACTTATTTGAACATTTTTCTTAGCGCAATCTAGTACCCAGTGAATCTAGTACCCAATCATAATCGGTTCTGCATTTTTACCTTTGAAATTGCTATATCATGTTCATTTTCCAAAAAATCTACAAATTCGTTTGACTTCTGGATTTCAGACCATGCAGCCTCCTGTGAACTGTGCAATGTTTCCCAATTTTACCATTCTCAGCACATTTTTCTAGTTAACTGCTTATAAATAGATCAACCAAAACCCCATAACCATTGGGGTGGAGGTTTCCTATAGTACCTTTTTGTAGCATGTGTGACCTCTGCTTATGGCATATTTAATGGGATTTCATGGGAGGTGGGCTCACCTCATAGCAGAAGTTTGACTTTAGTTGGCTTGAGAGGCAACTTCCTTTCCTTATAGAAAGTCCTATTTTCATTTTAAGGGCAGCTGGTTATGCATTTGGCCTTCATCCTGCGTATTTTGAGCTGAGGAGGACTGGGCAGCTGCTGGCTGCAGTAAGGTAGGCAGCACCCCCACAAGATGGTTCACAGAAGCTGCCAGCTCAGCCAGACTGCGGGCAAGAGCCTCTAGTTGAGAGCCCTGATGTTGAATGGTAGTAGAGAGGGAGCCTAGTTCCCCACGGAGACCTGTCATTGCATGGACCAAGTTTTCCAGGCCAGGTGGTGAACAGCAACAGCCTTGATCCTTTCCCCTTGAGTCCTGCCTAAAAGGGAAGTCCGAGGGTGACTCGCTAACTGTAGCACTGTGGGTGACAGATTCAGGCAAAGTGGTGTTTGGACCTGGTGCTTCAATCAAGCCTGGTGCGGAGGTGGTACCTATGTATTCGGAGAGACAGAAAATAACCAATGACTGTATTGTGCCTTGACACCATCACCCCAGTAGCCAGTAAGGAGTATCCCCAAGGTGGTGTGTTTGCATGTTATGTGGTCAACTAAACTACAAAAACACAATGGCCATAGCTTGTGACTATGATCAATAAGCATAGCCAAAGGTATATAAAAGGAGGAAATTCTTCTGTGAAAACTGACTTTGTCCAGGAGGAAGTGCCATCCCTGACTACTGGACTTAAACATGGCCAGTGAGGTAAGTGAGACCCAATTCTGAACTTTTGACAGCTATAGAATGTGTGGAAATTGTTAACGATGCTCTGCAGTTTGGGAAGAGGCCTTCAAAGTAAGACCCTTTTCCTAGCCTCAGCAGTGAAGCTTTGTCTCTGATACTTACCAGCTCCTCTTTCTGTGTTTCCTGAGCTCACCATACTATCCTCAAGCAGCCCATCCATAGAAACTGTATGTGACACTGTACTTTGGAGCAGAACAGTCGTATCATGAACATCTGTTTCAGCCAAAGTGGTCAAGACAATGGGAGCAATGGTAGGCTCTGGTGCAAATGGAGAGGGAGAATGTGGTAACATTAAATGAGAGCAGCAGAGTTAAATAACACCCCCCCCCAAAAAAAAGAGCAGGGTATGTTTGATCTTAGGAGGGTGGCTGAGGCTATCTCAGGCCCGTTCTCCATCAACATGCCTGCCAAGAAAGTCTGGCAATTGCATAGGTTTCTGGAGGATATTCTGCAAGGCATTCTTCATTCACAGAGAGCTGGGGCTCACCTTTAACCCGCACCAACTGAGAGAGCTAAAGGGGAAGGTATGTTCCTGCCTAATAAGCAGTTCAGGCATAATATAAGTAGTTTGTGTGGTTGGGTGTCTACCAGCATCCATGCTCAGGCAGGAACCCACCACAGACAGCTAACAGAGTCTCTACAGTTGCTGTCACTGCGAGGAGGGGTGCAGAGGGAGAAATGCTACATAGCAGCAGCAGTAGCAGCCTGCTCACCTTTCCCCTCTTGGGAGGGGAGAAAATACAGAGTAAGTGAACAATTGACCATTGAGCAGAACTGACCACATTTTCTGTTCCTCCTACTCTTCCAGGCAATTCACCTGCCTTTCCCCTTAGGTTGCATACACATCACACATTTAAAATATGCTATCATCTCCCCCCTCCTTTCGAATCCCAAGAATTGTAATTTACCCTCACAAAGCTACAGTTCCCAATATTCTTGGAGGAGAATGTGTGTGCATTAAATATACTGTATGTTTGCAGCCTTTGCCAGGCAAACAGGTTGATGGCAAAGGAGGGAAAAGAGGTGGATCTGCTGCCAGCCACCCATCTACCAACTGACTTTCTTGTCAATCTCCTCTTCTCTGAGATTTTGCTTCAGAGGGAAAAGACAGGCTTCTGCTCATCCTCCAGTTTACCTTCCTGCTCTCTCCCTCTAGTGGTGAGAATGATGAGGAACAACCACTGCCCACACTATTTGACTAAAGGGGCCCAAATGAAGATACTTTACCTGAGGCCCCTCAAAATCCTGGAGCTGACACTGAGGCAGCTACTCACCTGTGGGCCCGATGGTATGGGAATATGTGTTTGATTCCTCTTGTTGCTTCTGATCTGTGTTCTCTTCAGAATGTGAAGATTTGTGGTTTATGGATTCCATGTTGTTTACAGATGGTGCATTCTGTGTGGTTGCCGACAATTCCATCTCTCTTGCAACCTTCAAGATATTTGAGAACAGGAACAGCTCCTTTACTACATTATCAATTACATTCACTCTTTCAGGTTCCTGAACTGATGTGGAAGTGGTAGGCTGATCTGTAGCTGTGGGATTGGTAAGTTCTACCTTCTGTACTGAGGGCACTTTAAATGCAATGTCCGAGTGCTTAGACTGCACTACCTCTGTTGCAAGTGTTAGGCCTGGTTCAGCTATGGGCAGTCCTGTTCCTGTTGGGCTTGTTGTCGCTGTTTCTTCCTCAGATTCCAGTTCCTGCATGGCTAAGGCTGGCTGAAACTCAGCTGTGAAGGGGGTGGGGGTTTGTCCCAATTCGTGTGTTTGTGGCCTTGTATTGGGGGTGCTGGTTGACTCTGTCCCCTGAACACGCAGGATCTCTAAATTAAGTGTTGCTTTATCTATATTCCACAGGCTTACTGTCTCTGTTTCTCTTTCAGATACCAGATCCAGTGTGGCTGAGGTTGGCAGAGATTCAACTGAGGCATAAATGGGCTCTTGTCCCCTTTCCTGTGAGGATGGTTCTGTCTTTGGAGTGTTGCTTGACTCCATCTCTTGGATGTGCTGCAGGGCTTCTGTATTAGTGGTTGTTTCAATTCTGTTGAAGGGGCTCGCTTGCTTTTGCTCCTTTTCCAGTTCGAGCTCCACAGTTTGTGTGGTTAGGATTGGTGCTTCAGGGAACTCTAGCTCCCAGCTGGCTGAAAACTCCTGAGTAGTTGTGCTGGTCTCAGCCACATCCAAGATGCTTTGCCCTGGATTCATGGTTGTAGCAGGTGCAGCTATCTTTGAATTGCTTGATGAGTTTGGCAATGACAGATGCTTCCACCTGCCTGAAAATACAGAAGGTGTTCCTACATCACAGACTAAAATTACTTTAACAGTCATTTCTTCTTGGTGGGGAATTATAGCAGTGCAGGGAGAATTCTCAGCACCCTCACCTAAATAGATTCCCAAGATGGAAAGTCATAGCAATTAAGCTGCCATAAAACCAATATACTCCTGCCAACCTAGCAGTTCGAAAGCACATGAAAGTGCAAGTAGATAAATAGGTACCGCTCCAGCGGGAAGGTAAACGGCATTTCCGTGCACTGCTCTGGTTTGCCAGAAGTGGCTTAGTTATGCTGGCCACATGACCCGGAAGCTGTACGCTGGCACCCTCGGCCAATAAAGCGAGATGAGCGCCGCAACCCCAGAGTTGGTCACGACTGGACCTAATGATGAGGGGTCCCTTTACCTTTACCTAAAACCAATATAAGTCTTTAGTACTGTATATCCATACCCAGAATAAGGTGTTTACTGGAGTCTCCAGAATGAAACTTGGTTTAGCCCATTTGAGATTGTTACTGCTTTCCCCCCCAAGGACACTGAATTTTCTATTATTGGCTTATTCACAAGTTCAGGGTTCTCTCTCCTAAATATGGCATATCTGTTTTGGAACCAGGCAAATGGACTCACTGAACATGACTGGGAATCAGCTGGTAAACTGAGTTGTTCCCTACCTGTGCAGATGACTGAAGCATCTTCATGATGATTGCAGTTATGTGTCCCCCACGGCTGGGAGCGGCAGTTCTGTAGAGTGAACTCTGCCCCAGTGCAGTTGACATCATCCAACCAGATAGGTCCAGATCCTGGCCCATATCTTGCATTACCAGGGCTGAGAAGAGGGGCCCCACAGCCCAACTCGCGGCACACCACTGCCGCGTCCACCAGATCCCAGCCATCATCGCATACTGTGCCCCAGTAATCTTGATACAGAACCTCTACCCGTCCAGCACAGGATCCAGGGCCTCCTTGCAGCCGCACCTGCCACTGGCCTGAGTTTAAAAGCATATGAAGAGGAAATGTTTATAGGATAAGAGGCGTTAAAAGTCCTTGCATCACAGATCTCTCACTTGTAAACCATGGTCCTTCCCTTTGAGGTTCTCAGTTCATTCTAGTGAATCCCAAAGGCCTCTATTTTTTATAATGATGATATTGCTTTTCTCACAAAAGTGACCCAAAGCAACTTACAGCCACAGTATAAACATTAAAACAAATTAAAGCACAAATAAATAAAAATCTAAACACAGTATCATTGCAAGGAATCCAGATACCATGACTATGCAGCCCATGTCCCCTGAAAGCAGTTCAAGACAAAACTAGATGCCATGTGGAAGATCCATGATTGGATCTCCCCAAATTTTGTCATTTACTCAAATGAAAGTGGAGTCGTACCTGTTTGCTTAGGTAGCAGCAGGTGGGGGAATGGAGGGGCCCTATGTTTTAACTTGACCTTCACTCATGTTTTCAAGGGGGCCATAAAACAAGTAAAACATGCTGTGTAATGTGATAACTTCCTTGAGCACTGAGATGTCTCAACTGAATTTTGTTTCATAATTCTTTATTTGAAGTTCAACCAGTGGCTCAATCTCTGCTCTCTTTTTTAAGGGGTTTGTTGAAGCAAAGATGCAAAATCTGTTGACATGTAATATCTTTTGTCACTTAGATTGTGTTTTCATAGTTGTTAATTATATTGGCACCCCAATTCCAAACAAGAAACAGCACCTGTGCAAATTGCCTGGGAGTCAATAATGGACATAAACACCTACCTCTCTCTGCTACTCACCATCTGGCACTGTTTCCTTTTGGCTCTTCTCTATTTGTAATGCTTCATTAGCTACAGTTGCTTCTTGATTCCCTGTAGGCTGAGTAGGACGGGGAATTCTTTTAGGGGCTACATACCGGCGCCTCTGGGGTGCCAAGGTCCTTGTGAGCATGGCCACATGCTCTTCCACCATGGCCAGGGGCATCTCACCTGTGAGGAGATGATACACCATGTGACACAGACACAGCGCATACAAAGGAAGCTTCAGTGCAACCATATCCCTACACAATAATTTAGAGCAGAATTAATACTGGTATAACCATTAGCTTCTCCCTTGGGTGCTGGATGTCTTTGAGTGGGTTGGGTTGCTCCTGTTGCTTGGGAAGGCAGAAAACCATTTGCTTCAGAGGAATTTCTCAACTCTGTCTTCCTGTTGAAGCCTCAGTATTCCTGTTGAAGTCTGGTATTCCAATACTGCAAAACAAAACTGGCTGAAGAGAAGACACATGACCAAGCCTGAGATTCCTAATCTCAGAATTATAAGAAGCAGCACTCAGTCAAGTGCCCATAGTGCAAGCATGACCTGAGTGTGGAAGAACACTCTGGGATCAGCACATACCAGGAATATAGGACTATAGTCTCTGACCACTTACTGACAGCCTGTGGTCAAGATAACAAAAAGTGTCCAAGAAGTATGAGCAGCTTGAGACAAGAATGTAATAGCCATGGCAGAAGACACTTAATTTTCCATCCAATATATCATTAGCTTTAGTACACCTCACTGTGAGATATCCAGTACTTAAAGGAAAAGATAGCATTGGTCTTACTGTGAAAGTTGTTGCACAGGTCACATCCTAATAGTGGTTATTTCACACTGTTCCTTATATTGCTAGCTAACTTGTAGTCCTGACATCCAATTTTGCCAGAGCCCATACTCTTCTACAATCTCTTCTGTTGCTTATACATACACGTGTGTGTGTGTGTGTGTGTGAGAGAGAGAGAGAGAGAGAGAGAGAGAGAGAGAGAGAGAGAATTTAGCTCAGCCATGGAACTGAGGCTTCAACAGGAAGAGAGAGCATTCAACATGGTTTCCTGCCTTAATGAGCAACAGGAGAAACACATCTCACTTGGAGACATCCACACACCAAATGAGAAGTAATTTTCACAGTAAGACCAATGCTACCTTTCCATGGCCAGAGTACAGTGGAACCTCGTGTTGCATACCGTCCTCCTTGCGAATGCTTCGGGTTACCAGCTCCGCTAACCTGGAAGTAGATGCTCCCGGTTGCGAACTTTGCCCCGGGATGCGAGTGGAAGTTGCACGCCGGCAGCACAGCAGCAGTGGGAGGTGCCATTAGTGAAAGTGTGCCAAATGTTACGAGTGGTTTCGGCTTAAGAACGGACCTCTGGAATGAATTAAGTTTGTAGCTGGAGGTACCACTGTATACCAATGGTATATCTACACCAGCTTTATAACTCATATCTTTCATCAGCTTTATAACTCATGGCTTCATCCAACTGATCCTGGAAATTGCTATTGAGATGGATGCTAAGTGATGGATGATTGAGATTCCTAGCCTCTGGAATCCTCACAAAACTAGAATTCTCAGAATTTCCTCGGAAGTCTGAATGATTAAGTGTAAATAATGCTACAGTTCTCTCACCAGAACACACAGCCCCAGCATCTTCACTGTGTCGGCAGTTGGTTGTCCCCCAAAGGCTGGTATGGCACTCCGACAACATTGACTCTTCTCCTTGGCACTGTACATCATCTAACCAGATGACACTGCTCCCCTCACCAAAGAAGGCACCGCCTGGTGCTGCCAGTGCCTCCCCACAGTCCAGCTCTCGGCAGACCACAGCAACATCCAGAAGGTCCCACATGTCATCACATACTGTGCCCCATTCCCCTTCATGAAACACCTCCAGTCGGCCGGAACAGCGGCTTCTGCCACCCACGAGACGTAGAGCAGGGGTCCCTGGAGGGGGAAAAGGGGAGAGGAGATTAAGACAAGCTATAGCATCTGGAGCACCCAAAGGTGGGGTATGAGGTTCTCCCATCTTACAGCCTATCTGATTTTTCAAGGAGAATGAGTTCAAATTTCTGATTGGGCACTAAAGCAAATGCTGAACCCCACTAACCTTAAGGCAAGTGGAACTGAACTGTCTCCAGCCCAAGCCACGATCTGGATGCCACTGTCCATTTTATTTCTAGATGAAAGCCCACAACTATTGTGCAACTAAAGCAGGAAAGGGACTCCTTGGGCCCCTAGAACTTTTCCTAGCCTATGCCCTACCCTTCTCTGGTTCTGCTTTACACCCTTTATTGCTTTTCCCTAAGTATAATATCTTGAATTGACCTGGATGGAGATGTGAGTGGGGGGGGCAGACTTTCTGAGTTTTCATGTCTGGAATGTACAATGCTAAGTGCCCAGTACAATGTTAAACGCCCAGTTTTGCCCCTGACCCTACTCACTACTGGTATATGGCCCCTGGAAGGTTTCCCATGAGCAAATGTGGTCCATGGACTGAAAAAGGTTCTCCACCTGTGAGCTAAATAATGGCTTTTTATTCAGTATAGAAATAGACTTTTCCTTCTTTCGTACTACGCTTTTTCTCTCCCTTTTCTCCATGATTACTTGGCACAATAATAGAATAAAAAAAATGGTATGGTTGCCACTTTGCTCCTGTGCCTGAATCAAACAGCTCCTGTGCCTTAACAAATTCATTAAAATGTAGCAGAAGAAGCTCTCAGGCTAAGTTAAAGCTGGGCTAGAAAAAGGAAGCAAGCTTGAGTGGGACTGGACCCACTGGTGGGTTGCAACCTGGTCCAAGGTGCGTCGCAACAGGAGCACTGCCACCATGCAAATATATGGCAAAAGATTTAATAAATGGGTCCCCAGAACCCATCCCCACAATCTCTTTTAACCCTACTTTAGAGATGGATATTGTTCAGCTAAACGATGAAAGTGGTGCACTTCAGGGATGCCTGCACACTCACCTTCAGCAGGTGCAGAAGATATGAGTGGTCTTGCTGTCGTTACTGCTTTCATGTTGCCCCATCTGAATGCCGGTTGAGGGGGGAAGGCGGTAAGAGGACCAAAGCGCTGAGCTGCCAAGGGAGATGAGAGAGAGAAATGAACATGCGCGTTGGTCCAGTATGCTACAAACCACTTAGGTCCCTTTTCCTCAGGGATAGAACAATAGTTATTAAACACCTAAACTTGCATCCAGCTCTATGCTTGGACCCAATCGCAACAAGCAGCCTTAATTTTAAAGAGATGGCTGGATACATTCCCCCATACTGTCAAAAGGTGAGACTGCAGAGCTTTCAGTTAAAGGGAGTTCACAGGTAGGCCTTTTTAACTAAGCAGAGCAGTATGAATTATACAGAGGAAAGGCAGGGGCCATTTAATGAATTTGCAAGCCTCATCCCCCTGACTCCCACAAGTTTAGCCAAATGTAACTTTATACAAACATGTCTTCCAATAATTCAAGTGCTGAATTTATCTTTAAACATCCTCTTGTTGGATGCTTTAAATTGGACTGTACAGAGATGTGTCTGTATGACAACAACCCGTTTGCTTGAAGCAATCAACTCTGTGGGAAAGTCAGCTTTCATCAGAGTTCATCTGATGGAATTTCTGAATCACAAGAGTCCTACCTGAGCATATGGCACTGGCATCCTCCTCATGGGTGCAGACATGCTTGCGAAACCCAATATGGGGGCAGGAGTGCAGGTATTCCTCAGTGCCCATGCAGCGCACCTCATTCAGCCAGATGGGTCCAGGTCCTTCACCAAACCAGGCCCCATGGGGTGCTGAAAGGGCAGCCCCACAGTCTAGCTCTCGACACACCACAGCTGCGTCCTGCAAATCCCAACTGTCATCACACACTGTCCCCCATTCACCCTGGTGGAACAGTTCCACCCGTCCTGCACAGAGGCTTGGGCCTCCAGACAGACGTACTGGAAAGGAACCTGCCAGGAGGAGAAATAATCAAAGTCAAGGAGAGACCTGTCTTATCTCTTTCTCCCACTTAAGTAGGCAGTTCTGAATTTTGATATCCCACATCCCCATCCTGACATCTCTTGATCTGATCATCAAGTCAGTTTTCACCTTTGTGCAGATTTCCTAAACAATGCCCTTGGCTCTTAAGGCCATCTCCCCCAAGGCCAGAACTATAGCAAGATCAAATCAATAGTGTTTGTAAACATGCTATTCGCATTTGCACACTAATGAAAAATAACAGAAGTTTCCCCCTTGGAAAATGATGGGAAGCACAGCATGTAATGAATTGTCAGCCTATTCTACATCTAATTATGCAGGACACAGGGGACCTGCAACAAAATGCTGCAGTGTGGAGTTCTCCTGTTCATATTGCCAGTCAGTCAGCCATGCCCTCTACCTGCGTATTCCATTCAGTTCCCCTTCCCATACAGTTTTCTAGGTTCTGGTTTTCAAAGGGTTTTGAGGGTGTGTTTTTTTACTTCTGCAAGCCTTCTGAAATGTTCATCTAGTGCACGGATGGTGTTGTTTAGCCTGCACAGCACAAGCACTCCGGCCTGAACATTGAAAATAGAAGGAATGATGATAGCATCTCAGGCTGTGGAGAAAGGCCGTAGCTTAGTGGTAGGAAATCTGTGTTGCATGCAGAAGGTCCCAGGATCAATCCCTGACATCTCCAAATAGTTCTGGGAGAGACTCCTTCTTGAAGCCCCGGAAAGCAGCTGCCAGTCAGTGTTAGGCAATACTAAGCTAGATTGAGCAATTATCTGACTCTGTGTAAGGCAGCTAAGCTTCCTATCTTCCCAACCTGGAGGTCACTGAAGGAAGCAAAGGGGAAAGAGACAGAGATTCCTTTCCGTTTTACCTGTGGCATGAAGTCTCAGGAAGGCAACTGCAAAAACAAGGCAAGAGGTTTCAAATGAGATTAAGCTCAAGTGGAAGGTTAGTTCTACCGGTGTAAACATTCTGGGCTGTGTTCTCAAGATCACAACAGGCTGCCAAGCCCTGGCAGAGATGGATCTAGGTAGACATTTCCATGCCCATGGGAGAGCCAGAGCCAGAAAATAATATTTGGAGGGTTAAACAAATAAAAAGGTGTGTATTAACCAGTACCACCTGGGACTTCTTCCTATAAAATAAGAGCAAAGTCTGAGCCTATCCACAACTGAAAAGTCTATTTCTGCATCTTCCATCCCTGTCCTCACCCTAACCTCACTAACGTTTCTTTCCTGAGTCTCCTAACCACTACTGATACTATTCCACACTTTATTTAACTCCTGTTTTTTAAAAAAGACAAGATTGGCTCTCAATATTAGGGATGTGCTGAGGTGTTTATGGGTCCCGGTCCCAGGCTCCTTCCTTCCTCCAGAGGGAGCGGGTAGAGGCAGCTACTGGTGGCAAATAAATATGGTAGCCCAATGGCCTTCTCCAATGGACTCTGATTCCAACAGACTCCAACCGCCTTGGAATGCTCCTGTCAATCACAAGCAGCTGTTCACCAATACTCTTTAAAATACCTAGAGCATTACACCAGCTTCTTTAACTCCTACTACTCTTTTATCAGCCTTTTGTACTCTTAACTTACAAAGCCTATAGGGAAGGATTTTGGATGTTATTCACATGTTCAGAGCACAGTTATGGATCAGTGGTGGGGAGTCTTTCTTCTGTCAAGGGGTGGGATAATCTGTTAGGGGCCACATGCCAGAATAAAGACAGACCCCTCTTGCCAGAGGTCTGAACTGCCTGCCTGTAGGAGGGATCATGAAGGCCATCCATTCCAACTCCTTGCAATGCAGGAATCTTTTGCCCAATGTGGGACTTGAGGCCACTGCCATGAGATTATGAGTCTCATGCTCAACTGACTGAGCTATAGCAGCCCCTTTTTTCCATTTTGGTATTCCCCTTGCCCAAAACAATGACCTAAATTAGAAATTCAGCAGTGATGAGGTGCTCAGTACTTATGTTATTACACCCCCACCAGAAGTTACAGCATGGAAGGGGACTGAGGGAAGGGACAAATGTGTTGGTCTTCCACTAGGTGAGCCAGATCTGCCCCAAGCCTACCACTTTGCCCTGGGAGACCTATGGGAGGACAGAATTGACAAAATATAAAATGCCATTAACAACATCTATTCTAAATATGGTCAATCTACCTTTCTGCTTTCTGGAACATGTCCCTGTCGTGTCTTTTGAAAAAATGTGTTCTGCAGATTTCAAACTTTGAGGGTAATACCTTGATTTTAGTAAATGGACACAACATACCAGTACACTGCTTCTCTTCCATCCCTCCACTCACAGTAAATGGGGACAATAAAAGTTTCAGAACAGGCTTGAGTTGCAGCTTTTCTATGTAAGTGCAACCAGATCCATTATGAGAGTCATCGTTCTTCAGGCTTTTTAAAAAAGTAAACTAGTACAGTCAGTTTACTAACAGTCCCTTGCTTCAGAAACCAATACAGATTGGGCTATTGCAGAGTAAATGAATGTACAACATGTATTTTAGATGGAGAAAAGATTTCCCAATGTGCAAGTAGGTGATGGTGGGGGAGGCAAGTAGAGCTGCTTTGTGAAAGCAAAGATGCCATTTATGCTGCAGTGTTGCAGACACTATTGCACTGACCTGAGTAGGCTTCTTTTCAATGCTTCTCAAGTAGAACTCATTCCCTGCTCAGACATCCTAGTCCCCAATAAACATACCCCACAATTCTGATGTCGCTGGTGGAAACTCTTAGCCCCCTGCTCCTTCGCAGGACCAGCTGTTCACAAGGTAATTCAGAGTTGCATCCAGGAATTGGGGTTGGCTGTGCAGAGGGCAACACTCACCCAGAAGAAACAAGAGGCGTTGTTGCATTGTCTTAGTGGCCGGCTCTGCGTCCTGGTCAGCTGCAAAGGAAACTCTGTAAATCAGAGGCGTTTTTTATTGCCGGCAGAGGACCCAGGCAGTGAGTCAGCCAGGCAGAAAAGAGTGGGAAACACCCCTGCTTGTTCTGGGTCATGTAGCCTCCAATCTGCAGCCTGGGAAGAGGAAAGAGCCAGAGTGGGGGAGACCGATAGGAGGCGTTTCAACAATCCTGGGAGAGCCACATTTGTGCAAGGATTTTCAAAGGAACAACATTGGTAGTAGCACTTCTGAAATGGTGTGTTCTGGCTACAAGAGGTATAAGCTCTCAAAGAAAAGGCCTAGTTTCATTCCATACAGTATTTCTTTTGCATTTCCAGTCCACTTGTGTGCAGAGGTGGGGAGAAAGAGTGAAAACATTTTCCAGAGCCACACTTCATCGCTAGCCATCCCTTGCACATTTTCCTCAGTCCTATTTCATTCCCCATCCCTTACTTTGTGCCCACCCCCTGCACCTTTTGTAGAAGAGGCAGGCACCTCTTCTGCACCTTTAGCAGTATCAAACAAGTGAATGTTTTTCCATGAGGCCTCTGTCCAAACTTCCACTGCTGGAACTTCTGTCATGTGCTGGAGAAAAGGTAGTAAACTTATACAAATGCTTTTTCTACCCTTTCCCACTGTCCCCATTTATCTTAATTTTCTATCTCAAAACATCTCCCACACCCTCTGGCTTTGTTCCCACCTCCTTCAACTTCCTACCTGGCCTCACTGCCCCTTTCCTTTAATACGCTGCTGAATTAAATCCAACCATTGCTTCCCACCGAGTTCCACAACTGTTTTTTTCAACACACACTTAAGTCCTCCCCTCAGCCATTTCCCTGACCAGTTCCCCCTTCTCAGAGGGCAAACAGCAGCTGGAGAGAGGTCCACCATTTTCACTGAGGAACAGAGCTAGAGTTAATATCCCTTCCCCTTCCATTGCCCTTTTCAAATGAATTGGTGGTTATGTTTCAAAGGAAGAAGTGTTGGAATATCACTTTGCAAAGCTGCTGTGTAACATGTTGTTTGTCCCTACCCTCATTTCACAAGTATTAGAGCTGGTTTTGGTGCAAGTACTATGCCTCTGCTTGCTATCCATAAAGTGGCATCTTACCCACCAAGATAACAGTGGCTGACTTGTTCATTCAACGTGGGATAAACATGGGGAGACACCAAGTCAGCTGCCACAAGCTCCTTGGAAGAAGGGCAGAGTACAAATGAGAGAGCATGGAAACCATTCTGACAGGGTTGTGGTACTGTGGCCCCTGCTTGAGGCCCACAGATCTGTGGAAGTTCCTGCGCTTCACGATATTCCGAGCTTCCTTATCTTCACACCCACACAGGGATGAAATGTAGACTGACGCCGGCTGGAAGCACAGCAGCAGCAACAGCAGCAAAGCAATAGCCAAATCTATCCACAGGGAAAGCATGTCACAGGAAATATGAGTCACACCCACCATCCCAGAGAAGCAGCTGGTCTTCTTGTATTTAGGAAAAGAGGAACAGAAACAGTCAAGATCAGGTTGTGTCTCGGGGAAATCACAATGGAGGTATCACCAGAAACATGAACCTAGGCCCTGCGGCTTTGAGCGAGCCTGGGGGACCCAGTGGTGGCTATTCCTAGTTTATGGGATGCACCCATTGCTCCAACAAGAATTTCTGTTACTGGGTTGGTTCCATGGTTTCTAGCACAATAACTGGTAACCATAGCAACCCAGCACTGCACAGCTAAACATTCCAGACTAATTTAGAGCAGCGGCAGGCTACTTTGGGGAGGATGACCAGTAAAATATAGTTAAGTGCATAGTTGCTAGGATCTTTTGTTGGGGTAATTGTGTGCACACAAACCACATTTAGAAGTGTTTATTCAGCCTAGTCTGGTCCCTGGGACTTATGCTTTACGAAGTCAGGCTGCAGCCCTAGAACATGTGAAGCAATCAACTAGTGCTTTTGAGAATGTGTAGCATGCCTTCTCTGCACTACTAAGTATTCACAGCTTATGTCCTACAGAGTTTGAGATTTATGGCAGTAGATTCCTGATCAAAGACTGTCCCTTCCATCTAAGGGTGCTGGGCACCAAACTTATTTTTTCAAAGGGTTGCAAGGCGACACTAGTGTAATATGTCTGATGTGGAGCTGCCCTGGACTCTTCAGAAATTTCAGCCTGCATCAGATAAGTAGGAGTACAGCAAATTTCCATACCATTCAGATTGTTTTAAAATGTGTATTTAATTAATTTCTAATCTTAACCTTCGTCCGCCAATGAGGTTTACACAGAGTTTAACTGGACTGCCCGTCATTAAAACTATTTAATTAAAACCATCTAAATATTTATTTATACACACATACAAAAAGTCATTCCTTTCCAGTGTTTTGAAACCCTCTCCAAATCACCACCCATTTGGATTCCTCCCTCTCCCTACCCACCATTCATTTCTTAAATGGAGGAACATCTACCCCCGTTTTAAATTACATAAACCTGGGGAAGCCCGTTCCTGTACATATTCACACACATATGCCATTTGACCTTTGGTGTAACAACTCTCTGTATCACAAGTTTTCCCCTCTGGGTTCTCCACATATAAAGATCTAATCTTTGTGGACATGTTTTATCACCCTCACACTTCAAGCCCATTTCCCAGTTTTCATCCACTTTGGGAAAATACATTTCCTCTAGACACACTAGGGTAGGCAAGCTTTTTATTTGTGGGGTGGGGTGGGGGGTAGTGGAGATTTTCCCCCCCTCATCCAATGGCCCAACTTTTCCAAGGAAGGTGGTTTCCAGATGAAATCCTCATCCTCCTGTTAAAAAGAAATGAGCCATTGCTCCCTGCTCCTTCTTTAGGGGTCGCTCCTGTGGGGAAACAGAAATGGCTCATATTGAGAGCACTTATAATGAAAGCAAAGTATCTCCTCTACACCCAATACAGGTAACCCAGTCCCCACCCACAGGGATTCATTCCAGAGGGCTGCAGGGTGCATTTCTGTATTATGAACTACACCCCTGGGTCCAGCCACTTCTTCCCACTCATAATCACAGGCCGTCAGCAAGACATATTTATCTACAGCGATATCATAGATTTCCCTGAATTGCCTTATCATAAGAGTCTCCAGTCTGCTGTGTCCTCTTGGGGAGTGGGGTGCACACACAGAGATGCTGCAAGCCCAGGATGACTTGAGTTGGGAGCTGGGAGCTGGACATGTGATTCCCACCCACCTCACAGCCAATCCACAGTTTTATCAATTGCTTCAGCCTCTGGAGGAACTGGGATCCAGAAGCCACATGGAAGAGGTTCTCTCTCTTCAGACCCCAAGTCCCGGGACTCAGGAGGAAGCTGAAAGGCTCCATAGAGGCAAAGTCCCTGTCAGCTGCAATGATACCGTCAAAAAAAACCCATGTGCGTATAGAGACACAGTTGACAGGATCAGCCTTGACCTATAAAGCCCTGAATGGATCATCCTCGAATCTACCTAGTTTGATAGCTGTACAAATCCAACAGAGAACAAGGTGCCATTTGCCACCTTGTAAGTCAAACTGCATGTTGCATGGAAATGAGTGTAACAGAACCCCAGCAGCTCTTTTTTAAGGAAAAGCAGCTTGGGAGGGAGGGGGAGATTTGGAGCAAGCAGAAAAGTTGTCCACACACACCTGTGCATATTCCTAAAATATGCACCACCACCCACCCACACACAAAAAGCATTCCTCCCCATGAAGTTCCAAATGCACAAAAAGACAGTAGAATAGGGCAAGGCTATACAACAACCCAGCCAGATGGATGGGGTATAAATAATAAAATTATCATTATTATTAAATAAAGCATAGCAAATAAATAAATAAAGCTCCTTGGCATAGAGCCCTGCCCTCTCATGTTCTGTAAAATGCCATTCACGCCAACTGCACTGTATAGAAATCCAGGTTTGCTTGATATGCAGTGTTTATGCAAGTCCTAGAATTTGAGGTTTACCCTGGTCTAAGATTTGAATGTGTTTGGTGTAGAGTCTGACCAGAGGCAGGGCATGGGGTGGGGGACAACAACTAACTATTGGTTATTTCCACTCTTCAAAACTATGGACAGATAATCTGGGGTGGCTTTGGTAGAAAACTCTAAATGACAGGGAGCCTGAGTGATGTGGCAGACCGGGGAGAAGGCTCTTAATGGACAACCCTTTCCCCTGCTTAGCTCTGTGTCCATGGCTACAGTGTCTGATTTTCCAGGCAGAGAAAGCCACTTTTGTTGAGAGGAACTGCCCTGTCTGGGGGCTTAAGAGATGACTTGTTCCCTGCAGTCTTGCTTCTGGAGCTTGGTGCTTTCCCCACATTTAGGGGGCGGGCAGGGATTCCTCAAGACTAGTGGCTAACTGGCAGGCAGACCAACTAGAGCTCCTTGCTGAACTCCTGCTGTATGGTGTAGCCCAGCCACCGCCGCCCACCACTCATGTTGTAGCCAGTGCTCTCAAAGAGCCCAATCGCTGCCTTGGTGACTACCGAGACCTGGGCCACTAAGAATTTGAAGCCCTGGGCGCGAGCGTGAGCCTCCAGGAAGCTGAGGAGGGAGCGGCCCACACCAGAGCGCCGGTACCACCGGTTCACAGCCAGGCGCTTGAGCTCTGCCGTGCGTGGTTCCCCGCCACAGGGCTCCAGAGCCACGCAGCCGCACACGTCGTCCTCGTCGTATACAGCCACCCACAGCCCGCGCTGCCCTGCGCTGTAGTAGGCATGCAGGTGCCTCAAGTCTGGCGAGCGCCACAGCAGAAGCTTCAGAGCCACCACGGTGAGCAGGACCGGCAGCACGAGAGCCACCACAAACGAGTTCAGGAAGAAACGCAGGCCGCTGCTCACCACCGCCATCAGCAGCAAAGCCAGAGGCCGTGTCAGCACATAGAGGATCAGGCGGTTCTCTGTATCCTTGAATCCATCCTGGTGGAAAATAGAAAGGGATATGAAGTAAAGGACCATATACAGCTATGAGGGACCAGGGATGCGTTGTGTATCTCTAAACAAATGCTTATCCTTCACTTTACCTGAAAACGTACAAGGAGGGGAATTCTATGATGTCTGTAGCAACTTGCACAGAGCTAAGAAAAGGCTGGGGAGACAAGAGCCACACTGAAAGCAGAACTGTCCTGCAGATACGAAAGTTGTTCTACCCAGCTTTTCTATAATGCAAGCCCTAGTGGGAAACAAGGAACCTCGACATAAGAGCATTGGAATTGAGATACAGCCAGTGGATTGAACCACGCTTTCTTTCCCTTAGGAAATTTTCTTCCCAGTCTTTAAGTGTGGAGGGAATTTTCTTTCTAGTGTTTAACTGTGGGATAAATAACACAGTAACACAATTGCTTATTGCCCAACCCTTAGAGGTAAGTATCATCAAATGCAGCTCCTCTTCTTGCCAAATTCCCTTTAATTTTTTTTTATGCTGCAAACATCTCCTCAATTTTCTCTCTCTCTAGGTTTAATATGCTCAGTTAACCCCCCCCCAAAAAAAAAATCAGAGTGGATGTGGCAGAAAGAGTGGGCTGCATTCACACAGCAGTTTATTCTGTTTCTCTAATTTCTGCATTATATTTGTGCTTTTACATTATGTAAAAGCTGCTTCTGGAAATCTAGCAGAATATGGTAAAGTTTAGTGCTCATTTCCATGTTAATTGCTTTCATAAAAAATCTGTTTGCAACCCCAATAAGCCAGAAAACTGTAGGTGTAAAGTGACAAAAATAGAGGCAGTATGCCAGCATAAAGATCTTTCCTACTGTTTTCATGGGTAAATCATGGGAGAACAGAAGCATGCATGTGCGGAAAGGGTGGTGGAGGAGTGGCAGTGTTCAGTAACCTTCGTTGTTGTGTCACACCACACTCACTGCTGTCAATGAAATTTAGCGTGAAATATCAGTAAAAAAAAAACCACCTTTGCAACAGGTTACTGCAGTGTGAAAGGAATGCAAGAAAACAGAAGTGCCAGCATCACAATCAGGAAATAAAGTTGCATGCAGAACCAGTAATTCCAGTTCAGTGGTTTTCAAACATCCCTGCCCATTCCAAGTTGTCTGTTGAGGAGTTCTGCGCTTTGCAGAAGATGCTGTTCTAGAAGGCTTCCTATTTGGGACACTGATTAGGCTTCTTAGTTACCCCAATCAGTGTTTCCCAAACTTTGCTCTCTGGCTGTTGTTGGACTACAACTCCCATGATCCCTAGCTAGCAGGACCAGTGGTCAGGGATGATGGGAATTGTAGTCCCAAAACAGCTGGCAGCCCAAGTTTGGGAAGTATGTGCCCTAAACGAACTGAAACAGCTTCCTAGAACACACACACACATAGTTCCCTTGCAATGTGCAACTGCTCTAAAATATGAAGTAGACCATGGGTAGGCAAACTGATGCCTAGGGGCCGGATCTGGCCCAATCGCTTTCTAAATCCGGCCCGTGGACGGTCTTTTGAACCAGCGTGTTTTTACATGAGTAGAATGTGTTCTTTTATTTAAAATGCATCTCTGGGTTATTTGTGGGGCCTGCCTGGTGTTTTTACATGAGTAGAATGTGTCCTTTTATTTAAAATGCACCTCTGGGTTATTTGTGGGGCATTGGAATTCATTCATTTCCACCCCCCAAAAAAAAATATAGTCCGGTCCCCCACAGGGTCTGAGGGACAGTGGACCAGCCCCCTGGTGAAAAAGTTTGCTGACCCTGAAGTAGACAATGCAATGTCCTTCAGTTTGGTGGATTACAACTCTCACCAGCCCATCAGCATTGCCAGGGGTAAAGGATGAAGGGAGTTGTAGTCCACAACATCTGGAGAACACCAAACTGCCTTCCCCACTTCAAGGGAAGGTTCCTATTAAATGACACATTCCATAAGTCTCTAGAAAGGAAGGAAAGAGAGTGCTTATATAGCCTGGGCTCTCCACCACCTCTCTCAGAAGCCCATCTCACCTTCAGAAGCTCCAAGACAATTGGTGTCTCCTCCTCTCTCATTTCTCTGATGGTCAGTTGCTCAGGTTCCAGGGTAGGCATGCTGGCAGCCAGCAGATGGCACCTTCAAAGAGGAAAAGCCCAGTTATTGTCTGATTTGTCCTTGATGAGAAGCTGGAATGGACAAGGAAAGTGTCTCCAACTAGCATGGGCCATTTGCCAGAGCCCAACCTTCCACCATGGCTGGGGACACTCTTGAGTAAATGGGGAGCATTTTATGTTGAAGCAGCACAGAAACCAGAGGCAGTGTGGTGTAGTGGTTAGTGCTGGACCAGGACCTGACAGGCCAAAGTTCAAGTCCCCACTCAGCTATGATGTTTGCTGGGTGCCTTTGAGCCGGTCACTGTCTCTCAGCTTACCCCACAGGGTTGTTGTGAATATTACATGAAGAGTGGATAGATAACCAGGCACACCACCTTGAGCTCTGTGTAGGAAAGGCAGGATACAAATACCGCAATAATAATAATCTTGGGGGATGGGGAGAAAGAATCCTACTCCAATCCCTTCTTAAAGGAGAATAGGTACTTGGGGGGGTCAATCTAACAAACACAGAAGCAGCAACTTCCTACAATGCCAGCAAGAGTTGAAAACTATTTTGCTTGTGGCATGGCTCTTGTACATTTACACACACACAAAAATCAGAACTCATCTCTTCTCAACAGACACCCTTTCCATTTTAAAGTGTTAAATGCCTGACAACCGTTCTCCAATTTAAATGCACAGGAGCCCTGGTAAGAAAAGAAGCTGGCAACTCTTAAAAAGGCAACTACAACCGGTATAGCCGGGAAGAATATATTCTTGTTCAGCAGTAGATTCACTGGCAGTCTTTTGGCCTTAGTTTCCCATCGGTTTAAACAGGGACCACATGCCTCCTGGGGTCGTTTTGAAAAGGAACGAGACCGAGGCCGTGTATACTTTATGAAATAACACTTGCACGCCCCCCCCCCCATTTAATTAAAGGTCGTGGGAGCCATTTTACCAGCAGCCTCTTATTCCCAGCTAGCTCCCTGCGCCCACTACTCTATTTGCAAGGTAGGCTCCCTTGCAATGGAGCACCACCGTTAATTTATGCCACATAACGGGCAAAAATAACGCGACGCCCACATTTCTCCGGCCTGCCCCTTCTGTCCCTCCCGGGAGCAAAGGCAGATCCGCAATAAAACGCCAGCCCCGCCGTCGTAAACTGACCGGCCACGGCACTCTAGCCCTTGCGGCCACACCCCTCCGCAGAAATAGAAACGCCCGCAAACCTTCTCCACTCCCCCCCTAGGCGCGGAATGGACTCACCCAGCCTGTAGGAAGCGGCTGCCTTTGCCCCTGCATAAAAGGACCGTGGAATTCTCCGAGGCCTCCTACATCTCTCTCTCTCCCCACCCCGCCCGCTTTTTCAGGAGGGAGGGGGGGGAAGGAGAGGGGAAAAGAGCTTCGCCCCAAGAGCCTCTTCTTAGTCAACCCTCCCTAGCTTCGCAGCTCCAGCGCCTTACTCCATGAGCGCATGCGTGGCGCTCCTGGCTTCTTCGGCGCCTTTCGCTCCTTACGCAGTTCTTGGCAACTGTTGCTAAGGGGGCGAAACGGGGCCTTCAAGCGCTGCGAGTCCCAAACCCGTTTTGCCTTTTATGGGAGAGAGCGGGCAGCAGCGGGAGTGGGTTCAGTTTGAATGGCTTAGGACTTAGGGAAATATCTGACTTTCTAATTTTCTTTTTCTTTTTCATGGTGAAGTGACAGGCGGGGATTCAACGGGTATAGCTGTAGTCAGCTAGTAGAGAGGGAAATCTGGAAAAGCCTTCCCCTATTGCTGCCAGTCTGCTATGGAACTGTTAAAAAACACACGACCTGCTGCCCATAATGTAAACAGCTGGTGGCTGTTAATGTATCATTTTCGTTATGTACCCATTTTATGCTGTTGACATGAAGTTGCAAGCCACCTGGAAGTGTATGTGTCTTTCCATAAGGGTTTTGTTTTTCAACTTTTTAAAGAGTTGCACAGACTGTTTGTTTGGCTTGAATTTGGGGCTCATGGTTAAGATAGCAAAAATAAAGGGATTTATTTCATTACATTGTAAGCACTGAATTCCCGAGAGTAACCTTTGACATGTTGCTTTCTCAATGTAAATATTAAGAAAGTAAGCATCGTTGTTGGAGATAAGCAGGTGCACTAATTTGATTTGTAGCCGTTCTGTTCTGCCTGTGAGCTTCCTTTTTGCAACCAGCTGACTGCTGGCCGATGTCAAAAGGAAATGGATATTGGTCTGAAGAAGCATAACAGTTCTGAGTGGTTTAGAAGCTGGCATTTAAAAACAGTAACATTGGCATTGACTCAGTAAACCATTTGTAACCCATTTTGTTCATCATTGAAAAATGGGGGTGTTACTTTTTAAAAAACTTTTTAACATCACCACAAAGTGGCTGACTGTCAACTTCAAATGGGGCACAGGTCCTTTTAACAGCGCCTCGCCTGTTAAACAAGCATTAAAACCAGCAGTTCACATTGGCAAAAAATGCAATGTGTGAAATGGCTAAGGCAGCATTACAATTATGTCTGTCTTCACCTTAAGCATATCTGTGAGCCATTCACCTCCTGCCATGCAGTACAGTGGTACCTTGGTTCTCAAACGCCTTGGCTCGCAAACACCAAAAACCAGGAAGTAAGTGTTCCAGTTTCCAAAAGTTTTTTGGAAGCTGAACATCTGATGCGCTTGTCGGCTGTTGTTTCTGGGGTGCCTGCACCAATCAGCTGTGCCTTGGTTTTGGAACATTTTGGAAGTCGAATGGACTTCCAGAACAGATTAAGTTTGGCGCTTTTGTTTTTGCTATTTATTTTGTGTTTTTGTTTTCGAGGCTTTTTCGGTTAATTTGTTTTTGTGACTGTATGGAACTCAGTTCAGCTACTGATTGATTGTGCGACTGCAGAAATGGATAAAAGCCCCCCATCCAAACAATGACTATCATCAGTGCAGGTAAGAAAAAAATGTAATTTTAATTTTTATCATCTACAATACTCTCTATTTTATACTACAATACATTGATTATTGCTTTCATTTTATGGATCAATGGTCTCATTAGATAGTAAAATTCATGTTAAATTGCTGTTTTAGGGGTTGTTTTTAAAAGTCTGGAACGGATTAATCCGTTTTGCATTACTTTCTATGGGAAAGCACGCCTTGGTATTAGAACGCTTTGGTTTTGGAACAGACTTCTGCAGAACCAAGGTACCACTGTATTTAAGAACATGATTAACCCAGTGGGGGGGGGGAATCCCCTGTGGAACAGGAGTGTTGTCCCACACTGACCCTGAGAGTTGGTTCTTCATCTTTTCAGTTTTTTGTCCTGTAAAAGTGCCTTCCCCATGTTCTCTGCTGGAGGTGGGGAACCAGTGGCTCTCCCAAGATGGTCAGTTCTCAAGTACTAAAATGCAATGCATCATATAATTTATAGAGTAAGATACTGAGAGGGAAGATTGCTAACAAACCATAAATAGAAAGAGCATGGCCAGGTTTCACTTGTTTAGCTTTTGTGGACAGCTTTTTCTGTACAGTGTTACCTCGGGTTAAGAACTTAATTTATTCTGGAGGTCTGTTCTTAACCTGAGGTACCACTTTAGCTAATGGGGCCTCCTCCTGCTGCTGCTGCTGCGCCGCCTCGCAATTTCTGTTCTCATCCTGAAGCAAAGTTCTTAACCTGAGGTACTATTTCTGGGTTAGTCTGTAACCTGAAGCATCTGTAACCTGAGGTACCATTGTACAGGTTATTCAAGTGTAGAAGTAGAAGAAGAAGAAGAAGAAGAAGAAGAGGAAGAAGAAGAGGAGTTTGGATTTGATATCCCGCCTTTCACTCCCCTTCAGGAGTCTCAAAGTGGCTAACATCCTCCTTTCCCTTCCTCCCCCACAACAAACACTCTGTGAGGTGAGTGGGGCTGAGAGACTTCAAAGAAGTGTGACTAGCCCAAGGTCACCCAGCAGCTGCATGTGGAGGAGCGGAGATGCGAACACGATTCCCCAGATTACGAGACTACCGCTCTTAACCACTATTCCACACTGGCTCTCACTGTGTAGGGCTACAGTGTGCAGCACATAATTGGCTCAGCCACCTGAGCCATCAGTTTGGTGGATCTCAGCGTTCTCGGAGGAATAAAAAAAAAAAAAACAACCCACAGGAAATCCCACAAGTCTCAACTCTCCCACTTTGGTCTTTGGTTCTCAGCTCAACCACAATCATTCCTCAAACTGCAGAACCTCCTACCCCAAGAAATTCACCAAACATGTTGCATTTTCCAGAAATCTTGTACAGAGACCTCATTTGCATTGACTTTCAACACTAAGCTGAAGTTCCCATTTAGGCTTGAGTCCCAGCACCTTTCAGTTTAAAATTCAATATCCACCATGTTGAAGCCGCTTGAGAAAAACATAAGCAGTTTCCTCTAAGCAGGAACCTTTTATCTTGCACCTCTCAAGCCTGTTAAAGCTGCAGGGCTGCAGCTCAGTTGTATATCACATGCTTTGTATGGAGAAGAACACAGGTTCAAAGCCACAATATCTCAAGAGAGGGCTGAAAAAGATGTTTGCCTGAAATGCTAGAGAGCTGTTACCGTTCAGTCTAGATCAGGGTTTCCCAAACTTGGGTCTCTAGCTGTTTTTGGACTACAGCTAGGACTGATGGTCAGGGATGATGGGAATTGTAGTCCAAAAACAGCTGGTGATCCAAGTTTGGGAAACCCTGATATATACATTACTGAGCTAGATGGACCAATCGTCTTAACTCTGTATAAGGCAACCTCCTATGTTCATAGTTAACTTCCTTTGGGGACTGTGCAATCTGCTACTGAAATGCCAATCAGACTTAAAAAGCACAAAAGAAGTATGACATGTATTGATGAACCCAGCCTCTGCACAATACACAGAAAGGAGTAAAAATGCTTTGAAGCAGTCTTTTATTTTTCTTCTAGACCAAGAGTCTATGACCCTCTTGTCTGTTAGCACCAGGAACTGGGGTACATTTGGGAAGAAATGTGGTTCTGCACATGGTGAGGGGCTGGAATGGAGAATAGATAAGAGGGGCTTAACCGGAAAAAGATGCTGTTTATGACAGCTCATAAAGCAGCCTCCTGCAGCACCCAGTATCAAAGGAAGACCCCAAAACTCAAACTTTCCCCATTTTCTAATACATAAAAAGAGCTCACACTGCTCCACAGCACTTAGCTCCAAAATTGCAACACGGCAGGGAAATGGAGAGAAGCCAGCAGTCCAGTTGATATCTACTAACTATATTTTCTGTCTAGTGTGGAGAAAAAAACCAGGAATTCTGGCTGCACAGTCTTCCAACCATCAGACTGCACATACATTTGGTTCTTGTTGGAACAACGCATTTCAGACACGATGGGGAAATGGGTAGGTTAGGGATTGTATCAAGGACTGGACTGGCTATCCCTTTCTCACATGCAAAACAAGACAAAAGTGTTTGGGGGAAGGACATGGTAGTGGAGTCATTGTAACTGCAAGGACATGAGCAGCAACAGCAATCCCCATGTGAGCAGGAAGTGAGGGAATCAAGGGTATGCTTTGGACCTGCAGGCATGGGCGTGAGCTAAGCTCTCTGCTGTCATTTCATGACACTGTCCTGAGGAACCTAAGCAGAGCCACCTCCAGGAGTCTTGAAGTTGCCCAGGTCGATCCCGTCCGGCAACACAGTTAATTATAGCAGCCACTAGTGAGAGTACAACTGAGTCTCAGTTGGTACTCCAACGCAGGGATGGGGACACCTGTCCTCAGAAAGTGTGAACAAGCTGCATGTTGGGTACCGTTTGCACAATCTGAATGGAGGGCAGGCCTTGCGAAGTTACTGGGCTCGGCAGAAGTTGCACCATTTGGGAGGTGCTGTTGCTGTCCCCAGTAGGTTGGGTGCTGTCTGGGCTGCTCACCTGCAGTGTTGGCACACTCTCCAGCACTTGGAGGGTCTGTTCCCCCTGGGCACTACGGATGATCAGGAGGTTCTGCCCAGTCCCGGCACTACCCTCGGGCCCTTGCAGCTGGAGGCCAGGCAGCTCTTGCACTGTCTGGATGTTGTCCACCTCCTGCACGCACAACCGGGTCTGCTCTCCTCCTGCACTTCTCAGCACCAACACATTCTGAACTCCCTCATCGGTCTGTAAAGTTTCAAAGTGCATGTCTTGCACCCCTTCCAGGCTCTCCACCTCCCCGCCTGGCCCCAGAAGCTCCTCCCCTGGAGAGTTCTGCACCACAATTAGGTCCTGGCTTTCCTCCTTCACACCAGGTCCCTGTTGGAGGTCCACCTCAGAGAGCTCATGGGAGCTGGACAGAGAAGTCCCCACCTCATTCATCTCCTGTGGTGGGCTCAAAGTCTGAAGCTGAACACTGGTCATCTCCTCTGAAGGTTGAAGCTGTTCCCCTTCCTGAGAAGAAACCAGCTCCTGGATCTGAATGGTGCCATCCAGCTGTTGGGAAGGTGAGAGGCTCTGGATTTCGACGCTGGTCAAAGACTGATTGGAGGGGGACAGGCTGTGGATCTGCAGAGGGCTGGTTTGCTGCAGGGATGGCAAGGTCTGGATCTGAATGGGGCCCACTTGCTGGGAAGGCTGGAGAGTTTGGAGCTGTAGGGTCCCTACCTGCTCAGAGGATGGCACAGCTTGGAATTGTACAGTGTTCATCTTCTGAGAAGGTGGAAGAGTTTGAAACTGCACCGTGCCAGTCTGTGGACAACTAGACAGGCTCTGGATCTGCACGGTGCCTCCTGATTGGGAGGTGGGCAAACTTTGGATCTGGACGGTATTCTGGGGAAGGGGCAGGCTTTGAATCTGCACAATGCCAGTCTGTGGAGGCTGTGGGAAGGCCTGGATCTGGATTGTGCCAGGTTGCTGTGAAGCAGGTACAGTCTGAATTTGCAAAGTGCCACCTGGCTGGGCAGTGGGAAAGCTCTGGAGGGGCTGGGGCAAGGTTTGAATCTGAATGGTGCCTGTTGGTGGAGCAGCTGGCACAGTTTGGATCTGCACCGTGCCCAGTTGCTGTTCTGGCAAGCTCTGGAGAACAATAACATTCTGTCCGCTAGTCTGCAGCCCTGGCGTCCTCTGGATTTGCACATTAGAGAGGGGCTGCACGCTGGCCCCGGTGGCACTGGGCATCAAAATGATATTCTGGTTGCCAGACACCGATGGTGGTGGGGGAGCCAACGGCGCAGGTTTCTTGGCCTTACCTTGACGGACCAGGGCAGATTTGCCTGGGGTGGTAGGAGCAGCTGGCAACAGGGTAATGCTGGTGGGAGCAGAGGATGTAGTGGGCACCTGGGGACTAGGCAGCAGGATAAGTTTGGGGGGTAAATTTTGGGGTGGGGGTGGCTGCGGCGGCTGCTGTATGCTGGGGATAAGTTGCAAGCCCTGTGATGTTTGCACAAGCAGGAAAGTCTGAGTGTTTGACGAGACAGGAGGGGCTGGGCTGCCACTTAACTCCATATTCAGAGTGGCCTGCAAGTTAGGCATGATTTGCACCTCTTGAGTGGTGGCAGGTGAGGTGGTGGCTGGGCGGCTGGGCGCCTCAGCACTGTTGTGGGTGCGGAAGTGGCGCTGCAAGTAAGAGGCCATGACAAAGGCCTTGGAGCAAACCGGGCACTGGAAGGGGCGCTCCCTCGAATGGGTACGTCTGTGCAGCGCCAGGTTGGAGGAGTGGGTGAAGGCCTTGCCACAGTCCCGGCAACAATAGGGCCTCTCGCCAGTGTGTACCCGCTGATGTTGCCGGAGGTTGGATGTTTGCGTGAAGGACTTTCCACAGGTCTGGCAGGCAAAGGGCCGCTCACCGGTGTGCAACTGCTGGTGCCGCCGGAGGCACGAGGTGTTCTTGAAGGCTTTGCCGCAATCTTGGCAAGCATAGGGGCGTTCGCCGGTGTGCTGCCGCAAATGGTACTGATAATGGGAAGCCCATTTGAATGCCATCCCGCAGGTGGAGCAAGTGAAGGCACGCAAGCCCGTGTGCACCCGCTGGTGGATACGCAGCAGCGAGGAGCGCTTGAAGGCTTTGCCACACTCGCCGCAAGCATAGGGGCGCTCGCCCGTGTGGTCACGGAGGTGGTAACGCAGCCCAGAGGAGCCCTTGAATGACTTCCCGCACTCTCCACACACATAGGGGCGCTCAGGGGGTGGGGGTGGTGTCACTGTGGCTGCAGGCACTGGCTCTGCCTGTGCTGGGCACGTCACCTCTGCTTCCTCCAACCGTTGTTCAGCCGGGGGATGCGAACGCTGATGGCCCAACAGGCTGGCCAGTGCCGGGAAGGAGCGTTCACACACCATGCAGGTGTAGGTGCGATCGGATGAGTGTTGGCTCTGTTGGTGCCGTGCTAAACCCGCGGCACTCTTGAAAGTCTTAGTGCACACAGAGCAAGCTAGGGAGGGTGTGGGGGATGCTACAGCCGCCACCTCCTCCTGCACTGGTAGTGGCGGTGGTGGTGGTGGCAGAGGCAGTGGCTCTGCTGGGGCCAAGTGTGCTTCCTGGTGGCTCAGCAGCTGCTCCTGCAAGGGGAAGGTGAGATGGCAGACACTACACCGAAACAGCATCTCCACAGTGGTGGTTGGCTCCTCCAAGAAGAGCTGTGCTGGAGGCGCAATGTCCCCATGAGACTCCAAGTGCCGCTGCAGATAGGTGTCCGATGCAAAGGCCTTGCCACAGATAACACAGGTGTGGGCGGGGCGGGCAGCGTGTGCCGATCGGCAGTGCAGCGCCAGGTTGGAAGAGTGGGTGAAGGCCTTACCACAGTCTTGGCATCGGTAGGGCCTCTCGCCAGTATGCACCCGCTGATGCTGCCGCAGGTTGGTGGACTGCGTGAAGGCCTTGCTGCAGATGAGGCAGACATAGGGGCGCTCGCCTGTATGTGTATGGCGGTGGCGCCGCAGGCTGGAAGAGTTCTTGAAGGCCTTGTCACACGCCGGGCAAGGGTAGGGGCGTTCGCCAGTGTGCTGGCGCAAATGGTACTGGTAATGTGAGGACCACTTAAAGGCCAGGCCACACTGAGCGCACTTGAAGGCACGCAGGCCAGTATGCACACTCTGGTGGATCTGAAGCAAGGACGACCGTTTGAATGCCTTGCCGCACTTGTCACACTTGTAAGGTCGCTCCCCTGTATGTCCGCGCTGGTGGTACAGTAAGGCTGAGGACCCCTTGAAGGCCTTGGGGCACTCTGAGCACTTGTAAGGGCGTTCGCCTGTGTGAGTCCTCTGGTGGTGGATGAGCCGCGATGACCATTTGAATACCTTGCCACATTCCAGGCACTCATACTGGTGGTCGCCACTGCTGCCACTGGGGCCTCCACTTGCTGGGGCCACTGCTGGCACTGCCGCTGCCTGCATTTCTAGCTGCTGAGCTCCCACCATTGCACCAGAGTTCACCTGCTAGAAAAACACATACAGAGAAAGAGAGAACACCATTATTGTAACTGTGACAGACCTAGCCTCATTTATAGAGGCTCTCCTATACTAAATCATACTATTGGTCCATCTAGCTTGATACTGTCCACACAGGTTTTCCATCACTAAACAGAAGATGCTTAAAGACTGAAGCTGAGAGAGTCAGCATGTAAAGCATGTGCTCTACCACTGAGCTGTGGCACCTTTCCATTTGTGCTTGAGGCAGTAAAATCTGCATAGGAACTTTACCGCTTCACTTTCAAATGGGAAACTAGCTGAGCAAACTAGCACTTACCTTACAAACTCCAGGAATTACTGGGGTGTTTCTTACACATAGCCCCTTAGTTGGAAATGAGAGAGTAAAAATCACCTCAAATGGACCTGCCACCTTTAAAAAGCAGTGGTCGTTCAGTGATGCTCACAGGCACAGGAAGTCATTTTGGTTTATGATTGAAAGTGAATGTTTGAACAGCCCTGACTAAAAGAATGCAGCATTTGAGGAGAGTAATTTTATTATTATTATTATTATTATTATTAAAATTTGCTAAGTACTGTACCAGTATTTTAAAAATGGCAGTCCTTTGTCCTACCCTCACAATCTAGTAGACATGATACAAGAGGGAAAAGGAATGGAGAGGGAAGAAAATACAACTCACGATGGAACAGCTGCTCCTTCTCAGGATGATCTTTACCATGACATTATGTTCTTCCTAGGAGGCTGACTCCCCCCCTCCCCCCTGCCCAAAACACACACATGGGTTAGGTCCCTACTTGGTGTTGAACTCATAAAAGTCCATTACATAGCAACCTCTGGAGCCAAGGAAGGTGAGTCGGTGGCCCTCCTAGAAGCCCGTCAGCATAACCAATGGTCATGTATAACTGGGGTTGCAGTTCAACATCTGGAGGGCTACAGGTTCCCAATCCCTAGACCGCAGCCTGGAAAACAGACACCTTCCCATCATCATTTCCCCCCCACCCCTGCTCCCCAGGGATCTTCCTTCTGCTAGCAGGAAGAGTCAGCGGTTGCAGACTGTCCAGATGCCCAGGAGATGCCTCACTTGCCTGGGTCCAAAACATCTGGTGCTACCTGGCCCTGACTGCTTCAGTGTACACATTGTGTGTATGGGGGGCGGGCAGTATTTTCCTTGATGGTCACCATGGAAACTTTGAACAGCAGCAGTTGGACCAGCCACAACAGTGGCATTTAAATCTGGTTAGTGGTCATTTCCCACCATCAACCCTTGTCATTAATTTCTGTCAATTACCCAGGAGGTCTGCTGAGAAGACAAAGGGGAGACACAAATAATTTTAAACAAGCATGGATGCCTGAAGTCATGCTTAGACTAGGATCAGGAGAGCAAATGAGCTGTGAAAAGTTTAAGTAGCCTGTATGCCAAGAAAATCTCTTAGCTTCAGTTCCTGATCTATACATGGAAATAACAGTGGCCAAGGTTATTATGCATGTCCAAGGGCCACACTGGCAATAACCCACACTCCAAGGACCGCATGGCAAAAAAGTTTTAATTTTTAACCTTTCGAATTAAACGCTGACTACATAGAAAACAGAGCGCACGCAATTTAGAACACAATTCAGTGTTGTTGTTTTTCCAGAGGATTTAAGGCTGTCTTGTTTCACGCAATTCTCCACGACTGCATTGGGGGCAATTTCCCGAAGCAGCCACTAAAGTGTTTGAATTCCGCTCGTGTTCTTGTGTCGAAAGTTTAAGGATAGGGGATTAAACTATCCGAGCCCAGCCTTTGGAGAGATCAACCCTGCACCACTTCCCCGACCTGCGCCAAAGAGTCAAATTGCTCTCTTGACCATGAGCAGAGCGCTTTAAAGCCTCCGCTTTACGGCCAACGATACGTAGGCTGGAGGGGAGGGGATTCCTTCGGGCCAACCCCCCGCGCCTGTAATTAAAAAGCGCTCTCCCCACGTGCCTCCTCCACCCACCCGCCACTCAGAACAAGGCACTGTTCTGTCGGCAGACAAAAAACAGCGGAAACCTCTCCGTGGCACACTCCCCTTTAAATGCGGGCCTGCCCCTTTAAGGAACCGAGTTCTGCCGCCCCTCCCCCTTCGTTGCCGTTCGGCCTCGCGACATCTTTTCTCCCTTTATTTCTCTGCCTCCTGTTTTTTTTTTTTCCTCACCTGGCCGGTCTTTTTTTTTTTATCCTCCCTGCGCACTTCGTCTCAATAGGAGCTGGATAAGAGGGGTGCAGCGGGGCTAGGGGGGGAGGGGCTGTCACTCCACCCTCCCAACGGCCGGCGCTGCGAGACACCCAACCTTTAACTCGCTCACACTAACCGCCCGCGAGGGCAGCCAGCCTCACCCCTTTGCGCCGCTGCCATTGGCCACGCAAAGCATCTCGGGAGTTGTAGGCTGTTGTGGAGGACGCTGCCGGTAGCCATGTTGTTCCCGAACCACGTGTTTTGGAAAGCGCTTGGGGAAGGGAAAGCTCTGTGTTGCAGGAAAGGTGGCCGTGGCGTCTATCATGAGCGCTTTCGAGGCCTTACAATAAACTTCGTGACCTCGCTGTTGTGAGCCCCATAACACCATTATGTATATATGAATGAATGAATTTATTAATACGGTCACAGACCAGCGTCAACACACACAATATCACAGATCATTAAAAAAAATATATCAGAAATACAGAGGACAATATGAGTATAACAAGGATTTAAGTATAAAAAATTAAAATTAATTATTAGCGTGCCCCCTGTAATTAACATTTGGGGGTTTGGTCATTATGGGATACCACTTGCTTCCTGCGATTAATTGCAGACGCACAGAATTTGGCTACATTTGATGTAGTCTTGGGATTCTTGTCCTCTAGCAGTAGTGTTAAACTATGGTGTTCCGATTCTTTCCTGGACTTTTGCAAAACAGGTGTAATAAAAGTCAAACGTATATCCTCATAAAGACGACAACGTAATAGTACATGTGAAGCAGTTTCAACTTCCAACGAGGCACAGGGGCAAACCCGTGCTGTGTATGGTTTACCCTCAAATCTGCCCTGAAGTAAGGCAGAAGGGAGAACGTTGAATCTGGCGAGGGTAAAAGACCGTCTGTATTTGGGTACCTGAAGACCTGACAGATAGTTAGCTGGAGAGAAACCTCTCCCATGGTCCCTTATTGCTGGATGTTTGATCATTTCGCTCATGTGGCATTGTAATTCTACGTCCCAGATACACTGGCGAATTGTAGTCCTAGCTTTCTCGAAGCCTGTCGCTATCAGGGTCTGCTGTGGGATCCCCAAGCCTTTAAGCTTTTCCAGCAGTGTAGCTTTCCATTTGGATTGGTAGGTATCTAATAAGGTTAAAGGTGCCAGCCCAACCGGGAAGAAAATAAGCTTTAGCCAATAATGGATCTTCAATATCCATATCCGAGTACTGATAGGAATTTGCCCAACCTCCAAACGTATATATATTTATTATATGCATTATAGTGAGAAAAGGAAGCTCAGGTAATTTAAGTTGTTGACCCGCTCTTGCTTCAATGTGGCCTTAGTTAATACTGTACTGATATCACGGTTTATAATGACATCATCCTAACTTCGCTGGTATTAAATGAAATAATTGAAAATTAATATATTTATCAACTTATATCAGGGGGTAGCAATTGAGAAGTAACTCCTATTGAATGGGGCTTGCTGACAATCTGGGGAATCTGTGGGGGGAGGGTATAGAAAGGGGAATTTTATCAGGTGCGGCCTTTTCACCGACAGCTGAGGAATGGGAGAAACAGCAACGTGAAGAATTTTCTCTTTGAGCTCTCAAAAAGGAATTTGAACCCTCTTTATTGTAATATCTGTCTTATATATGGCACACATATTTACAGCCTGCTCTTCAGCCCCAAAGAGTTCCCAGAAATAGGATGCCAAATAAGACAAGAGTGTATCAAGTTCAAGTCCAGATCTGTTAAAAAAATTAAATAGCCTTGGTGAAGTTGTGTAGAACAGGAGTCATACCACTGTCACACTGTTTCCATTCTCATCCATTCTCCCCTTATTAAAAGACAGGTATGTTATCTCTTATTTAAGAAAATCAATGGCGCAACTATCCTTTATCCACCTGGGGGCAGCATTAAGTTGTATGCATTTAGTCTGCCACAACTAAAGGAGATCCTGTTCACTCTCTCTCTGATTAGGAAAAGTGCAATTACAGATTATTGGCTGCTTAGAGAGGGCTGTACCTGGTAGGAAATAGAGTCTGTTCATTTGGGAAGAAAGGACCACTACAGTTATTTGTAATAACAGCCTGCATGGAACTCTGTAGGCTACTTTACATAAAATGAGCATCCTTTCTGTTCTTGTCAAAAGGCACCAGTGCAGTACATGAGCTTAGCTTGTTTCTTCCTAGAACTACTTTATCCAATAAAATGTTTTGCTTGAACTGTTCCTTGGCTTGTTCCATGGTTCATTTGTTAAGTGCATAAGTTACCCTACATTTGCTTTCATGTCTCAAAAAGGCATTGATAACAGCTCTTGGTAGTTTGCAAATATAATTTTTTATTCCCTCCATCAGAATCCACAAAATGTCTTGATAATCATGTAAAGCACTGGTTTAAAATACAATATTTCTTTTATTTACATATCTTATATGCTTTTTCAAAACCATGTCAAAAACTCCCATGTCAGGGAGTTACAAATGAAAATATAATAATGACAAGTAAACCTCATCATTAAAATCACATGCAAATGAAAAATGCTTTAAAAATCCCAAAAATAATACAGCAGCATTAAAAGAAAACCACAACAGCCAGTTAACATAATCAAGTCACAATATAATAACTGATTTTAAAAAAACCCCAAATTTTCTAATCAAAGGTAGGCTGGGAATAAAGTTTTCTAAGACCCATATCAAAGAAAATGGGGAGGGGTTCCATAGACAATAGAAGCCGCAATATCAGAAAGAAAAAGAAAAAAAACCCAGCAACCTGTAGCACCTACGCTAGTCATCTCTCTTTCTCCACGCAGCATATTCACCCTCTGTCAGTATAGTTATACCAGCATCAGTAGCAGCTAGGATTGTGTTGCTTCAAGTTTTTTGCCCTGTAAATGCCCTTCTGCAACTTAGCTTGTTTCCTGCTGTGATATGGAATGCATAAATTGGCCCTTTTGATGTGGATGGGCAGAGATTGCTGTCTTACTGTAGGGGGAATCAGGGTCAATGGCCCCTGGTCTCTTCTGATGCTTTGACTTTATATTCATTCACACCAACAGTCTCCCACTTCTAACTGGAGGAGGGAACCCTAACAAAGCGATCATAATGTCCTTTTGCCGCAGGCCAGGGCGAAGAGGACCTGGGTGACCTGCTGAGATGTCCCAGCAGCTGAATGGCATTTTGGGGGCCAGCTTGAACTGCTAGCCCGCTGGAGTAGGTCCCGCATACGAATCGAGGTGCAAGAGCAGATTCCAAGCACAGTTGGTGAAAGATTACACAAACACTTTCGCTGTTACACAACAGTCCTTTGGCTGCTCTCCTGAACTGCCAGCTGGGAAGTCACAACATCAATTGTTGACAGCCTAGGCGAGTCAGGCGTCCCTTTCTCTCCTAATAGAAAAAGAAAACCAAGCTGTGAATTTTCTGATTAGATAGCTGTCCTTTTGTTCATGCAACCTGGGTAGCTCAGATGTAAACACTGTACAAACTTTTCTTGCTCTTTCTGTGCATGTTTAAGTACTAAGTAGACATTCTAAACTCTTGTGTCAAGATGAGGGAGTGGTAAATATCCCAGATTATTATATTCAGAATAAAAGAGTGTGATCATTCTTACTCTTGGCAAAGAGAAAGAACATTCACAGACCCTGTAGTAGTGGTAGCAGTGATAAGGAGTGGTTGTCTCTACATTTAGCAAAAAAATTATGAGAGTTTGCACCTTGCTATATTTAATACTTCTTAATGCTCAAAATATTATGCCTTACGGCTGAATTTTACAGCTTGGTTCTATGCAAGTTTGGCATGACTATGAGCCCAATCTGCATAGATTGGGTTGTATGTTTTTGTTCTCCAACTCTAAAATCTCTAATCAAAGCATGTATTGCATAACAAGCTGTCAAATGATCTGCTAGTAGTGTTTGGGTTGAAGTGATACAGTAGCTCTAGTTTAGTGAAGCAGTAAAGACCAACTGTGCTGACTACAACATGTAGAGCTGCTATGTACCAAAACCTGTCATTCTTAATTTCTTTGCAGTGAACCAGAGGTTTTGCAAGAAGCTTGGGATCTACAAGGCTTATTTGAATTACTCGACAAAAGACCCTGAGTAGCCTTTAACAGTGTATGCCAATCTAACAAACTCAGCAGCTAGTCAGTTTACCTGAATATCCACCAACAAACTTCAGAGAATTTGAAAACTCTGCAATGTCCTGTGCAGCGTCAAAGCGGACCTGTCCTAAAATTGGGTAGCATCTCATCTAAGTGTGCTAGATGGAAGGTATGACACTTATATAAGTTCTGGCACGGGAGAAGGGGTAGTGAAGGGCAGAAAGACATTGAACAAGGTTTGACAAATCTAGGTTTCTGCATATGATTTACTGCATGGTGTTCTAGTACTGCCAATTCCTGTCGCAGCTGCTCTGGACAAGACAGGGATGTAAATCAGAGATAGGAAGAAGTGCCTGGACTGGTGACAGAAGCAGAATTAGACGTGCTTTGTGGGCGCTGGGTATAGTGGGTCAATCTACCACAGAGCTACAGGGGGGAGCAATTGGGATTGTATCTGAATAGATAGCAGAGCAACATAGAGAGAAGAAAGAAAGAGAAATGTGAGAGACTGCAGGGAGAAAAAGTCATGTGGAGGGCGAGAGATAAAGTGGGTGTCACAGGAGGGATAGAGTGGAATGCTAGGCACACAGGGATACTTGTGTCAGATCCAGTAAAATAGATCCGCTTGAAACTGCATAATTATTTCAGTGTTCCCAGCCTCACAAAGCACCATGAAATTGCAAATTACATCTGCATCCATTGACAGAACAATCTGCATCCAGCACTTCCTTCCATCATTGCAACAATGCAAAAACACCTAACCGAGGCATGGATCCTTATATATATTTTACAATGGAGCTGGTCCCAAGTTTGAATGTGTACTAAGCGCTCTGGTAATTCCTCTACTACAGGGGTAGGCTGCAGTGCTTCTGGGTCTATTTTTCTGTTTAAGGTTCCCACAATGCCCTCTGATGTACTCTCTCTCTGAGACATCATAGGAAATTTAAATGGAAGAACGACACAGCAGCCCAACCCTGAGCCAAGCACCGGGGGGGGGGGGAGTTAAATGTAGGGCCCGGGGTAAACTTTAGCAGAAGTCCTGGCTAGGGATCTGGGGCCATGGGAGTAGCCCAAGGATGCCCTGCCCTCAGCCCTCCTGCTTCATCTTTATTTACCCCGATTGATGACCATTTCTTGAAAGGACAGCCAGTTTTCTGTAAATAAGGAAAGGGTTGGGTCCTTGTAAACTGGCTGAGAATAAACACATCACGATGTGGCAGAGGTGAGGCAACAACTTGGTTAAAAAATTCTGTGGGGGGCAGGGGAAAAGAACTGGAAACTTAAGAAGCCTTGGTCCCTATGCCCCTATGTATGTGTTCTTTTTGAACATGCACAGAGGCACGCTTTCCTTTGTTATGGAATCCTGTGTTGAAGGACTAAGTCCTGACATCCACGGCACATTCTGGGCATAAGCTGTGCCTCAAATTGAGACTGAGACTGTAATGGTTCTCTGTACAACATCCTGCAAATTCTAGAGAGGTATTGTTAGGAGACTCTCTTGGGCCTCTGACGCACTGTGATACTTGAGCTCAGTCTCTTACTGAGCCAAGAACAATCCTGTGTTGGAAAATTAGTGATAATGTGTGGAGGTTTTGGTGAGAGGCAATGGACGTCTTCACATCTAGCGTGTCCTCTGTAAAGCTGTGCATCAGCTGCTGAATTGGCTGGCGCAGTCTAATTGCTGCTAATACCTCAGGACACTCGAGTATTCAGAAAAGCCTTTGACACACTTTGTACGCTGATAATTGTTAACAGGCATGATAAGCCAATTATGTGCTCGCACTTTGTGATGCCATCCATTTAGACATGTGACTGCATTGTGATGTCACCATGGAGAGGCATTACTGGGAGGATGACATCAGCGTCATAGTGTTACAGCAAGCCAGCCGGCAACTGTCTTCAGCAGCATTAGCTGTTTTGCCCAGTGTCTATAGAAGCTGTCTTTGGATGACTCACTCTGCTTGCAGTTGAGCAATAAGAGTGTAACAGAACACATCTCCTATTCTTCACTCACCTGCCTTTTCCTCACTACCTGACCTCCCTCTGCTGTGGCACATTGCTATATCGAAACCGAAGGGCCTCCACTGACATTTGTTGTCCAAGGTAAGACCAACTAGCAAAACACTAATTTCAGTTTGTTGGGGTTTTGAATCCAGGGTTTCCTCAGCGCCCCCCGCCGCCGCCGCCGCCACCACCACCACTGTTCCTTCTTAGTACTGTATTGATGTTTGACCAACAGTTGATGGTTAGAAGGCATACAATGCGCAGCGTCAGTTCCACACAATAGTTTTGTCTGATTGCAGCAACACATTGCCATGTCATGTTAAGTACCAGGCTCAGAGTCCAGGAGAAGATGAAGTTTAGCAGAGGAGCCTCCATATTCTAAGCAACTTCAGCAATTAATCAAATTATTTTGTTTCCTTTTCTATCTTTCCCATCACCCTCTTCTCTGAGCTGTATTTGGTATTTGTCCAGTCAGTTACGACAACTGACATGTCAGATGTTGGTGACATGCAATCAATCATCAAATATTGAAAGTTTCAGGTAGAACAGTAACAGAAGCTGAGAATTGTAAATAAATTCCAGAATTCAGCTCTTCCTACAACCTTTACAAAACATCATACCAAATCATGTGTCCTCTCATTTCTACAACAAATACAGCGAATGATGAGACCTCTTCCTAGGCACTTGTGTAGGATTGCCAACTTTTGTTTATAAGCTAAATCTGGTACCTCAATATAAAAATTTACAGTTTATTGGTCATGGAAAGCTTAGACCATTACTTCCACGAATCAGAATCTGTTTATTGAAGAAGTAGTTCCTTCTAGGAACAGGTGCTTGCAGTCCTGCAATTAAGATAATCACTCTTCCGATCTTCACACCTGAACTATCAGTTTCCAAGAGCCTTTTAAAGGCGCAGAGGATTAGAACTCCCCACGATCTGTCTAAAGGTCAGGAAGATTAACACACCAAAGCACATTCAGTACTCTCCAACAAAATTGTGATCTTTTGACTCCAAAACACAGACACTCCTTTACAAGGGTGCTAATGGAGTGGTCCCATGTATCTCATAGTGCAGGTCTCTCTCCCTGGCAAGCCATGATTTTCAGCTATTCAGTGCTGATAATCTCAAGAGTTGTCCAAATTTCTAGGCATGATTGGGAGAGCTCCTGCATCAGCAGCGTTGCTAAGTTGGTAGTCTTTGTGAATCTGGGTGTTGACAATTATGGTTTGCTATACCATGAAGGTGATGTGCAAAGAAACCGACTTGCCAGTTCTCTGAAATTTTAAGGTTGATATCACTCCTTAGGAATTCGCTTTCTTACGATTCACTTGCCATTATACAAAACAGCTGTATCTTGATGAAACTTTAGAAAATTTGTCAAGCTGTCATGGATGGTGTTTACTATATCAAATAAGCATTTTGCAAGAGAGCTCCTCTGCATGTTAATGAAACCTTCCAAAACTTGGACTGTTAAATCAAAAGTGCTTTTTAAAGGACACTGGTATTTTTTCAAGTGGCCTGGTATTTCCTCTGCACAGTTTTGCATTTTAAATCATTGCTTCCACTGGAAGTATTTAAGAATTAATTCAACATACTACAAAGCTGTTCACCAAATATATTGCCACTCATGGGATATAGCAGCCTCAATTCCACAATAAACTTCTACCTGTAAGTAATCAAGTGTTCTCTCGTTAGATAATAATACTTCCCCAGGTGTCCAATCTGATTTAACCTGTTTCATCCCAGTCTCCAGAAAGATTTGAGTATAGCTTTATGTTCTGAATTATTTGTTTTATGCTGCTGCATAATAACTTACGTAACTGTGGCTGTTTTTATTGATTTTCACATTTTATTTACTTTCTCATCAGGTGCATTGTGCATCCAAGAAGTGGTGTATGGTCATAGTCTCATTGCTGAGCAAAACTTAGTGGAGTCGGAGGCCAGCCAATCAGAATTGTCTCTGACACGTACTTGCCTGTGGGCAGAGTCAGCATCCAAAGTAAGTTGCAGTCCTAGGGTCAGACAAACAACAATCCATGTGGTCAGACGGTCCAGGGGTTAGGAAATCCGATGATCAGGGAGTCAAGGATCAAGACAAGCAGGAAGCAGCAAGGTAGGACCAGGAACTACAAGCATTGTTAACAGCTTCTAACTGCTGCTGGGAGCTCTGCTTAAGAAGGCTGAAGCCTGCTGGTTCTCATCAGCACCTTCTCTCCTGTGCCTTTGACGGCTGATCAGCTGCAGGTGGAGTCACTCCCCCTTCTCCCCCTTCAGGCTGCTTGTTCAGCAGGCGAAGCTGACTCCTCGCCCATAACACATATCAGTATGATATAAATAGAAATACGCAAATACGGTTGTTTAGATTTTGGTAATAGGTTGATATTCAGTTGTAAGAAAAAACTGAAAGTTTTCTTTTCTACACAGCACTTAACAGTTTAGGAGGCCTGTCTTCCTTAGCTATTTGCTCTGTCTTTCTCTTAAAAATAACAACCTTAAACAAACAAAATAGAAAATTGTCGTGATGCAAGTGTTCCAATCCAGCTTAGGTTGGGACACTTGTAAGTCCTGCCCCACTAAGGGCTTATCCACACTTACATTTCCTTCACACTTTCCAGCCACAGTCCACATTTTAAATCTCCATGTCCGAGTGCTCTCTTCCTTTTTTGCACTGGAACTTTCCCTTTTTAAAGCTCAGTTGGATCAAATAGCAATCTGCGGAAAGCCCAAATTGACATTTGCTCCAGTTGAGCACTAAAGAGCAGCTTTCAGCAGGAAAATCTTGGGGAGGGGAGGGACAGACTCTTGGACTTGAACTTTTAAGTGTGGACCTTTGCCTGGAAAGAGTGGGGCAAAAAATAAGTGTAGATAAGTCCTAAATGAAGACCTATGATCCCACTCATCTGACACTTTCTCTAAAGCCGTACATTTTAAACTGAAGCTGAGTTTGGTGTGAGCCAAGGGCGGGGACACCTCCATCACCCTGGTTGCAGATCAAAAATTATCTGGGTACATTTAAAACCAGCCAGCGGCTTTACTCAGCTTTACTTAGTTTACTATGTTTTGAACATAACTCTCCCTGCCCTGCCAGTTCCAGTAATTCACTCCTGGGGCTGACAGTTTTATGACTCCCTCATGTCACTCTTCTCTCCAGTGTCTGCCAGCCCCAGTTTGCAAATAATATATTTTAGAGCAGCTGAAGGAGACACAGTGACACTGGCAATGGACGGCCCATGGGTATGGGGCAGAGAGAAAGTCATCACTTTCCCCACCCTGAGATATTTATTTGCACATCACTCAATTCATTTAAATATATGCTGATACAAAATCAGCTGTTGACTGCTGTTGCAGCCACATGTAGAGTGCATGTGTACAAGGGTGTGAATGGGTACCACCTGTATTTATGTGGATTAATCAAAATATTGGCCTGTTTTTACGAGTGTTTGATTAATTGCAAAAGTAGCCAGTTAAATTCAGCAAATGAATATATATACTTTATATTAACATATACCTTTTTTAAAAAAAACCAGTTCTTGTGGGATGTTAGCATCCAAAATGTACCTTATTTTTCTGTGTATAACACCCCCCCATGTATAAGACGACCGCCAAAAGCCCACCTGCACATTCAAAGCAACAACAGCCAATTGCACGCATGCCTCGCCACTGCCGCAAATAGTCCGCCCTATTGCCGCCGCCGCAGCAGCCAATCGTCAGCAGGCCTTGCCACAGCAACCAATCACACACCCAATTGTTGCTGCCAATCTCCTGCTGGCTGCTGGCACCACTCGCCTGTCCCCCCCACTGCTATCCGTGTATAAGACGACCCACAATTTTTGCCTATTATTTCGAAGGAAAAAATATCGTCTTATACATAGAAAAATACACTTATTTGTAAAGTGAGGTCCCAACCAAAGAAGAATGGCAATTTAATTGACAGAATATGCACAGCTTGCAGACTTAACATATAGAATACGAAAACAAGAAGAACATATGTTTAGAGAAGATTGGAAAAGGTTTATTGAATATATGGGAAACAATTGTGTACAGCTGAAAACGCTGGCAGCATTAAGATAAATTCAAAAGTGTAAATAAGCTTTGATGGATGCAATAATGGAATACTGAATGGTATAGTTTTATGATTTGTGATATGATTTATGATATGTAAAATGAACCATGGAAAGAGAAGGGAAGTCATTGATATCTTAAGGATGTAAAAATAAGTATTTTAAATTGTAAAACAGAAAATTTAACAAAAATTATATACAAAAAACGAAAATGTGTTTGCAAAGGGCGATTGTTTGAAAGGGCTGTGCAATCTTCCTCAAAGCCTTGTGACCCCAAATGTGAGCTCTCTCTCCTTTAGAGAATCAACAAAGAGGAAGCATAGGGTGGGGTGAGAGTATTTTTCTCCCACCCACCCACTGTGTCTGTCGTCAGCTGTGGGTTATATTTAGCAGGTGCGTGAGAGGACGCCGGGGCAAAGCCAAATTGGCTGCTTGTTAATCGTTTCCGGTTACAGCTGCTTTTGGATGTTCATGTTTCGAGGCCTATGGAGCCTCATGCGACACACGGCTCAAGAAGCCAGGAAGCCTTTGGGGTGCAGAGCAAGAGCGCATCCCCCATAAGCCGGCTCTCAGAAGAGCAGTTACGTTGGCAAGGGCTCGTCCTGCCTGGCGACTGGCATTGGTGAGCATGCGTATCATTAAGACTGCCTTAGGAAATGTCTGTCCTGAAGCAATGCAGAAGCCAGTTGCCCAGGCTGGGGGGCGCACCTATCAATGGCGTGGATTGATTCAAATGTACCCATCATATCTTTGGCTGTCAGTTTCTAACTCTAATTCTGCACTCCCCAGTTCCCAAGCAGTGGGAAGTCAAAGTCAACTATTACAGCAGCTTTTCCCAGCCTGGTGCCCATCAGGTGTTTTGGACTACAACTCCCATCAGCCCTAGCTGGCTGAGACTCATGGAACTTGTAGTCCAAAGCAGCTGGAGGTCACCATTGCAGGCTGCATTACAGGATGTGTTTCTTTGCAAAATGAGAGCACCAACTATATACAAAGTTTTCATAATATAATCTCTTTATTTACAAATGTACAAGTTGAATGGGTATTACAGCAGCATATAAACAAGCATATAGGCAGGCAATACTACTAATACTCTTAATTATATGCCACCCATCTGACTGGGTTGCCCCAGCCGCTCTGGGTGACTTTCCAGCAAAACATTGCTAGACCCACAGCAACATCAATTCTAGACCTCCAAATCATCTCCTTGGTGACTCTGCCAGTCAAAGATCAAACTGCTCCTTACATCTCTTCTGCATCACTCTCTCTCTCCATTGGATATGACTTGTCAAGAGACAGTCCATCCATGGTGGCTGGAAAGAGCACAAAGAGCAGCGTTAACTGCTCATCAATGTCCACTGTCACATCAGCAGACTTTGTGGTCACCATGATTGACAACCATACAGAGGTCTTGTAAATCTGACCATTGTTGCTGGCCCCTCATTCCCAATCTAGTCACACATAATTTTAGTCCACCCCCATTTCGTCTAATTCAGGGTGAGTGATAGACACCAAGGTTTCGTTGCCTTTTAGATGTAAGTCTATTTGGTTCCTTTCCATTCAATGAAGTGGCCAGTTATTGACCCAGGATGGACTAAAATCAAGTCTTTTTAATCTCTGATCCAGAATCGGGACTAGAGAGTGACCCTCCTAAGATGAAAATCACATATGTGGGAGAGGAATGATTCCCTAAAGTTTCTCCTGCCCTGCCGGCAGCTTGCTCTGTTTTCTGAGGATAACAGTCTTTTTTTCTGTTTCCCTAGCTTGACTGTGCTTTCTCTTTTCCCTCAGGAACAATGAGGTGTCTTGGTTTGGTGATGTGCATGGTGTCTTTGGTCCTTCAATGGCTAAGGCTAGGTTTGGGATTGGTGCCACCCCTCCCTGCTTCACACATATGGCCTAGATTATTAGCAGCGCCGGCTGGTGCCAAGAAGATCTCTGCTAGGCCGAACACAGCTCTGGGCCTCTGGGAGCAACCAAGGCACTTTGATATAATTCATCACCTCCTTGGCTGGGCTACGCTGAGACGCGTCGGGCATCAACAGTCCCCGCAGCATCTCCATTGCCTGGGGAGTAAAACGCCCCCAATGGGGTGGGCGCGGGGAAAAGCGGGGGCTGCGATGCCAGCAGACAAAGCTGCGGTAGTACCGGTCAGCAGGTACAGCTGTGAGCCAGGGGAAGTAGCCGGTTAGCACGCAGAAGAGCAGCACTCCCAGGGACCATGTGTCAAGGCTGGGCTGGGCCTCCAAACGAGCTTTGGGGCCCAGCGTGCTCAACTCGGGGGCCGTGTATGGTAGGCTCTCTGGCAAAGCCTCAATGGCCCGGCCTCGCGGGCAGCTCAGCCCAAAGTCGGTCAGCTTGATGCGGCGGCACTCTGGGTCACACAGCAGCACGTTCTCTGGTTTGACATCGCGATGCACCAGCCCCTTCGTTTCCATGTACTCAAGGGCACTGGCAAGCTGCAGGGCGCAGCGCTTGACCCGCTGCTCAGGCACACCAACCTGGAGGAAGTAAAGGAGAGATGAAAGTCACATGTGCAGCCACACAAATTCCCTGAAGGTAGAAACATCTCCAGGCTCCATTCCTCAGTTCTCTGATAGGGCTAGGCGCTAACTGCTTTTCAACATCATGATATATCACCAGCTAAATATTGTGATATACCAATATATCACAATGTCTGAAATAAGGATGAAACTATGTAGAGATAAACAGTGGGCTGGGGGATACCTGGTTTTCAACACTGTAATATATCACAGTGTCTGAAATATATGTAGAGGCATTGGCTGGCATCATGGGTTTTCCCACATTGTGATTTTTGCATAGCACACAAACACACATCATGATTCACAATATATTTTCATGTCAAAAATTATGAAACTAATATCATGATATGGACTTCATTCTCTGGTGTGCTCAAGCAGGGATAGATTATATTGTTGGAAGTCTTAGGGCAGCTATATGCTTGGGTCCTCTTTCGAGGTTCATGATTGATCCCCTTTGCATTAGCAACTTCCATTCAGTTCAGTTGCCTAAGTCAAGATGAGTGGATGCACTCTTATCTAGTCTTTTTAAGCACTTGCTCTCAGGCAGCTTTCCAGAACTTGAAAAGGAGCCAGTGAGGAATAAAATAGTGCATATGCACTTGTAAGGCTGGCTGTATCTTGTGTTTCTGTGATCATGTGTTGTAAGTACAGTGGTACCTCAGGTTACATACGCTTCAGGTTACATACGCTTCAGGTTACAGACTCCGCTAACCCAGAAATAGTGCTTCAGGTTAAGAACTTTGCTTCAGGATGAGAACAGAAATTGCGCTCCGGCGGCACAGCAGCAGGAGGAGGCCCCATTAGCTAAAGTGGTGCTTCAGGTTAAGAACAGCTTCAGGTTAAGTACGGACCTCCGGAACGAATTAAGTACTTAACCCGAGGTGCCACTGTATTGCATTTGATATCACATAAAAAAGACAGCATGCAGGGAAGCTTTTAAAATACATTTCTAATTTCTCTGGCATGAACAGTAGTTAGAAAGCTCAACTGTACCTTTGACTAAAAAGCCCACTTGATTAAAGAAGCAGAAGACTTTTTAAAAATGCAAAAAATACAAGTGTTTATAAAAACTTCATATGGTGAGTACCATCTTCAAAGAGGCATTGTCTCTTCTCAGGCAGGAGGAATGCCTCTTCTTAAAAGATGTTTTCTGCTGAAAACTAAAGGTAGCATGCATCTCGCTTCAGAAATATTGTTTTGACCTATATGCAGATTTAACCAACAGAGTAATCAGCTGCAACTCATAGGCAATCTTATTACTACAGGTGGTCCTGGCAGTGAAAACCAGCCTGGTACTATTCCATGATTTGAAATGACGTGGGAGTAGGGGGGAAAGGGGCATACAAGCAAAGAAACTCCATTCTCTCACATCTTTCTCCTCCACCATAACTTTTCGAAAAGCATGGAATGGGGTGGGAAGCTGCCAGCTACAGAAGGCATGTGGTCTGTGTCCATGCCTGGTGGGTTTGTTACCTGTGGAACCATGAGCGAGAAGAGGTCACTGGCCAAAGCCAACTCCTGTGCAAAGACATAGTGTTTGGGGGTCTGGAAAGCAATCCCAAGGGCAGTGGCAATGCAGGGATGGGCCCCCAAAGTCAGCGCAATGCAGTATTCATTCACGAAATCTAGCAATTCTGTAGCCTTCTTGTGTACAAATTTCAGTGCCATGGGTGTTCCTGCAAGAGAGAAGAGAAGTGGTTCCTCCAGATGACCAATTTATTAAACATTCATCCTGATTTGCTGACACAAAGCTTACACGGAGGTTAGACTATGTCTGATTTTTACTTATTAAGCATTTGTGCTGATTTGTTTGCAGGGCGGTTATAGGACAATGAGCAATTATTCTGCATTCATCTTGATTTGCTTATGGAGTCCTTATCAGCCTCCCCATTAATTGTTCTTTTATCCTACACTCTCCAATGTTCTTCCCTGCCACTTTCATAGTGGGAAAAAGTCAGTTTCTTATTTAAAGTGGATTTATTGTGCTAGGGCAACAGAGTGCTTCAGTCCACCTAAATGTGCCAAACTAAATTTATGAAATGTGCTTGGATCCCTCCCACAAAACAATGGCAACCGGGAGGCAGCCAAGAGACCCTTGGCCCCTGAAAGAGAGGAGAAAATATAAAGGACTTGAGTGCCCCCCAAGGACATTCCACATCAAACAAGCTAGTCTCACATTTTGCTCTTGTGGTGCAAAAGCGAACACAATTCTTTTCAGCAAAACAACAACATGCTATCAATTTAAATGATGCTGCTTTAGATCCAGTATAACTTATTTCAACCAGACAGTTCAACCATGACTTCATTTCCCATTGATTTTAGAAGGATCTACAGAGAAATCCTATATATGTCTACTCAGTACCAGAAATAAATCCAAATGATGTAAGCAGGTACAGGATTAGAGTATAATTGCAACTACATAGATAGGGTCCATCCCAATACTTGAAAATCACCCTTGAAACAATAATGGAGAGAATAATTCAAAGATTATAATAGACTACGTTCACCATTCTGCAGGTATAACAACATCCCCTATTTTCTCTGAAAATGGAAGTGGCACGTACATTTCCTTGTGTAGACTAGCAAAAAAAGAGATGTTGGTATTTCTTCTTTTTCAGGAGACAGACAGATCTACATTTCTTCAGAGTAGAATGCAAGCTTCCCAGAGCTGGGAACGGATGAGTTCTGTTCTCCTCAGAAAGGATCCTGTTAACTCTCTTTAGATGGACTCTCCACTCTCACCCCAGAAATCTATTCAACTGACACTTTCTAACGGCCACTTCACCAACATTCTAGAAGAACCTTCTCGGCCCCTTCAGGTAGAATAACATGGACTGATTTACACACATCTCTTACACCTAAGTTCTCTCATAGGTTCAGTGATCTGTTTTGTAGCCTTCTCTGCCTCTCCATCCTCTTGGGTTCTGACCTACCTTGGCGTTGGTGGACTGCCATCAGCACATGCCCATAGGAGCCACTGCCAAGCTCTCGGAGGACAGTGTAACTCGTAGCCACCTCCACCTGGGGCAGGTTCTGAGAAGTCAACAACACCATCTCTTCAAGTCGTTTTGTGATGTCACCAGAGACGAGCTTCATAGCTGTTCAGGAGGAGCGACAGAAGAGACTTGGGGTGAATGCAAAAAGACCACTGACCAACTGCCAATGTACCCTTCTGCATGTACACTTTTTTTGTGGGTGCCAGGTGACTAAAATGCATAGCAGGAATTGGAGCAGCGGTCACCCTTCTGCATTGAAGGCAAAAGGCCCAATGAGAAAGAAATAATTGGAGAGGCATTTTTCCTGTGCCTTCCGAAGTAAACAGTAGATCTAGGAATAGCCATTTCCATGAAACAGACTCTCATGAAACTGGACCATTCTGCATAACACAGGGGGAAAGGCCTGCAACGCTATAAAGACTGCACAATTGCCCATTCACCTTGATAGGTTCAGACAGCACAAGGCAACCGTAATTATGTTATCTCACTACTGCAGATGGTCCCTTCCTTTCTATAGAAAGTGGGGTCATTTGTTACCCAACATGATGTTTTCCCTCCCCACACTTCCTTGCTCCTGAAACAGCATGTATTGCCATGTGAGAGCAATGATTCCGTTTTTTGGCATGGAATCAGAAATGATGACACCAGAGTGTTTACATAACCAGACACCCCAGGTATTGGGCTTTGCATCAGCTGCCTCTGATGGACAGCCAGATGCTGCCCAACTCTGGTGGAGCAAGACACAAAATGAGACTCAGTGCAGCGTCCTGTGCCAGATGAGGGATGATTGCAAAAAGGTTTGTGATGCTGGAGTTACACTTGGTGAGTGTAAAGAAAGGAGCACCTCTAACAGTGTGCAGAGTGCTTTTGTTCACAGCAACCACAACCAATGCTTACATATTTGGGATCTGGGGGAAACACTTAGGGGGCAGAGAGTTTGATTAACAGGCAGCTGTGTTTCAGTCTCAGTACTCCTCACATTAGACAAAACTGTGAGGACTGGGATGGCGGGGGCGGGGAATAACTTAAGGATGTTTTAGCTACAAACAACACAAATCATTCCTATAATCAGGCCTTTTTTTCCCTTTCAGCTGGAACTCACAAGAATTCAGTTCCAACACCTTTCAAGTGGATGCTGTTGCCATTATAAGAGAACAAGGGAGGCATTTAGGGTGAGTTCCGGCACCTCATTTTCTAGAAAAATAGCACTGCCTATAAAAAATACATTTTTCTGCAAGTGGCTCTATATGGCTTCCTCCCTTGGTGCAGGGTATAAAGCCAGAGAAAGATACTTAGGTTGCAATCTCATGCATAGGAGTGAGTCTTGAATTCAGTGGAACACGCTTCTGATTACACAGTTAAAGTCAAATGCACTCCCTAGCCTGTCAGTTTTGCACCTGAATTACAGTTACAGGAATTGCAAAGAGCACTCTAAACCTACTTGGCTTACCTACCTGCCAGGCCTCTAAGACACACACTTACCTGCCACAATGGCGCTGGGGCACTTGTGCTTCTTCCTTTCAGAGTGTTTTGTTGACTGACTTGCTGTCTGTCTGTCTGTTTGGGACCTGCCATGTGGAGATCCTCATAGAGCCTTTTATAGCAGCCACTTCCCATCTGGTTCAGTCCAGTCGCATAAATAGGGAAGGCGGCCAAGCCACCCCCTCTCATCTCTTCTCTGCCCCAAAAGGTCAGGGCTCTGGAGTCCAGGCAGTTCCATGGGGCAGGATTAGCAGCCACTTAACAAGGTTATTTTTACCTACGCTTGCCCAGCTGCTGCTACGCATATGTCTATGTGTCCCAGATGTTCCTGGAAAGAAGTGCTTGTCTCTTCTCGCTCTTCAAAGGCCCGGTGGTGGCTGAGCTTTGATGAGACAAAGTGTATCAGGCCAGAGAAGAAAGGCCACTGTGCCCTTAGAGATCCATCTTTTCATAACTTGCCAGGCAGCTGGTCACTGCCCCGGCCTCAACCTACAACCCATTGCAGAGCACATCAAACCAAATTATAATTATTGGTGACAAGCACTAAGCCTGAGAGATAATATATAACTTACTAGGGGCTGTGCACCAGCTCACTCTGCTCACTAACTCCCATCATGCCTCCCACACCAAGCCCCTAGAGCTTCCCTTGCTTTGCACTTGCCCAACCCCATTTCCAAAGCCACTTTTCAATTCTGCAGTCCTGCTTTGTACCCATTTCCCACTTCACCTCCATGTCCATGCCTCTTCCCTTCTTCCTTTTGTGCACCCCCCCTGCACAAAAACCACCCTGCATCTTCCTCTTCCCACCCATTTCAACTACAGTGGTACCTCGGGTTACATACGCTTCAGGTTACATATGCTTCAGGTTACAGACTCCGCTAACCAAAAAATAGTACCTCGGGTTAAGAACTTTGCTTCAGGATGAGAACAGAAATTGTGCTCTGGCGGTGCGGCAGCAGTGGGAGGCCCCATTAGCTAAAGTGGTGCTTGAGGTTAAGAACGGACCTCCGGAACGAATTAAGTACTTAACCCGAGGTACCACTGTACTAAACACCCTTTTCTCTTCCACCTATTTATAAAGCTACCTTCCTTTCCTGTTCTGCAGACCCCTTCATGTCCCTGTTTTCATCTTCAACCCAGCCACATGCATCCTGCTCCCTTCTTTTTTTGCAACCTGTTTTGCACCCTCATTCATTATTTTTTCTCTCGACCCTCCTTACTTGCCTCAACTCTCCCTTGCACATAGAGAGCTCTCATTTCCACACCTTCCAGAGTTGTGCAGTCCCATTTGTGTGCATGCACACAGGCTCACACACATGCAATTACCTTCACCCCCTTTCCCTAGCTCTTCCTCCTTTTTTCAAGTCTCCCTTGCGTACAGACCACCCTCAATTTCCATGCCTCCTCCTCTCTCATATTCTGCAACTCCCTTTGGGCATCCCACCCCATGCTGATATAAGTCATTGCATCTTTAAGATGATTAGAATAGAATCTTAGTTAAGAGCACTCCTGTCAGTTAGCTTATTCAGTTAGAAAATGTTAAGTCCAGTTGATGGATGTTGGGCATATATGGGTGTTTGCTTGTTGACAAAGTATCTGTTTTAAATTACTACACTGAAGCTGGAACTTCATGCTGAAGACAACACATGATACCAGGAGTGAAATACATGATTATGGGATAGTACTATGGAGTATTTGAGAGCTGTGGAATAGAAGAAGTAGAAATTTAAAACAGCCTTCCAATCTTTCAAGGTCTCTTTCATCTTGTTGCAAGCCCTCAAAGGCTATTAAAAACTCCTGTGTCTGAGGCCAATAAAACTTAGGAGCCAGGAGAAGATAAAGAGTCCATTGATTTATTACTTTCCAAGCAATCGGTTACAGTCGGATCGTTCCGCAAAAGCTGCAACCGCGACTCTGATGCCTGGGGGTGGTATTTATAAGATTTTTTACAGAAAACATTTCAATTTTCTCCAATCATATGCATAGAAACATTTTCCCATTACCTCATTCTAATTGTTGGATACATTTCATGTTAGTGCGCTTGCGCAAGCTAAGCATAAGCACTGGCTGTTTTGCTCTCATGTATATGGTTCTATTCTCCATATAGAAACTCTGTGTTACATTTTTATAGCAAAATCGATTGTGCTTTGTTGAACCTACGCGTATAGCTGCGTATGTTCTGTGATGAAAATGTTTGCTTCTTCTCTTCCCATGGGAAAGGACACTTGCATAACAAAAGCTTTTTCAGCAGTTTCTAAGCTTTTACTTGGCATTTTCTTAAAGCTACAGGCTTCTGTGAGTTCCTTTTTCCAGTCTTACCAATTTTGGGGCCCCTCCCACAATCTCACTGTACTTAAATAATGCAAAAGATTGAGAAAAGCAGGGATGGAGAGACACTGAGGCTTAAAAACTAAAACCAAAAAACTAACACAACAGAGTCTTTCACAACTCCCTTCTTGCTCAAACCTTGTTTTAAACTGCCACCTCTTTCCCTCAGTATCACCCTTGCTTGCTCTACTCAAGCCTCTGCCATTTAGTATTGCCATTTCCCCCTCCATTTCTTCCTGCTTTATTCAAACTCCTGTTGTTTAAAGGTGCTTGGTGTTTCTCCACTCCCACTTTAGTCAAACCTCTGCCATTCTTTCAAACCATCATTTCCCCCCTCTCAGTTTCCATCCTTTCCTTCTCCCATGCAATGGCCACTAGTGTTGTACAACCTGCCTTCATTTTTGCTCCTCTATCCCTCCCTGGCTTTGTGCAAATCCAGGGGTGTGGTGTGACACTACAAATCATCCAATGGGGGCTTCAGAAATACATTCTTACATTTTTATAATATTGAGGCACAAGGAAGAAGACAAAATGGCTTACTATCACCAATTGTTTGTGAATCAGAAACATCTAAGGGTCATCAAAAGAATCCTGATCTGCCGATTTCTGGTTCATATTATTGACACAAGGGTCCCATTTTCCAAGCACAATGCATTCCCAGGAAATTGCTCATTAGGCAAGTGTTTGCTTAACGAGCTGACAATTTCCATTCTTTCCTATAGGAACATTTCTATTTTGTGATTTGTCCAATATCCCTCCTCACTCCCTCCATGGTTTCTTTCTGAAACAGCTGCAGCCAACCATCAAATGAGAGACAAAGGGAAAGCTGATTTGTTCAATCTCTCCCCACTTCCTCCCTGCCTGGTTTAAGCCTGAAAATGGCTGCCACTGACCAGCAAAGCACAAACAAGTAAGGGATTCAGCTGTTCAGATATCTGAATTGGTGGTGTGTATGGTAAGGTTTGGGTACTAATGCCTTGTGTTCGGATAAGTGAATTTTCGCATGGCAAGCATTCAGAAAGCGAGACCTGCACGTAATTTGATTTGGTTTTGGTCATTCTGTATTTTATGATTTTATATACTTCCTTGATATTTTTTCTGAGTTGGTGGTTTATAACTATTATTCTATTCTATTCTATTCTATTCTATTCTATTCTATTCTATAATATAGAATATATTCTATAGAATATAGAATATAGAATATATTCTATTCTATTCTAGAATAGAATAGAATAGAATATTCTAGAATAGAATATTATATATTTGGTATATGAATATATACCAATATTATATACCAAAAACAGCACACAATTGCTTCACATTTCTCACTTCTGCAAGGCTTGGTAAGTTCTAAGGCAGCTTTGACAAGGATAGTTTCCACTAGAGGACAACATATTGCAATATCTATTTCTTCACAGGCTGAACATGCAAGCAAGATGTTTTAATGTTCTTGTGCATTTTAATTATGTTTATAGCTGTAAACCATTTACTGGCATTTGGGCATATAAATGGTATATAAAATAAATAAGAAAGCAGTCACAGAGGCTGGCAACGCTAGCCCCCAAAAGAAGCACTGTTTTTGCCAGCCAAGTACTTTTTAGCAGTGCTGTTTTCCCCTGGCTAAATTCAAATTGCACAAAGTGTTCCTTTCCAGCTCCACCCAAGTCATCTGGGTGTGACACATTCCATAAGTTTGGAATAGCCATTGCCCATCAAATACCAGGCCATACAAAAACCTAGACAGTAAGGGCTACTTTGCGTAATGAAGAATAAGGCTGGTGATGTTATATGGCAACTATGCAGTTGCTTTTTCACACAATATATCTGCACAAATATATCCCATCAAGGGCTACCTATTAGCGTGGATGGCAGGAGTGCCAACTTGAATAAAATATTGGGAGAGGGGTCAGGTAAGCCATGCCCAGCATAATTGATCACAAGACACAGTGCATGCGCACCATTTGAATGGCAGTGCCCATCAACTCTATTTTATTAGGGAGGCCAAAGACCCCTTGGCCCCTGGGGGTTTGCTCCTGTGGTGGGTGGGAAACTGGAGATAGTGTTCAACTGAAAGCAGTCATGTGTAGATGAACATGCACAAAAGCTCGTGCAGAAAAATCGGATCCGTGTGACTGATGTGTACATCAACACTTTGATGCGTACACAGCCACTGTTAAGCAATTTTGAGGATGAACCCTGAAAGCTTAGAATTGAGTACCCCTTCTCACCAGATCTATTTACCTGATGTGCATCAACAGGAAGCCTTCTGCAAAAGGGCCTGCTGATATGTGTATTTTCCCTGAACAGATTTTTGTCCTGACCTTTGCTTATTCCTTGGCAGCCTTTGCCTAGCGTGTGGCTTGCCCTTTGCCAGTGGTGGCTTACTGATGTACAAATGCAATAAACTCCCTCTGGGGAAGGGCTGGGGGGGGGGCTTACACAGGCAGATGGGCAGTGCGCTGTTTGTTTGGTCTGGGTTTCCATAGAGAGTCACTCGCTGAAATTCTTTAGTGCTCTTGGAGAGAAGGGGGCAAAGAGAGGAGCGGAGGAAAAGTTCTCCTGGTGTGCAGAGCTCAGCTTTTTCAGCAGGCACTACTGTCTGTCTGGGAGCATAAAGCTAGAAAAAGGCAAATAACTTCTCCTCCTTAGTGGGGCTTGTCAGATGTGCTGTCAGGGCAGGATTTGAGGGCAGACGTCCAGAGCCCTGCTCAGAAAAAGCTCCCTCATATGCAGCTGGACTGGCTTACGAGTGTTCAAAGAACATTATCTTACCCCTCACGAGGCAATTTGGAGTAAGTGAAGTAAAACACTTTGCCATCAACAGAGCATTCTCCTCCTCCCATCCATAATACCATTAGGTAATGGTGTTATGGAAACTAATGGAAGGAAAGTACAACAGTTGCTTCAGGGGGCAGATTCAAGAGGGAATTGGAAATTTTACCCCTCCAGTGTCAACTTCAGTATGTAAAATTACGCACGAAAGGGACATCATTCACATATCAAGGCTGTTGATGCTGCTGCTGTTTTTACAGTAAAAGCTTGGAGGAGAAATCCATTGAACCCGGGTAGGGATCCAATGGCCCTCTAAATCAGGCTTCCTCAACCTTGGCCCTCCAGATGTTTTTGGCGTACAACTCCCATGATCCCTAGCTAGCAGGACCAGTGGTCAGGGATGCTGGGAATTGTAGTCTCAAAACAACTGGAGGGCTGAGGTTGAGGGAGCCTGCTTTCAATGTTGTTGGGCTCCATGTCCCATTATGGCCAGTGGTCAGGAGGGATGATGGGAGCCGTAGTCCAACAAACACCCCGCAGGCTGAGCACCAGCCATTCATGCACTAAACCTTTCCCCCTCTTGCATCTTAGCACCTCACAGTCAGTTGTTCCAGGCGTTTTCTCCCTTTCTTCAGTTATTGGAGGTAGAAAAGGGAGCAAAGTGCCTGAAACAACCAACAGTGGAAAGGTAAGATGCAGGAAGAGAGAAATTTAGCTCCCCTCTCCCACGTGGGGGGCTTTTTTTCAGCTGGAGTTTGCTGGGATTAAGTTCTGGCACCTCTCAGGTGGGTGCCATTGCCATTCTAAGAGAATGAGGCAGGTGTTAATGGTGAGTTTCAGCACCTCTTTTTCTAGAAAAGTAGGACTCAAACCCCTACCACCACCTGTACCACTTTACATGTGAATAAGCAACACACCTAAAAAACCCCCACAATGGTCTACCACATCACAATCCAGTGTGTATGTTTGGGCCTTGCCCAAAGTATGGGAAATAGGGTTCTTTTTTGTTATTTGACGAAGTGTCTTGGTGGGCAGTTTATAACATCTTCCCAACCGAATTGAAGACTTTCCTGAGCTCTGAGCTGCACCTTAGGGTGTGAGCCTTGTCAGAAACCTCCCAGATTGATACCACCGTGCCTAATTAATCAGGAGGTTTATCACTCCATTTGATTAATATTGCCTCACTTCCATCTTTGATGTGGGTTACATAAACTCACCCATGTTGGTCACCGACCTGTGAACTATCCAGGCCAGTCATCTCTGGGGCCTGCAGCCATGGCAACCCCCTCCCTATAAACACTTTTGCTCCTTTAGAGTCAAGATTGTTCCATTGCCATAGCCAATGATGGCTCATGCAGCTTCCATCGGGGTGTGTGTGTCCAGAATGGGTCAGGAACTGGACCCATTATGATGCCCATTGTTCCATTCCATGACTGATCCTCCTTAACCGTCAGTCTTGCTGCCCTGGAGCCCATCCAGCTGGCGGGTGGCACATTCCTGCCTAATGAACCTCCAGGCAACAGCTGCAGACTTGGGCGCTGTTTACCTTGGCAAGGGTGCTTTCTGTTGGTCATTATCCTGGCACAGTAATGAGGGGATCAACACTCAGCTGGTATTTTGAGCTGGAGTTTTAGCATCATGTATAGACCAAGATAAACCAGTGACTTTATGTGGTACGCTGTGGGGGGTTGTTGTTGATGATGTTGATTATTATTATTATTTTGCTAAAACCACCACTGTGTTCACAATGTGCTCTAGCCTCTGCTTCTAGCAATGGTTATTCAGAGCATGAGATCCCAGTTTGAATTTCAGGTCAACCAGAACTTGCTGTGTGGCCTCAGACAGGCCTCAGACTCTCAGGCCCCCCTCATCTGCGCTATTGGGATTAAAAATACTGGCTAACCTCACAGTATTGTATTACTGGAATCTGAGCGCTTGTAGCATTTCTAGGAAAACACTAAAGTATCATTAGTGCTTGATTGTAGTGAAAATGAAACCACTGTTTAGTGGTTACGTATACAAAATCATGGATAACATAAAGTGAAACAAGCTTCAAAGGGAGACCTGTCATTAGGAACACGGTTATAACATTAAAAACTTATCTATTCAGGCATCTGGTTATCACAGAGGTCTATGGGAAGCCTGCAAGAAGAACCTCATTGGCTCTTTTAGGAGGCTGAAGCTATGACTATATATGCATACATTAGCTATACAAGCACACTGAGCCTACCAAAGCTGAAAAATTTAATTATTTCCTTACTGTGTAATAATTATATTTAATTTACTTTAGGATTCAGAATTAATGTTCTGTTTTTATTTTTCTACATTCTCATATCAACTTTACCTCAAGTAATATTTCTAGAAAAAGGTTCTTAGGTGTATGTGGTCTCCCCCTTTCCCATTTTTATCCTCACAAGAAACCTGTGAGGTAAATTTATTATGCTGAAAAGTGGTGACCAGACATCACAACAATAAAGGAATTTGAACACAGATTTCTCCTAAGTCCTACTGCTATTGCCCACATCATACTTGCTTTCCAGTTTCTTTCTCCTTTCTTAGGTGCTTTCAAGATGGTCAAAAAGCAGGTTATAAATGTAAATCATAATGGGTTTGCTAAAATTCTCCTGAATGCCGCCACAGCAGCAGCAGCAGCAACAACAACAACAATGGAAAGTGTTTCACACATTCTTGGCCAACTATGCAACAAGTCAGCTTTGATGTTTGAAGGGTCTGCAACTGCTGCACCACCTAAGAAACTGACTAGGCAGCTGCTGCAACTGTCAGATGCACCAAAAGGAAAAACAGAAAATTACTCACACACATACAGTATAGAGTGCTATGTACCAGTTCTGTGGCTCCCCAAGCTGGCAATGCAGAGAACTACAGCCATTTCCTAAAGCGGGGTTTAAAGGAAAATTCACCCATAGCCTAGTCCTGCTCATATTTCCTCAGATGTGAGTCCCACTGAATTTAATTAATTTTACTTTTGAGTCAATGAGCACAGAATTGCAGCTTCCTGTTGCCTTTTTTCACAGGATACAGTACTTAAAATCTCTTCTTTGACGACCACTTGTAGCTGAGTAGGATTGTCTCCCATGAACACGGTCTTAACAGTGAGTTCGTAAGTGACTGTGGAGGCCAATTCTGAATCCACACGTCCTTCCACAGTTGGGACATAGGTTTCCGGGCGGGAGTTGGTGAACGTCATGGTGAGGGTTTGCCAAGCGTGCCTTCCTTTTAGCTCATTTTTCCCTTGCGTCCTGAGTTTGAGTGTCTTCAAAGCCCATGACACCTTTGGTAAAGACTGTTCTCCAACTGGAGTGCTCACAGGTCAGTGTCTCCCAATTGCCAGTGTTTATACTACATTTTTTAAGATTTGCTTGAGAGAGTTTTTAAACCTCTTTTGTTGACCACCAGCATTACGCTTTCCATTTTTAAGTTCAGAATAGAGCAGTTTCTTTGGAAGATGATAATCAGGCATCTGCACAACATGACCAGTCCAACAAAGTTGATGTTACAGAATCATTGCTTCGACATTGGTGATCTTTGCTTCTTCCAGTACACTGTTATTAGCTTGCCTGTCTTCCCAAGTGATGTGTAGAATTTTTGGGAGACACCACTGATGGAATCTGTCGAGGAGTTGGAGATGGCATTTATAAGTAGTCCACATTTCAGAAGCACAGTAAGGTTGGTAGTACAATAGCTTTGTAAACAAGCATTTTGGTTTCCCTGCGAATGTCCTGGTCCTCAAACACTCTGCACTTCAATCAGGAGAAACCTGCACTCACAGAGCTCAGGCGATGCTGGATTTTGGCATCAGTGTCAGCCCTTGTGGAAAGATAACTGCCCAGGTAGGAGAAATGATTGACACTTTTCAACGTTACACCATTGAGTTGAATTTGTAATGCTGCAGAGGGATTGTTTGTGCTTGTTGGTGCAGCGCTTTGGTTTTTTTGGATGTTGAGCGATAGGCCAAGCTTTTTGTAAGCTTCTGTGAAGCTATTTAGGATGGTTTGGAGGTCATCCACTGAGTGTGCACACACTACGTTGTCATCAGCATACTGAAGCTCTATGACAGAAGTTAGTGTAACCCTACTCTTTGTCTTCAGCCTACTCAGATTAAAGAACTTTCCATCTGTTCAGTATATGATTTCTACTCCAGTGGGACGTTTCCCTTTGACAAAGTGTAGGATCATGGCGATGAAAATAATATCTAGAGTTGGGGCGATAACACAACCCTATTTAACACCTGATCCCACTGTGAATGATTCACTTTGAGAGCCATTGTTACCTGTGATTGTTGCTGTCAAATCACAACCTTAAGGGGAGGAGGATCCTATATTTATGCATGTCCAGATGCCATTCTTTAATCTCAAGGAAGCATACCAAGCACTGTTCCTCATTTAAAATGAGTTGTGATCCAAGGAGAACCCTGATACAGCTTCTTCCTGTAGTGAATATGGCATTTGGAAATCATTAATGTGTGGGGTTTCAAGGGCTGTCTCCAAATATGCACCCTCCCAACTCATTTCAATGACAAGCCACATTTTAGAGCTATAAAATGGACTTTGCATATTCAGTGTGGCAAGCAACACATTTCTATGTAACACTGTTGTCATCCCTATCTGCCAGAATTGATAGCAAAGAGGAACTGGCATGAGCGGGGCAGAAAACAGGTATCACTCCTCCAGAGCCAAGGTAGAAAGTTAGTGTCTTCCATAGTGTAACTTATATTGAAGCAGGGTGTGCCCTCATCATAATAAGGATTCTCAAACTTTCTACCTCCCTAGCCCCCTGCCACCTGAGGTGGCTGAAAATTAATGGACACAAAATGGTGTTATGGGGCAGCCTGTCAATGGAAGCAGAATTTGGCAAAAACTGGCCGGCAAGTACTGAAATCATATCTCGTCCATTTTTAGAGATAGTTAAATTCTTTGCCACATCACTTTGTTTGTGACAAATGCAGGCACTTGCACATTGCCAATAAGAACAATTGAGTATGTGGGCAATACCTTCAGAGTTGGCATTCCTGTCTTGGTGCTGTGAGATGGAAACACACACAGAGAGAAACACGAGAAATGCTTCCTTTATGGGTAGTTGGGTGTGAAGTTTTGCTTTTCTTTGCACATGCGTGTAAATAGGGATGAAGAGAGCCACCACAAAAGGAATCCTCATCATCAGGCAAGTTGTACTTTAATAAAATCATAGCACAGAAATGCAGCAAGCTATTTTTGTGTGTTACCCCTAACAAAGATACTTAACTGTTCCCAGTATTTTCCCTGATGTATTGTTTAGATTTCACATAATTGCTAGGCAATTCAACCCTACCCCATTCTGTATTTCAGCTGGGCCTGCATCTTTCCCTCACATCAAACCCTAGAACAGCAAAGTGATATTCCCCTCTTCCTTTCCCAGCTGCTTCCAAAGCATTTTTATAGATAACTTTGCACACAGATGGGTAGCCACTTCCTTGGACTTGCATGAGAACTGTTTCAGACCAAGGCATCAGCTGATCTGAAAGAGGGTACACATTCCCAGAACCAGCCCCTACTTCCACTAATAATTTTTAACAGGAATAGAAACCCCATCCTCTGGCCTGGAAGCTGGATCAGAGCAGATGCTGAGGGCAAGCAAAGGATGCCTATCATGGTCTGCCTTGAAGAACCTTCCTCTGAAACACTTGATCCCCCCCCCTGCTCCAATCTAAACATATTTTGTCTTTATAGGATTTGCACTGTGGATCATTTCTGATCTTCGCAATGCTCCATTGGAGCTTGTATGTAAAAGGAATTTGCAAAAATGGAATGCCGGAGTTGCAATATGAGATCAAGGCAGTACCGGGGGGCAGCAGGACCATCCCTTCCAGCATCTATGAAATGATGATCTGGTAGGCACAACCTATATTTGCATTGCCTTTTGCAGTCATTGCACCAGTCTCCATGGAATCAATGGGAAGCCACAATGCTAGAAAGCGGGGCGGGGGGGGGGCAGGTTTCTCATCATGGCTCCTAGCCTCCTAAGAGAAAGCTTGTATCAATGCTTTCTTTAGTCTCCACTTCCTATCTCAACCAAATGGCCAGATTCAATTCTCACCATGTTCCATATTCACCCACAAGTTTTATAGATGCAGCCACAACATGGAAGGCTACCAGTGGACTGGATTTTCCAAGCATATCCTTATCTGAGGACCAAGGCGGTCAACAAAAAGCATGGATGAGATCCATGGCTTTCCTTTCAAGAGTGCTTCCCTCTCCACCATCACAAAACAGGTTCCCTTCTAGCCTTGGAGATAAATCTGAGGACAGGATGGAGGCTGAGCGAGAACAAGGAAGAATAGTGACAGAACATGTGTTTGGTACACCTGAAGGCTCCTAGTCAACCTCCAGATTTAGAGCGTTCCTCAAGCATTGCAGTCAATGACAAAACCCAACAAGAGTTGAAATAGAAGTACTTAGATCAGGGGTAACCAACATGGTGCCTTCCAGCTCCCATCAGCCCCAACCAACATGGCCAGGAATGAGTTGGTGTCCAGCATCTGGGGGGCACAACATTGGCTACCCCTGGCTTACACGGTCAAGTTCAGCAAGTGGCACAGTCGTTCATTCTTCAGACCAGGGTGCTCTCTTGAAAATCACATGCAGCTTGAGAGGAGAGAAAGGCCTGTCGGTTGTAATTCCCCCTCCAAATTTGGCTTTTGACAGCACAAGAGAGTTCCAAGTATCTGTCTTTAAGAGGAAAGGCTCTCATTGAGAAAGACCACAGGAAAGACACAATGCAGGTGCTGCAGGAATGGCACACACACGAAATAAATAAATCTGGGGCTCCTCCAGATGATGTGTTTATTGAGTATTCATCATGATTTGCTTCCACAAGGCTTACAGGGAGGTTAGACTATGCCCAATCCTTATTCAGCATTCATTTTGGTTGGTTTGCAGGGTGTTTATACAACAATGAGCACTCATCCTGAATTTATCCTGATTTGCTTTCACAGCAGGTATACACCTTCCCATTCATCATTTGCTCATACTACTCGTTTTAGTGTACTTCCCCATCACCTTTCTAAATGCAAACAGTCTGTGGGGGGGGGGGTTGGCAGGGGATGCACAAAGAAGTAAATTTTTAATACACACTTGAACCCCTCCTGCAAAATACTGACACCTTGGAGAAGACCTTAATTCTATTCTGACGTCTCCAAGCTAAAACCTATGAAGATGGATCGAGAAAGCAAGCATGACCTGTTCTCAAGCTCTGACTCTGTCATGCCTCAGTGGGAGACCTTGGACAAACCATTCTGCCTCAGACAGTTTCTCATCTGGAAAACAGGAACCACAGAAATTTACATAACAAGTAAAGATCACAATCCTGTGAAGGTGCCATATCTCTGTTTTCTTCTCTTGTTTACTTCTGCTAAGGGTGCGATGAGAAAATAGGGAGGGAGGGAATGTGAGCTGGTACAATGTAATATATGCAGAGAGCCAGTCACCTTTTGGAGCGTCCCGATTCAAATTCTAGATCCACCATGAATTCCCTTCTATGGTCTTGGGCATGAGGCTTTGTCTATTTCAGCCCCTTCATCTGGAAAAGTGGGAGTGATAATGACCCACCCGAGGGTTGTTGATTTAGACAGTAAGGCCCTTTGTTACATTCAAAGGAATACATAAATAAAAACAGAAGTTCCATCTAAGCTGGAGGAAAAGATTTGCCTGAAATCAACAACTGAGCAGCAATTGAGATGGTGTGGCATTCCTCATAGTATTAAGATGGCAAGGGGGGATGGTCGAGGGACAAAATGGTGCTAACGAAAGAAGATGCTCATCTTAGTACCAGAAAATCTATGCTGAAAGAGTTGGCTCAGATCATTCAACCCCTTTGATCTCTATATTCCCAATTCTTTAAGGAGAAATCCATTCTCCCCAACACTAAAGTATCTTCATCATGCCTATAACATACTGTTGATTTCATCCAAATGTCTGCACAACACTGGAACACTGCAGAAGGTAGCTTCCGAATCCAACAGCTTCCATTTCCAGCATGCATGTGTGTCTGCATGCATACCTGTCTTTTTAATTTTAATTTATTTTGTGCCTGGGGGAGAATTCTACCGGAAGATCCTCTTTTAACAAGGCTTTATAAACTATTGCATCCGTTTCCTTGGGAGGAATAGAGAGAGGCAGTAGATAAAGTAACGGGAAACTGGGATGCTGGAATTAAATGTCTTCCCTCGTCTTTCTTCTTTTTTTTTAATAAAAAAAATCCAGTTTTATACTGTCAATAGCTTGGATATAAACCCAAAAGCAGGAAAGGCTTTGCTTTGCTCCATGTTAACAGATTATGAATTCACTATTGGATGAAGTCTCTGGTGCTTGACAAGCGTTTGTCTCTGCCGGAACCTCCTCCCACATTTGGTGCAGCGGTACGGCTTCTCTCCCGTATGGATTCTCTGGTGAATAATGAGGTCGGCCAGCCGAACGAACCTCCTCTCGCACTCGTCACAGGGATAAGGCTTCTCCCCTGTGTGAATTTTCTGGTGTCTGGTGAGAGATGAGAGCTGGTTGAATCTTTTCCCGCACTCTGCACAGCTGTGGGGCCTCTCACCTGAATGGGTCCGTCGGTGCCTGTGGAGATGAGAGAGCTGGTTGAACCTCCTGCCACACTCATCACAGGTGTGGGGCCTTTCTTCTGAGTGGGTCCTCTGGTGCCTGGTTAGGGCAGATGAGGCAATGAATCTTTTCCCACATTCAGGGCAGCCGTAAGGTCTTTGTCCCATGTGGATTCTCTTGTGTACTGTAAGAGCCGAGAGGTGGCTAAAACATTTTTGGCAATAGGTGCAGCGGTAGGGCCTCTCTCCCGTGTGGATTCTCTGGTGGCTGATAAGATGCGCTCGCTGGCTAAAGGTTTCGCCACACTCTGTACAGGCGTGGGGCTTCTCTCCTGTGTGAATTCTCTGATGTCTTGTGAGATGCGAGAACTGGTTAAATCTTGCCCCGCACTCGGCACAACGGAAGGGTTTCTCACCCGTGTGGATGTGCTGGTGCTTGGCCAAGTCCGACGGGCAGTTGAAGCGCTTCCCACATGCAGCACAAGGGTGGGGTTTCTCCCCAGTATGGATTCTCTGGTGTCTGGTGAGGTGCGACATCTGAATAAAGCTTTTTGGACACTGAGCACAGTGGTAAGGTTTCTCCCCAGAATGAGTTTTCAAATGTTTGGCTAGGCCCGACGGGCGGGTGAATCTTTTCCCACACTGAGCACAGGCATGGGGTCGGTCCTTCCTGTGGATACCGCCATGAGCTCGGAGTTCCTCCTCTCCCCTAAACCTTTTCCCACAGTCCGGACACTGGAAATACTGTCCAGCTCTTCCCAAAAACTTGGCACCTGTCGAGTGGGAAAGAAGAGCCAGATACAATGCTGTGACTAGGTAGACACAAACACACATACACACTCTGTGTTTAACCCTAACAAAAAATTATGTACTCCAAAGAATTCTGCACTGTACTCAAGATGCTACAATGCAAAATGTTGACAAATTATCCAACATCCACAAAATCTAACATTCAGAAATTCCTGCATGTAACTAGACTTAAATCAAATTTAGATTGACAGACCACAACCCAACTTGCACAGAGTGATTTCAATTAGAGACTTTCCAGCTCACATTTTAGCTACAAGCATCAGTTCACCACATATGGGTCCAACTGTATTATGTTAAGCAAGTGGTTTGCCCTTAAATGCAGGATTTTTTTCCACAAAGACCCACTGAGCTTCCCCCACCTCCATGCCAATCCAGATGCATACTCTGGTGTGTTGGGTAGGTAAGTACCAACCTAGACCTTGCGATCATCATATGAGGCACTTTTTCGTACGCCTCCTTCATGAAAGGTCTGTAGGGTGGCAAGATGAGAATGGGCCTTTTATGTGGTGGCTCCTACCACAGAATGGGTCAAACATAATCAGTTTCCTGCAAGAGCATCTGCAGATGAACTGTCCTCACTCTTTCCATCACCTTAATAGGAGTTAATGATCATGGGCCACATTCAGACCAACACACCCTTAATGAAATGAAGACTGGAGGGGAAATAATGTAGGGAATGGTGTGGTTCCTTACCGGGGGAGCTGGCATTCCCATTGTCCTGCTGCCTGACTTCCTTATAGGTTTGCCTTTGCCTGGTGTTGACCAGAGGCCGATGAGCTTCAGAGCAATTTGCAGGCCCTTCTTGGGCTGTTCCCGATACCTGTAACAACAGCAATAACCACACTGGAAGTGAAGAAGGAATATTGGGCCTACACGGGCTGACATCCTCTGTGGTATCAAGAGAGAAACAAATAATGGGATGGTGGTGTTGAGTGTTTATCCATTGTGAGAAGCAATAAACTCACAACCACTCAAAAGTGAAGCCTGACACAACCATTTGAAGCTCATTCCAAGCCAGCCAGCCAGAAATCACTTTTCTGCCTTGCCCTGGCCACTGTCCAGATCAGAAGTGGGGAGCAACTCCCAGCATCCTTGACCTTTGATCCTTGCTGGCTACAACTGATGAGAATTGGAGTCCAACAACATCTGCAGAGCCACAGCTTTCTCTCCCTTAGCCAACTTCATAAACTTCTTCATGAAGTTCTGTAGAGACCCCTGCTGGATCTCTTTGTTGCTGCCTTCTCACTACAGACCAGAACAAAAGACTTTTGAAGGCTTGGGAGAAAGCAGGTGAGTGGTTGCTGGGCAACTATGGATGCACTTCCCTAACTGTTGTAGACTGTTGCTAAGAAACTGCAAAGTTCTCTTCTCTACAGCTTCAGGATTGTTCCATAAGACAGAAGTTCTCAAGTATCTTCTCCCCACCCCCGCCACTCAAAAATGGCAGAGTGTCTTGATGGACCACTTAATAAACCTTTGTCCTACAAATCAAACCCCACAGAAATCATACATATGACAATAACCGCAGACTTGCTTTTTTGTGTGAACAAATTCTGTGATGTTAGGTGTAAAGTTTGGTCTGCTTTAAGCCTCAGGTTAGCTCCAGTATTTATTCTGCTTCTATGTTTGGACTTGATGGTGGCCTGGCAACAGAGAAGAGCCCTTTTAAACTGGTAAATTGTTGGGGGCAGGAATTATAGACCGCACCAGACTGAACTATGAAAATCATGGGCCCTAAATTAGGGTTTAATTAGGCTGTTTGATAATCCAGTCCAGGTGAAAATGGTCTTAATTGCCATCATTAGAAAAAACATTAGTCAAGTGCAGAGCTAAGTACATATACTGTTCTCTGTTCCACAGACTTTCTGCAGACTACTTGAATGCAGCTTGAATGCAGACCACAGTTTGAAAACTTTAGCATTTCTCTCAGCTGCTGCAGCAGGAAAATGACCCCTCTATCCGAAGTCTATTCTGTGATTAGATCAGCCATCTGTTGTCAGCGTTAGGGCTCAGCCTTATAATATGCCTCCGAGTATGTACAGGGTGCATTTTACTCACTGCAAGGCAGCGTTAGAAACTGAGGCATCAAATGGCTCCTTAAGCCAGGGTTACAAAATAGAATGCAAAATCAGAATGCCTGGTTGCCATTCTTGGGCCAGATGGCTCGAAAGTTGTATTTTTCAATTTGACTTTTTGGTTTCTGAAATTCATTCTGGCTGTGCAGATAAAATGTAACAGATAGAATTCTACAGGATATGTTGCTAGTGTGTGAAAACAGTCAGGATCCAAGGATCCGCAGGCAAACACCTTCAGACGGTGGAGGTGCCATCCTGGTGCCCAGGCACCTTCACTTGGTCACAAGTGGCTAAGTTTGAACGACGCTGCAAGGTAGTCACAGCAAGCTGTCAAGTTAGGGGACAGACCTTCCAGGTGAGAGGTCATGACTCTCAAGCCATAGGTCACAGTGCCCTCACTATCTCCCCTACTACTGGAGGCCAACTTTGACAGGAGATAAAACCACCCACCTGCCAATCCTATGACACCGTAGTCGCATGATTGACACATGTCAAAGTTTTAAGGAAGCAGTGCTTCCTTAAAACTCAACAACCCGAAGAATTCCAATTTGGTCCTCCCACCCCTATCCCTTTAAGACCACTGTGCATAAAAGACCTCACCTGTTGTCCCCGCTTCCCCCCTTCCTGCTGCCTCAGAAGGAAACCCTCTGCCAGGGCCACCGCCTGGGCGCAGGTCTCTGGCCCACGCTCTCGGACTCGAATCTGGATTTCCTTCGGCAGAATCGTCAAGAACTGCTCCAGGATCAGCAGCTCCAGGATCTGCTCCTTCGTCCGGCTCTCCGGCTCCAGCCAGCGATGGCACAGCTCCCGCAACCGGCTGCAGGCATCCCGGGGCCCCTCGGTCTCCTGGTAGCGGAACTGGCGGAAGTGCTGGCGCTGGGCCTCCACATTCACAAAGTCCTCCCGCAGGATGGCAACTTTCACCTTCCCGTAGTCTCCTCTTTCTCTTGTTTCTAGGCTATTGAAGGCCTGCTGTGCTTCTCCGGCGAGATTCGGCACGAGTTTGGCCATGCCCTCTCCTCGTGGCCACTGGCAAACATCGACCACCCGCTCAAATGTAGACAGGTCATCCCAAGGCGGCAACTCTGGCAGCTGGGAAGTTGCCCAACCTGAGTGAGAGGACTGTATCGTTTTGAGGATTTCTTGCCACTGGGCTTCTCCATGAGGGCGCATTCCCTCCTGTCTGTCAACCCTACCATGGTGCGGTGTGGCCCACCTCAGGAATTCACTGATTGCCCCAGCCTGGGCAGCCCGAGGAGTCTTGCCTACCCCTTCCCCCAGTTCAGGATGTCCTGGGTTTGGCTCCTCCATTCTTCCCTCTGGTTGCTCTCAAAGGCAGTTAGAGCTGTAGTGTTATTGCTTCCCTTCAACTGCAGCCATTTTGTCTCCTTGGCGTTGGCCTTGATGCTGCTCTCAACTTCTCAACTCCCATGCCAAAATTGGCAGGACTGTGCTCAACAGAACAGGGCTTATCATCAACAGTGCTACTACCATCAAGAGCACAGCAAAATTCCCATCTAAGGTGCTAAGAACCTGTGAAGAGAGGGAAAGAGAACCCAGACATTTATACACATAGTGAGCTCACAGCTATCCACTGACTTCATTCCTCGCTCCTAGCCATTGGCTGAGCTGCTGTGATGTCACAGAATAAGGGCTAGGAACGGAATGTTGAAAAATCAGTGCCGTTACTCTGAGGTAAATGGAAGGCAGTTGTGTCTGGAAGGGGCAAAAATGTCAAACAAGGACTAGAAATAGGAGGGATTAAACACTGCAAGAGCCTGGGGAGATGGTCGAGGGACAAATCAGAATGGTTGGTATAATCTTAGAGAGAAGACATACCGGTAGATTACTGAGAGAGCCTACATTTCAAACACTGATTTGAAATAAGCAGGATTCATAAAGAAATGCGGATTTCTGGAACCAGTGCAATTTTATTTTATTTTTGGTTATTTATTTTTGCTTGTGCTATTCTGGTGTGAGCAGATGGACAAAGAGCTATTTAAGGCACTTAGGCCTTAATCTTGCTCACCTGTCATTCTGACTTCTGCGCATCTTCTGCCATTGTTCACATACTTTCAGTCTTCACAGCCGATCCTCAGGATGCTGCATCTGCATCTGGTACCCTAATCTCCACTTGAGCAATGGGGCAGCAGAACACACAGCTACAAAGACAACCAGTGACAACCTGCTTGTAACTCAGCAAAGTGTTCTGTTCTCCCACTGTTCACTGCAAGTGGACCATTCACACAAGCAATTGTTTGTGCAGACAATAAAGTACAAACCATCTCTCAGGCTCAAGGTGGGCTAACACACATGCATGAGCATTTCTTAGGTGCAATCCTATAAACACTAACCTGGGATATGTCTCACTGAATTCAGTGAGTCTTGCTTCTCAGTAGTCATGCATATGACGTTTTATTCTGTTTTTAATCTGTTGGGAGCTGTCCAGAGTGGCTGGGGAATAAATGATAAATTATTATTAGTAGTAGTAGTAGTAGTTGTTAATGACTTACAACCCACAGGTGAACATCCTCTACAGTACTTGATACAAAATCTCTGTTTGCACTATTCTGATTAGGGAAGGCTGTTTTATGCATTAGAAAGCACTGTTGGGGATTGCAGGGACTAAACACATCCTCGGTTATCCTCATCTGCAAAATGGGAACAAGTGTACTCTTATCTCACAAGGCTGTTGTGACAGGGAAGAAGCTAAAGACTGCAAAGCGCTTCATAAAATAGCTCCAGCAAGGTTTGTTGAAGGATTATCAGTACCAGCTAGTCCCTCGTGGATTTGCATCCCATATTTTGAGCTGATGATCATCGCTCCACTGAAAGAATGACCCTGCCTTATAGCAGAAGCCACATCTTCCCTGTCATTCAAATAAAGCAGACGCTCGCAACTTCCAGACATCTCGCAAACTGCAATTTTCCGCATGCAGAATTCCCATCGACTCACCTCTGCTGCTTTGCCCAGCTTGGGGGCTTCCACTGTCTCAATCTGTTGCTTTTGGGGCTGCTGGGAAGAAGAGAGAAAAAAAAACCCCAAGAGCTGACTGTGAGAGAGAGGAAGCTCCGTACCTTATTCCTTCCCCCTGTTTCTAAAGATATGGAGGGGCTCTAGGACCCAGAAAGATCAACCTATTTAACCCTTCATAATCTGGTCTAGGAGAAACTCCTTGCTGCAGGCTCAGAGACACCAAGGCAGTGGATGTGCCCATTTTAGACCAGATGGCACAATCCCTTTTGTCAACATTGTCTCTTTTCTCTTAGTGCTCAAAACAGTGACTAATTGATGATGCAGGCTCCATAAACCTCGAGAATACCACCAGGGACGCTTACAATGCAATCCTACGAGTATATATTCAGGAAGGAGACCACCCTGACTTCAGTGGGGCTTACTCCTAAGTAAAATTGCGCAGGCTTTCCCCCCCATTGCCTTAATGGCTTTGACTACGCGAATAAACCCCTGCCTCGCCTCTATACAAGTCCACTCTCAGCTTCTATCTTCGATCTGTAAAATGGAATCAAATAATGGGCTGCCTACCTTCCAAGGTTGTGCTGAATAGTGAGCTACCTCGCAGGATGTGGTCATGTTTGGAATACTACATACGGTTCTAGTCATCCACCCTAAAAACAGGATATTGTAGAGCTGGAATAAGGGGGTGGGGGGTGGAATGATGTAGTAAAGGGCAACTTAAATGATTGCAGGGTGGGAATATCCTCCCAAGAAGAGGAGGTTAAAGCTTGAAGGGTTTTTTTTCTCCTTTAGCTGGAAACCAATGAAAATTCATTTTTAAAATAAAAATAAAAGGGGTGATGTGGAGGCATAATAGAGGTTTCTGAAATTCTATATGGTGAGAAAAGAATATGGATTGAAAGACTGTTTTCTCCCCCTCTGATAATATCAGAACATTGGGTTCGGAGAGATGAATTGGGGTACATTCAGGTCACGCAAAAGTACTTCCTCACAATTACACAAAATGTAGCCACAAGTATAGACACATTTATAAAAGGTTTGGACGAATCTGCAGAGGATTTGCCAGTTAGTGACTGTTAGGCATGATAGTTGAGTGGAATCGCTCATAGGCAGTTGGTCTCTCAACAGTCAACTGCTGGGGGGGGGGGCACAGGGCATTGGATATTTCTAGATGCATCTGGCTGGACCCTTTGGGAGACAGGATGCTAGACTAGAGCAACCTTTGCTGTGATCCACCAGCGCTCTTATCTTGTCAAGACCAACTCAACAGTCTGGATCCAAGCCAGGTTAGTTGCACTTCGGTCCTACTGAAATCAATGTGAAACGTTATCAAGTACAACTCACTTAATTTGAATCCCACTTGGTAAAAATGAGAGTGTTAAATATTAGGAGTAACAGACTTTTAAAAAGGCCAATTTATTGGTTTTTATAACTTTTTATTTTATCTTATTGAACTGTCACAAATAATGATTAACCACACGGAAACTAGTTCCTCCTCCTGCTGTCATTTTCAAAGACCCTCTTTCCCATTCACTCCCAACTCAATATTCCCCCTCCAATACCTGACCTAAAAAAGAAACAAAGGGAGGGGGGGGAGAGAGAGAAATATTCTATTTCAAGACCAGTATTTAATTAAGATTCATTTGGGAGGTTTGCAAGGATGTTGGTGTTTTCCTTTTGTGTCTGACAGTGGAAGCCCAAGAAGTAAACTCCGAGTTCAATGGGACTTATGCTGCAGTCTAATTTGTGTGTTTAGGATTGCAACCTGAGCATAGCTAGTGTGCAACTGCACACGTTGAAGTTGCCTGTCATATGAAAGCAAAGTTTGCATCCCCCCCCCCTTGACTGATGTTCTGCAGATATGTCTACTGCTACATGATGGGTAGGCAGCCAACTTTTCCAATACTGAGCCTTTGGGCAAAGGTTGTTCCTTCCTTCCTTCCTTCCTTCCTTCCTTCCTTCCTTCCTTCCTTCCTTCCTTCCTTCCTTCCTGTTGTATTTGCATGGAGACCAGGACACCACCCTGGAAGATGTGGCAATACAATTTTCAATCTTGCATCTTTTCCTTAGGGCAGGGAACCTGTGACCTTCTTCCAAGGTAAGCAATGATAGAAGTTGCCATCTAACAACCTGCTCCCCTTTGCACGCTTTAGCTTCACATCACTTGATGGCTTGTCGCTCACGTGAGAACAGCCTCTGGCACGAATCTCGCGTCCCTGCGGAGTGTTGACGCGGGAGGCTGTTTCCTAGATCTGTAAGAGTTTGGACCCCGAGGATCATCTAGTCCAGCCCCCTGCAATGCAGGAATATGCAGCTGCAACCTTGGCGCTATCAGCACCAAGCTCTATCCAGCTGAGCTATTCTCGCGCCTGGCAAGGAAACGACTTCCGTTTTTTAAAAAATTATTATTCTCCTCGTCTCCTCTCTCTCCTGCTGCCGAGCCAGCCGAGGTCTGCGCAACGCCAAGGGTTAAGCCGAGCGTGCGCTCTCCGCCCTAGAGAGGCTCAGGAAACCCGGCCGGAGTAGAGGGGGGATGCATTAGCCGAGGGCACCTTCCTGCTCCTCCCCTTCCCAGGATCAAAAACTTGGGATTTGAATTTTAATAAGGGGGGATTTGCCTCTGCAGGGCTGCAGATCTTCCGCAGCGGGGCTTTGTGCCGTGGGACTGGGCGGAGGAGAAGCGCCGAGCGCTGGCTGGGGCGAGGAGCCTGGAGCCGGGCGCAGGCAGATCCAGCTGCCGAGGAGGAAAGGAAGAAACATCTGGAGGAGCCTGCAAGGCAGGTGGGAAAGCAAAACGGGAGAGGGGGAAGGGAGCTTTTTGCAGGGTGTGCGCCTGTTCCCAAAAGGCCTTTGTAGGGTTGGCTCCGAGTGAAATCCGACTGGCTGGAGAGCCGCAGTCCAAATTTGCAACGATTTCTGTGCAAAGTATAGTGGACGAAACGATGGCACAGAAACCGTTATTTTATCCGAGGTAATGATTTTGTGCCAAGCCCTCCCTCCAAGGCACTCAGGACAGGAGAGGCAGCCTTAGGAATTCCCATAAAGTAGATTTAAGACGTAATGGCTGGCCCAAGTTTCCGGGCTAAGCAGGGATTTGAACCCAGATTCTCCTGGCCCCCCTACATCTCTGAGTCCCCGCCTACATCCGTTATCCTCAGCTAAGTGAAGAAATAGTGCTCAGTTTTCTCCGAAGAGGAGAGAAAGTGCTGAAGAGGCAAGCCTGTGAATTGCCCTAGGGCACATGGGGGTTCCATGGCTGGATTTGAACCCAGAGGTCACAAGCAGCGTTGTTCCCTAACTTTCTGTCTCCCATTTTTTAACTCACTATTCCTCTCCTTTTGAAAGCTTGCAGCTTAAAAGATCAAGCCAGGTTCCACTTTGAGACCTGTGGGGAGCCTTCACATCCTGCCTTAGGATTCTTTCTTTTTTGTGTGGTGGGGACTGTGACTATTCTCTTTAGATTTCTTGCCCCTCGACATCCTTTAGCCTCCTTATTCTACCCATAACAGGAGTGCTTAAAGAGTGGCTTTCTGTACCACCCTTCCAATCTAGGCTTGTGTGTTAAAGTGGGGGTTCCCCATCTACATTTGTATGGGGGCAAAGGAGTCTTAGCATTTAGTTCATATTAATTAAGAGAAGGCAGTGGTGTGACTTAAGTGTATGTGGCAACAGAGTGTCTGGGCAGAGGGGTGGAGGCACTGAGGCTGAGATTCTGGGTTTATACCCACGCTGAGAAAAACTAGAGGATTGGGAGGTGAGGTGGGTTAGGGAATACTTGGAGCCAGGACTTCAGAGTTCCTTCTAGGAAGGGTGTGGTAGAATCAGGGGTGAAAGGACTGGAATGCTGCCATCCCTCCAGTGTGGGTTGATGAAGGTTTTGTAATCCAAGTTAATGATTGTGAGCATGGGATCAGGATGTGGTGTGGATTAATCAATGTGGATTTTGTACATGCAGCATAATTAAGGAAGCTGTAGCTTTCCTAAGGGACTTGTGTTTGTGTATGTCTAGTCGCCGATTTTCAGCCCCTCCACTTGCTTTTAGTTCTTGAATGCAGTTTCACCTCCACCTTTTTGTCAAGATGGACAAGAGAAACAGATGAGAGAGAGAGAGAGAGAGAGAATGAGAGAAAAAAGAGAGACCCTGGAGAAAAATGCAGACTTTAGCAGGAGCTCTAGCTAGCCTTTCCATTCTGTTAGCATCTGAGGATTTAAGGGGTGGGGTGGGGGATTAAGAGACCCCCAGCGAATCAAGGCCTGTGGGGGAAGGGCAAGCAAGCACTGTGGATGCTGATTCTCTGCAGAATGTGTTTAACTCCTGAGCCGATTAAGAGCTCGGCTTATCCCTCTCTGGACCCCGCACAACAACATCTCTGTTTTCTTTCCGAAGAGGCTCTCTTCTCCCTGCAGCAGCCAGCCATGTTCTGAGGCTGCAGTTTCAAAAAAAGCGTTAGTGGAAAAATACCCCTGACATATCCTGGGCCATCCCCGCTCTATATTTCCCATGCCCACCTTTGCTTGTAGTGCAAGATGCTATATCATAATTATTTTTCTGGAGGCTCCCACAAATGCAATCTTATATTTGCAATTAGGATTCTATTTTTTCAGAAGAGTTGGTCAATCTTTGCAGCGCTTTCCAGATACTTTAGATATTGATTCCAAGGCCCAAATATGGCTAACAGATTTTTTAAAGAAAATAAATGAAAGAAAGCTTTCCCTATAGGAATTTCAACAACAACAACAAAAAGACTTGCTCTTAAAATCCCTCTCCCCATCCCCACCCCGGCAAAAATAGATCTGTATTGTGTTACTGAAGGGGAACACTTCAATTAAATTTGGTTTCTGAGGGATTGTGGGCAGGAGAGGTGTGAAGAATGGCTGGAAGTTGCGCAAACTCAGCAGTTTTCAAATGTTGCAAGGCATCTTCAGGATTCTTGAGAGCTTACTGAGGTTTCTGTCTGAGATCAGTGATGGCGGACATCTTTCTTGAAAGGCGGCTTTTCCTTGTGGAAAGCACAGAGCAGGGGAATAAGGGTTCTGCACATGGTTGTGAATTCACACTGAGCAACAATAAGCCCAATAGGCTTTGCCATAGCTGTGGGCAAGCAGACTAGTCCAGCCAATGACATTCTCCAGAATCCTTGGCAGACAAATCCATGGGGAGTCTGTTGCCTCAAGATAAAACATTTGAAAAACACTGCCGTATATGCTCTACCCCTTGCTTGCCCATCTAAACTGTTTCTGGTGTTTTAGCTGAAATTGCCAGCAACCACTGTTGTGTTTTCATGACATTCTTTATGTTTCTTAATGTAATTGGATCCAATTTAGTTTCAATAAGCTTGGCTGATTATAATTCAGTTGCTTACCAATGGGCTGGTATGTTTGTTTTTCCATGCCCAAAATCTAGCTTTGGCTAATTTCCTTTTCTTCCCTCAGGAACAACACGAAGCTGCTTGAATGGGAAACCTGTTGGCTGCAGGTTCAGCTGGTTTCTTTCACTTAGCCATGACTGCTGGGCTGCATGAGAAAGCGTGTCTATCCAGTCTCCACAGTGGCAGATGTTAAGTGGCCGGAGGTGTTACGTATGCTCAGGTGCTGATCTATCCTTTTACCTGATCTGAGGTAAAAAACTTGGGATTTTGAAGGGGATACCAGGCTTGAGCACTTGAATTGAGAGAGAATCAACCCTAGGAAGACGAGGGGGCAGGTGTAGACCTACTTATGAGGAGCTAAACTGTGGGCAACACCTTGTGGAAATGGAGGAACAAACCCGAGCAGGCGTCGAGCCAGGAGAAGGATCTGGGAGATCAGGAAGAGGCGCTTTTCCAGTCCAGTCTGGTACTCCCCGGGATTTGTCCCGATGGGCAACGCCGCGGCAGGAAGGGATACCCCAGCGCTTGGAAGCCCAGTGGCAAGAGTACTTGAAAACAGTCCAGTATCCCTCTTCAGGGTGGGGAACGCCACAGCTGCCGGACTTGGCTTCGTGGGATGACTTGGCCACCTTTGACCGCGTGGTGGGTGCCTGCCAGTGGTCTAGAGAAGGGATGAGCCGCCTCATGCCCACTCTCAGCGCCGAAGCCCAGCAGGCCTTGAGCAGCCTGAATGCCAGAGACAGAGGGGACCACGGGAAGGTGAAAGCAGCTGCCTTGCGAGGCAGCTCCAGTGTTGCCGAGACGCAGCGCCAGCGCTTCCGCCAGTTCTGCTACCAGGAGGCGGAGGGGCCTCGTGAGGCCTGCAGTCGCTTACGGGAACTCTGCCATTGCTGGCTGGAACCGGAGAGCCGCACGAAGGAGCAGATCCTGGAACTGCTGATCCTGGAGCAGTTTCTGACCGTCCTGCCAAAGGAAATCCAGAACCGGGTCCGAGAACGCGGACCCGAGACTTGTGCCCAGGCGGTGGCCCTGGCCGAAGGATTCCTTCTGAGGCAGCAGGAGAGTTTGCAGAATGAACCACAGGTGGGTTGATTTGAATTGCAAGCCAGTCAAGCCAGGTGTGCTGCTGCTCTGGTTTTTGCCTTAAAATTGCTTCATTTTGTTAACCATGATGTTTTTGTTGGTGGGGCAGGTAGGGCCTTCAGTGTCAACTTTCTTTGTTGTTTCAGGACTCTGGTTTGTTCCGGGAGACAGCCACGAATCTCTCTGAAGGCCAGAGGACTGTGCCTGATGCCAGACAGAGGCATCTTGCTAAGGAGGCCCGACAGCAGGATAATGGGAAGACCAGCTTATTAGGTATGTCTTGCACTTGTGCTGTTGCGAACACGGCACAGCTCTTTGGCACAGCTTAAGGCTACAGCTTAACTTCCATTCCCAATTTGAGTGCCATAGTTCAGGGAGGAATTTAGATGAGTTGGAAAGTATTCAAAGGAGTGGTTTGAAATTCTAGAATTTAGTGGCAAACGCTACATTCTTGAAGGGTCAGCTGTTTTAGCAAAAAAGATTAAAGACTCCAGAGCTGTTGTAAGCAGTCAGTCCTCCCTGGTCATTGGCTGGGACTGATGGGAGTTGGAGTCGGTTAGCATTTGAAGGGCCGCATATTCCCACTCCTGTTGTGTGGCGATGTTGTAATTAACATGTGCAGTTTGAGCCTCACTCATCTGCTCAGTGGAAAGTAAGCACCAAGGTGGTTAAAGCTGATGTTAGGAGTTCATGGGGTTGTCTCAGCTAACATTTCTCTAGAATATGCAGTGGATGGACTTGGCTTACTCTAAGGTTTTTTGGGGTACGATTTCTGCTTCAGCTTGTAGCCTGGCTTACTTACACAAATCATGTGAACCTATTTGTTCTGCAGGTTAATTTTTTTCCTCCGGTTTTATTTAGGTTTCTGTTGCAGGGAAGGGGGAAAAGATTTTATGGAGGGCTGTGCTGTTTGGATGGCTGTTTAGATTTCTTCCAGTTCTATCATTCTGTTTACTCTGCAAGAGTGCTATAAGCTGAGCTGTTGGTATGGCACACTAAAAAAATTAAAATATATACCTTGCTAATTGCAAGCTTGTACCATGAATAGTTTATTGGTGTTGTATGTATAAATTACATAAATTATCACAACATATTACAATAATTTATTCTGGCTTAGGGAGGGGGCAATGAACTGTGCAGGGAAGTGCAAGCCTTGCTCTGCAGACACTGGGCATCTTATTCAGCCACCTCTCTGGCTGCTTAAAATATACATTGGCCCTAAAAATGTGCTTTGTCCATCTACCTACAAGCATATTTTCAGAGTCATAAGGACTAGAAACTTGCTTCAGAACAAAAGAAAGCTGAGTGTTGGGAAATTTGAATTCTGTACATGCCTACAGCCACACTCTTCTGCATTTCTTCTGTACTCAGACAGAACTGCAGCATACACACAGCCTTGGCCAGAAGCAGAATTAGTTGTGCTGATGACATAGTTAATGCACATGGTTTTTCATCTATAAATGTTAGTCACATTAGTGCATTGAGCAACCCACAGATGACTTCAGGATTTCTCTCCCCTCCCTCCCCAATCTTACAGGTGCCAAGAATGCAAACAGAGCTGGTGGTCCATTTCATCAAGGGGCCAAGGAAGAGGGAACACGTTCTACTTCCGGGCTGGTTCCTAGGAAGGAGAAGTCCCACATCTGTATAGACTGTGGCAAATGCTTTGCACGTCCATCTGACCTGGCTAAGCACGAGAACATCCACACTGGTGCAAAGCCCTTTCGCTGCATGGAGTGCGGAACAAGATTCAGCCAGCTGTCTCACCTGACCCGACACCAGAGGATTCACACGGGAGAAAAGCCACACATCTGCACCGAGTGTGGAGCATCCTTTGCCCAGCGGGCCTCTCTGGTTAGCCACCAAAGAGTCCACTCCGGGGAGCAGCCCTACCGCTGCTCTCACTGCCAGCAGTGCTTCAGCCACCAGTCGGCACTCAAGGTCCACGAACGCATCCACACGGGGCAGAAGCCCTACATCTGCCTGGAATGCGGGAAGAGGTTTGTTTCCTCCTCCACCCTGAAGATACACAAGAGGATCCACACAGGAGAGAAGCCGTTTTCCTGCGCGGAGTGCGGGAAGCGGTTCATCCAGCGCTCCAACCTCATCTCTCACCAGCGAACGCATTCCGGAGAGAAGCCCTTTTGCTGCGGCGTGTGTGGGAGAAGGTTCAGCTACCCGTCAGACCTCACCAGGCACCAGAAAATCCACACGGGAGAGAAGCCCTTCCCCTGCGACGAGTGCGAGAGGCGGTTCACCAGGTTCTCGGATCTTCTGATACACCGCAGGATCCACACCGGGGAGAGGCCATACCGCTGCCTCGAGTGCGGGAGAAGGTTCCGGCAGAAGAGCGCTCTGGTGACGCATCAGAGGATCCACACAAAAGAGAAAGCGGCCGAGAAAAGCAAGCCTCTGGTATCCACAGAGTCGCAGGCAAAGAGCAAACTGAAAGCAAGCGAGACCGAAGAGAAGGTAGACGTTCCAGATAAAGAAAAGAAAGATGTGTCAAGAGCTTAGAAGCAGCCAGGCTCAGCGTGTTCTCCCAGCTCCTGACTCCTTTCAACCTTACGAAGGAAGGCCAATGCAAGAGGTTGTGCTGAGGTTTCTTCTGGGTTTGCTGATAGGTCTCATTCCTCTTCCATGCCTGGCCCCTCTCAAGGACATAGCTTGACTTTGTTTGGGGACAACCTAGCTCAGGACATAATAGGTGCGAATAACCTGCTTTTTCCTTGTTCCCCTGTGATTTGGCTACTGTGACAGACTCGCCAGGGCATTCAGGAAAGATTGCTTCACTCTGCAGTGACTGGAAACGTAATTCAAAGCCCAGTTCCTTGCTTTCTTCCGATTTTCAGCCTGTCAGATGGACTCTTGTCCAAAAGAAGTCGCTGGCTCTGCCTGCAATGCTTGTTCAGAGGACATTGTTGACCATGCAGCTAAGGCGAATGGGAATTTGCTCCATGTACTGTACTGCTCTAACGTTTCCCAGGATGGAGCTCAAGCAGAGAGGACTCTGATGAAGTCCTCTCAGGGCTGATCTGTGTCATCATGCTTCTCTGCTTTTTAAGCAAAATCTCTGTGGATATAGAGATTAAGGGCCTGCCCACAAAAGGTCTTCAGACTGCGTTTCTCACTGCATAGCTGGACCTGTAGGAAGGAGGGACCAAAGGCAGCAGGAGATCTGCTTTTCCAGGTGCTGCAAATAGTCAGTAGATGACTGTTGCCATCATGTTTCCCATGTGGGTTTCCTAAGGGTATGTATTGGGCCATTGTCGAATGCAGAGCAGCATTTGCGAGATGGGCAGGTGAACCTCTTCCCATTAATGTTACTTGTTCTTTTGTTAGTTATATATAGTCATTTTTAGTTCAAGCTGATACAGCAATTATTGTGTGTATGTATATATTTTATTTGGGGTGGAAAGATTATTCTGTCCGTTATATTTTTGATGAAGAATAGTCCCTAAACCTTAGAGTAGTCTTCTACATGTCTACTCGGCAGCGCATCCCGTTGAGGTCTATGGGCCTTAGTCCTGGGTAAATGTGTCTTGGATTGCAGCCACAGAGTAGAAGTTACCCTGGATGAGTATGTAGGAGCAGAGGGAACAACATGGAGGTTGCTGTTAATGGCTGAAAATCTTTGGGAATTCTCAAGTCTAGTATTTAAACTTGATGTGTCTTTTTACACAGAGATAGCCACAAATAAAAAGCATCATAAAAGGGGTCTCCTACCTTTTATCTGTATGAAATAAGTGAGTAACATAAGGTCTGTTGAGGGACAGGAGCACCTAGATTCATTTTCTTCAACCGTTGTTCAGCATTGTCAAAGGTGACCATTTTGTGTAGCTGTGCATTTGTGGGATAGGAACACCGCACAGCCCCATTGTACTGGATGTGGCTCCTTACTCTCCCCCACCACCCAAACACATTTCAGCAAATCCAAGGAGAGCCATACACAGCAATTTATTTGCATGCCTGAATCCCATTGCAGGACCAGGGTAAATGACTCATATCCAGAGATCTATATGCCATGATCCATACATCCACCAACCAGCCATCGCTTAATGATAATGGCATCTTTCCCTTGATGCCACAGAAGCGAAGGTGTCAGAAACAACATCAGCAGTGATGTCTGGGAGATTCTGCTTAAAAAGTCCTGCCATGTTCACATGGCTCATGCATCTGCACAGTGGGGCTCATTGAATTAGCAGCATTAGGTGTGATCTGGAGCTCTGGCCTGCATATTCTGAAATTGATTTGTCAGTACCCTTCCCCACCTCTCTCTCTCTCTCTCTCTCTCTCTCACACACACACACACACACACACATACTCTTCACCTATGGATCTCACATGTACTTCTGCCCAAACTGAAGCACGTGCACACACATGTGATCAAATCTACAGGCATTTCTGTGTCCTGTATGAGTTGTACATCTTCCACAGTCTAGGGAATCACTGCTCTTCATTTCGGAGACTGAAAACTAAGATTCTGTGAAGTACACATTGATTAATGTTAGGAGTTGTTTAAAGACTTCAAACTTTTTATAACCTTGACACACCCTGGATACCTTGGGATCCTCTGATTTAAATAAACCATTGGCAGCTTTTAGATTTGCTTTGTAAATAATAATGAAATAGCAATAAATCAATGTTTAGTTATGCAGCTGGAGTCAGTCATGTTTTTTAAATGTGTTTTAAATGCATTGTGTGACTGTGTGTGCTAAACTAGGCAACCTATGCACACTTAAGCTGGGGACTAAGACCATGTGGGCAGATGTTCCTGGAGAGAACAGAAGACCATGAATTGCTCTAGGAAACCATTGCCAAGGAGACTGGAATGTTGTCAGTTAAAACTGGAGAGTGGCAGTTGGACTCGAGGGCAGGAGACTGGAGAGAAGGAAGAAGAGTTGTTGGATTCTTGAGAGTGAATTTGTAGAGATGGGAGCTGTGATCTTGACAGTGAAGGTAGGTAACAGAGTTTGAGCTAGAGACCGGGCAGCACACTCTGGCCTCTGCCATTATCCAGGGGTCTATGTGCCACTGGGGGGCTGCGACCCCATCATTCCAGGAAGAACCACAAAGCAAGGGGGGACCAACCTGGCCACATCCATTGGTCAGAAAAGGAGCAGCTGCAGGGAACTTGCTTTGCCCTTCCTTGGCGGAAGGAACACTTACAAGACCTTTGTAGCTAAGATCTAATCTTCAAGTTTACTTTTTTCTTCCTCTCTCAAAATCCTTGTTCCTTTTGTGCCACACCTTTTACCAGGGACCATCTTATTCTTGATTATTACAAGCCGCTTTGGGAGCCCCTTTTGCCTGAAGAGTAGAATAACAGTAGTTTAAATAAATACACTGCTTGTGTTGTGAGGGACAGAATGGCTGAGAGGAGCAGGCAAACCAGAAGCCTGAAACACAGAGGATTGTTACCTTGTTGTGGTTCTCAGGCGATGCCACAGTACCAAGCAGCACCAACTACAGTGGTCACATAACGAAGACATCATTGGATTGTTGAAGTGTTTGTATTTTTTTCAAACTTCCGCCCCAGGTAATCTCTGCCTACTCTAACTTGCATTGTGTTTCTAGTGTACAGGATATTAATTAAGGTCAACAGTCACCTATTCATCCCCAGCCTCCATAATTTTAGAAATCTGTTGATTCTATCAAAGACTGAGGTCAGATCGACAAAGACAGCATATAGATATTTCTTGAGGGCACCTGCATATTTCTGTCTTAAATAGTTTAAGACAAAGCATTTTTCTATGGTTGACTTCCCCTGACAAAAGCATGCTTGTTGATCCCCAATGATATTGTTCTGCTCTGCTCAATTCTCAAACTTTTCCAATAAGTAACAAACATAGAGTTTGGATATAATGTCCAATAAATTGGGTGATTATTGGCCAGGTTAGATTTTCTCTCCTTTCTTAAAGATCGGGACCACAATACTTTGCTCCCAGTCTCTATGAGGGTTGCCTGTAGAGTTGACATTTGTAAAGAGTTTTGCTAGTTTTGGAGCTCACCGATTCAAATTGTCCAGGAATCTGTCTCTTTGTTATTATTTATTTTTCTTCTCCTGGCTTGGTCCAGAATTAAAATACAACACTTGCTTCAAATGAATGCCTCACAATTTGGGCATAAAGTAAGCACCAATCCCATATTTTGTTTCATTAAGCTAACAGGTCACCGAGTGTCAAACTTTTGTGAAATCCCTACCGATTGTGGCCTGTTCAATAGCTGACTGCATTTCAATATAAAACACGGTTTGTTTATATTTTAGCAGTCTCCTATAAAAGTGATGCTTCTCTGTCCATTCCCTCACCTTCAGATTGTCTGTGCTTGCATAAGTGAGCCTACTTAACATACAAAGATTGTGTCTCGCTTTATTTTAAGATTCAGCATTGCTCTACTTTTACCTCGGCCTGCATTTCCCTTGCTGTACATTGGAGATCTCATGCATCATGTCCTTCATGATACCCTGAAAGCACACTAGCTCCAAGCAGAGAGGCTGAAGGTCGCTTTCCAATTGCTCTCCCACTGTAAAGTTCTTTACTCATGGTTGCACACAATATAGTCTATAACATTCTCACCGTGTGTGTGTGTGTGTGTGTGTGTGTGTGTAAAAGTAAAGTTCTCTGCTGTCTTTTTCCACCTGGCGCTGTTGCAGAGAACCAGCCTGAGTTAGTGAATTAACTTAAAAAGACATACAGTGGTACCTCGGGTTACAAACACTTCGGGTTACAGACTCCGCTAACCTGGAAGTAGTACCTCGGATTAAGAACTTTACCTCAGGATGAGAACAGAAATTGCGCGGTGGCAGTGGGAGGCCCCATTAGCTAAAGTGGTACCTCAGGTAAAGAACGGTTTCAGGTTAAGAATGGACCTCCGGAAGGAATTAAGTTCGTAACCAGAGGTACCACTGTACTGGCAAGGTTAATTGTACATTTCATAGAAGGAAGATGCGAAACGTCCTCAGGACCCTGTTGCTACTGAATACCTGCCACTGCAGCCCTTTGTGCTAGTCAGGCAAATATTTTGAAGGCAGGGTTAGTTGGTCTTGATGGACCCAGAGCAGCCAGTGGCCACCCCCAAAGTAAGGCCCCCTCTGCTCCTCCCTTTCTTATGATCCTTCCTTGCAGGCACTGAGAGAATACTGAATCCCTGGGATACTGGGAGGTGTCAATACTTCCTGTGCAGGATGCTGTGATTTGGGACAGATAGAAAGGAGATGTGGTTGCTTAAAATAGCATTTCACCCCAGCACCCATTTTATTTAAGGAGAATCTAGCACTGAAAATGATGGCTGCCACCTGCTGGTTGCTGCATGCTATTACTGCTCTAGCATTTCAATAGTTTTTTTAAGTTTTTAAAAATGCACCCGCACCGACCCCTCTCGCTCTCCAGGCTTCAGGAAGCTATCCGCAAGCCTTGCAAGCCCGGTGGGAGATCCCGCGGGCTCACAAGGCTTGCAGGCAGCAGCCTGCAGCCCGGCGAGTGTCCGCAAGCCTTGCGCGCCCGGCAGGAGGTCCCGCCGAGCGCGCGAGGCTTGGGGCAGCAGCCTGTCGCCCGAAGCACGGGAGCCCTCCGGAGGGCTCCCCGTGCTCGAGCGAGTGTCTGCAAGCCTTGCGCGCCCGGCAGGAGGTCCCGCCCAGCACGCAAGGCTTGGGGCTGCAGCTTGTCGCCCGAAGCACGGGGAGCCCTCCGGAGGGCTCCCGTGCTTCGAGCGAGTGTCTGCAAGCCTTGCGCTTCCGGCAGGAGGTCCCGCCCAGCGCGCAAGGCTTGGGGCTGCAGCTTGTCGCCCGAAGCACGGGGAGCCCTCCGGAGGGCTCCCGTGCTTCGGCGAGTGTCTGCAAGCCTTGCGCGCCCGGCAGGAGGTCCCGCCCAGCGCGCAAGGCTTGGGGCTGCAGCTTGTCGCCCGAAGCACGGGGAGCCCTCCGGAGGGCTCCCCTTGCTTCGGGCGAGTGTCTGCAAGCCTTGCGCGCCCGGCAGGAGGTCCCGCCCAGCGCGCAAGGCTTGGGGCTGCAGCTTGTCGCCCGAAGCACGGGGAGCCCTTCGGAGGGCTCCCCTTGCGTCGGGCGAGTGTATGCAAGCCTGGCGCGCCCCGCAGGTGGTCCCGCCCAGCGCGCAAGGCTTGGGGCTGCAGCTTGTCGCCCGAAGCACGGGGAGCCCTCCGGAGGGCTCCCGTGCTTCGGGCGAGTGTCTGCAAGCCTCGCGCGCCCGGTGGGAGGTCCCGCCGAGCGTGCGAGGCTTGAGGCGGCAGCCTGCAGCCCAAGCATGCGAGGCTTGGGGCGGCAGCCGCGGGGGGGGGGAATAATTTTTTTTATTCATTTCCCCCCCCAAAAAACGAGGTGCGTCCTATGGACCGGTGCGTCCTATAGAACGAAAAATACGGTAATCTTGATAATCTGAGAATAGGTAGAAAAAATTCTCCTGCCCTCCCAACCACCCATTCTCGTCTAATAATGTTTATGTGTGAAACAGTGATTTGTTCTGTTTAATTACTGTATTACGAAGTGCTTTTTCTGGGGGTATGCAGGTGTACGCATACCCCTAAACATTTTGTGAATCTTTCTACTTTTGTCCATTTACTGTATTTATTTTCCCCGATTTGAAGTATAAAATGGTGATTTTCTTGAGTCAAAATGAGAGTACCCTTAAACATTTTTTTAGGAAAAAAAGCACTGGTTTTATGAATACAGAATGAACTACCCTCGGCACCAATAATTCCAGAGAGAATTCTGTGTGGTTATTAAAAAGAAAGAAAGGTTGTGTTATATGGGAAGTCTCTGATTATGTATTAGCCTCACCCGCGTGCTCCATTATATATGCAAGCTCTGCATCAGCTAATCCAGAATCACTCCCTGTTCTGTGCTAATATTCACCAACGTGGATTTGAACTCACTTGATACATAAATATTCCTAGGACGTATGGGGAGAGTAGCCACACTCAGCCTCCCTTGCACAACCCTACATTTGTTGCACTGCACCAGTTGCATTTCTGCCTCTTGTTGCCGCTTCATGCCTCTGTCAAAAAAAGTTGGCTAGGTCAAGCAGCTCTTGGTGACCCTACCCCACCCCGAGCAACTCCAAGGGTTAAAAAAAAAACAAGGGAGAAGTAAAGGTGACCCCTAGAGAGGCACAGTAAACTGGGGAAAGGGGGAATTGCTGTTTACCCAGGCACTTTCCTGCTTCTGCTGCTTCTCCTCTAATCTACTTCCTTGGATTGAAATATAAATGCATATATGGAGGCAATCTGAATTCCAGTAAGAAGGCTGGGGATTCTGTGTGTTGGCATCTGCAATAGGGAGAGACAGCAAGTTCAGCTGGAGAGAAAACAAGAAACACACAAGCACCCCTCTGGTTTATGACAAGGTATATTAAACCAGGAGTGGGGATGACTATGTAAACTGATTATGCAAACTGATTATGAATGAATAAGTGTGTCCTATAGAGTTTGCAGGTTCTGAAATAAAAATATGTGCATCATGTTTTTTGGGCAAGAGTTGAAGCAGAATCTCCCCCCCCCCCCCATTTTTAAAGAAAGGTATTGGACAAACTTCTATGACTGGGCTATTTCTAGTAATGGGTTCCACTGGGGTTTGGTGCCAGCTTGGCAACCTTATTGCATCATGTCCACATCTTGCTAAATTGGGTTCCTGGTTAGATGATCACTGCTGAAACAGTGTCTGAACACAGTCTACAGTGGTCAACATTAACTGCAATATAGGAGCACAATATTGTTGCTCCTCTTCTTGGTATAGCTGGAAGAATGATTATGTTCAAAACCATCCTGGGTTCTTGGGAATCGGGATTGTCCCATTTTTGCTTTTCCCTGTTAAGGCTGCAATCCTACTTGTGTTGATTGCAGTTTACTTCTGAGTAGGTGTGCTTAGGGTCATGCTACAAGACAAACTTTTAAGTCTAGTATCAATGTTTAATAAACAGGCAAATCCAAAAATTTAACTCATCTGGAACAGCACATGCAATTGAGCAATTTCCCTCATTGAACAACTGGCCAATTTACTATGGGTTAGATTTTAAAGCAAGGACATTGAGGCTGTGCTGCCCCATAAAAACACAGAAGCTAAGCAGGGTTGGTTCCGGTTAGCACTTGGATGGTGGGAGGAAATGGCAATTAAGGTGTATGATCAACAAAGTGGTACAGTCCTCATGCAAGGACTGTATCACCTCACTTTTAATGTTGTAGAGACACTTGTCAGAATCTGACCCCTTTCCCAATAGGAAAATTGTACTGAAAAAATTCCTGCAAATGCGTTAGAATAGCAGCAGAAGGCACAGTTCCTGGGTCTTACTATTTACTATGTGATCAGTATGTGCTATAATGCAAGGTTAATGACAAGAAAGGCAAAGTTTTGAAACAAACTTTCTACAACCTCCCCACCCCCCAAGCTTTGGCACCATTGATATTTCTAAGGTCTTCTAGTTTGTTGTCTTCTGCCCCTTCCTAATGTCCCTTACTCCCAGAAATTGGGATATCTGAATATTCCTAGGGATCCCAGCAAATCTCTGAACATTTGTGGTGATGGCACAAGAGCTGGTGGGAAGGATATGTCCTTCTGCAAGGGGATGGCAGAAGGAAGAACCAGTCTTCCAGAATGAAACTTATCTCTCACAAGCGTCTGAACCATTGCCTGCTCTTTGTCTCTCAGTTGGCGTCGTCTGTGGCTGAGTCAGAAGTATTTTTCACCAGGTGGATGGTGTCACCATCAGAGTCACCTTCAGATGCAATTTGCTCTCTTCCCCTGGTATATATCTCTCGAATGCCATTGACCATATCCGATCCAACAGTGATGTTTTCCATAAATGCTTCTGCAACAAAACAAAAAAGTGAATTGATTGAGCTCCCAGACTAGTGATCTCAAGACTCCAAAATCCCATTATATTCCAGCAACAGATCCTTGCACTCTCTTCTTATTGGAACCACAGGAACTACAGCCAGACATTCGGCTTCCGAAAATCATTTGAAAACCAGAACATTCACTTCCGGGTTTCGATTGTTCAGGAGCCAATTTGTTCGGGAGCCAAGGCATTTGGCTTCCAAGGTACAACTGTACTGAATTTAAATAAATGTATATAATGCGGAATTCTTGTTCTTGTGTGTAGCATTTGGGACACACTCCAGAAATACTATTTTATAACTTGTGCACTGAAAGTGAAACGAAACCTGGAAGAGGTGAGCTATTCAGGGCAGGAGATGGCTATCAGGTGGGAACTGCACAGGTTACTTTCTGCAAAAACATCAGTGCAGACTAGCCCTGGGATTGGCAATCAGGTGAGCTAGACTGGAAAATTGGTTGGCACATTCTTACCTCCTCTTCCAGCTAAAGGGTTAACCCAAATTGATTTTCCTCTCCTTTTCCTCAGGTAGAGCACAGCAGCAGCACCTATGAGCACAGCAGCAGCCAAGAGACTCAGGATCACTGCAGCGGCTGTAGAAGAGGCTGTGAAAGAAGCAGAGAGTAAAAATTGTCAGATTTGCTCCCCTAAACCCCTTAAAGTGTTCATTAAGAATAGGCTGGATCACAGAAGTACCTGCATGTCCCTTGCACACTGCTCCAGCGTAGGAGTTGCAGATGCACTTATGGGGGCCTGTGGGGGCGGCATAGCATTCGGTGACTGATGCTTCTTCTCCAATACATTGCACTTCATTCAGAAAAGCTGGGCCAACACTGTTGCCATATTGGTTTCCCGTCGGTGCCGACAATGCTTCACCACAACCCAGTTGCCGGCATATCACCTTGGCTTCTTTAAGACCCCATCCAGAGTCACCAACAGAGACCCAAGTGCCATTTTGATTCAGTTCCACTCGCCCTTCACAGGAATGGGGGCCATTAGCCAATCGCACTTGCATAGGACCTGCAGGAAGAAAGAGGAAGAAGTCACAGGTTGTTCCCTACTGAGGTGATGCACTTTGTGCAACAGTCTGCCCAGAAAGGCTTCCTTGGTACCCACTTCAATGCCATTTCAGCACTTTGAAAATTTGTCTAAGTTACAGATAAATTTTTGAGTTTGCAAAACTCTTATGTTGGTGATATCTTCTTTTAAACACAATTTTAGAAAAAAACATTTAAACTTATTGATTATGCTTTAGGGAAGATCAGTCCAGTTAACAGAAAAAGTTGAATGTTAATTAGAGTTTGAATAATATTAGCCAAAATATGAGATATTATGTAAAGAAGCTTACAAATGTTGCATTGGTCACTACAGAATTTCCTCCTCCTGTTTTATATTTAATCGTTTGCACACCGCCCTGATATTTCATGATATGGCAGTATGGAGATACTTTTATAAATAGTGCAACAAACTAAATGATAATATTTTTCTCACAATCACAGCTTTCTGAAGCTGTTTTAATTTTGTTTTTTTAAAGTTGGAGATTCATTCCAAATTAAGGATTTATATGTGTGCTATATGCCCCGAAAGAGTTACCTGAGCACACCACGCTAGCATCCTCTGAGTGATCACAGTCATGTTCTCCTACGGAACGTCCCCGGCAGTCTCTCAGGGATGTTTCTGTGCCTGTACAGTTCACATCATCCAGCCAGACGGGGCCAGGGCCTCGTCCAAAGTGTGCCCCATGTAGGGCTTCCAAAGCAATGCCGCATCCCAGCTGCTTACACACAACGCTAGCATCCGGAAGGCCCCATCCATCATCACACACAGTTCCCCACTGCTGCTGGTGCATGACTTCAACTCTCCCAGAACAGGAGTTTGGGCCATCTTCTAGTCTGATGTTAATCACATTGATGGTGGATGACTCTATAGAGAACCCAATATGAACAAAAATCAGTGCAGGTGTAAGGATGTGACTGGAAAGTTCCCCATCCACATAAGGGATGGGGGTCTGTGAGCATAAGAGTTTATCTGCAGCAACTGCCAAGCTCTGAAAATTAAAACACAGGAAATGCAGGCCCATCACTTCAACTGGGAACACCAAGAATCTCATGACCAAGGAAAAAACAAGGAAAGCAAGAAGCTCAATGAAAACAATTTCAAAGCAGGAGGTGGAAAAACATGGCTGCTGCCCCAAGTCTGCTGTCTGACCTTAGGCAAGCTGAAATTGTGCACCTTTCACTCCACATCTTAGCACATGTCTCTTTGTGACATTCTCCCTGCAAGACCAGAAGTCTCCAAATCTATCTGGGCCTCAGAATTATCCCCAGGCCACAGTGCCAGATTTATGCACAAACGAAATAAGTTATTATTTTGGGCCTCTGCTCATCCCTCCAAATATGAAGGGGTGTCTGTGTTGAATTTCACTTTTTACACAATTGGTTAAAAAATAAAACAGGCTCTGAAACAGACATTATACTGACATAACAAAAATATACTTAATGGCTACTCAGTTATTTGTCATTTTCTATATTGTGTTTATAAATCCATGCTGTCCACAGGTTTAGGTGCTGCAAAGCAGTTGCAGCAACTATTAATTTATATGGAAATTTCATTAGGCCATCTGTCCATAAGTTGTCAAACAGCACCAATGGCAGGTGACCTCTGGTTCAGGTCAAATGCAGACTACATCAGGCTTATTGCAAGATCTATGTTTTAGTTTGATTGCTAGTTTTTACTTGCATCCTCATCTATGTACCAGCATATGCAAATATAAAGCCTTATTGTTCATTTTGTTAAATTTATAAGCTGTGCTTCCTCCCAGAGAAGCCCCAAATAGAAAGGACTGTTTCCATTGTCCCTTCTGTTAGACTAACACACATTTTTGATAATGCTATGCGGTGTCTTAAACTTGGCATATAGTAGGGCCTCAGGATGTCTTAATACAGCCCTACGAGGCCACACCCCTCACTGCTTTTGCCTGACTGCAGCATGTCTTTGAATTCTTGCTTGCCTAGATAAGAGGAAGAATAGTGAGGTGTGTGTAGAAACTAATCTATGCAGAAGGGATTGTGCCTCTCAGGCTGAAAAATGTTCCCAAGCAATGTGGCGTCCTAATATTGTGTGTCCTGGCACTGCATGTGGGGTCCTCTGAATATTGAGGGGGGCCACCCCTAAAAAAAAAGATGGGGGAGGGCAAAGTACCTCAGCCCCCAGGAGCTGGTGTCCTTGAGAGACACTGACAAGAATTTTAAGAACTTTGATACAACACAAATGGGGGTGGGGAAGGAAGTCAAAGTGCCTTGTGCTAATAGTCCCTCTGCTCCTCCATCACATCCAACAGAGAATTTCCCCCCATCACTTCACCCCATCCCTGGGCATGTCATTCCCAACTCCCATTCTGGAAACAACAAGGGGGCCATAGCAGGTTACCTGAACAAACAACTCCCGCATCTTGGTCATGATTACAGTTATTGTTCCCCTGGGTATTTGAGCTGCACTCTTGGATGGCATCTTCTGTGCCTTTACAGTTCACATTATCCAGCCAGATGGATCCTGATCCACGTCCAAAATGAGCTCCGCCTGGGGCTGCTGAAGCCTTTCCACAGCCCAGTTGCCTGCAGATGACTTCAGCATCTTGCAAATCCCACGTACGGTCACAAACAGTTCCCCACTGATCACTGTGGGGCGGCCGGAACTCGATTCTCCCACTGCAGCGATTTGTGCCATTTACTAGTCTGAGATCATCTAAGAATAAAACGGGAGGGTCAAATGATTAACTCCACAGAGAACAACTCCAAGTGGCTCTTAAAAAAACCAATGTCAGGACTTGGGTGGATTCTTTCCCTTTTCATCCTGGCTGTCCTAAACAGCTGGCAGAAATCAGCAGGATCTGATGATGGCTCCCCATCATGAACATGCAGTCAGCTTCAGATTGTAGGGGAAACAAATAACAGACTTGTCAGTTGATCCTGTTTCACTTTGTAGATGACAAACTGCATTACTCTGCTGCCACTATGAGCTCGGACCTGTTTTAGTACTTCGCTGCTGGTATGTGTAATTAAAACATGCAATCAAATACCTCTTGTTTGTGAAACAAAGGGTGGCATGCAAAAATTAAGTCCTGCTCATGGTAGATGAGTCATATAATCTCCCTGTCTCAAGCAAGGAGCCACCATCACCAGGAGGAGACTTTGTAAGGAAGATGTAGGACAGCGGTTTGGTGTTTTAAAAGAATGGCTCAAATCAGGGATTGCTGTGAAGATCAGGAATCCTTGAGAGGATTTATGGGGCTAGGAATGACCCGCTTGCCTTGTCATTGCCTCCTTTTTGTGTAGGATATTGCACCAGAGCATAGGGACACGGCTTAGGACTTGCCAATCAGAAGGTCGGCGGTTCGAATCCCCGTGACAGGGTGAGCTCCCATTGCTCGGTCCCTGCTCCTGCCAACCTAGCAGTTCAAAAGCACGTCAAAAGTGCAAGTAGATAAATAGGAACCGCTCTGGCGGGAAGGTAAACGGCGTTTCCGTGTGCTGCTCTGGTTCGCCAGAAGCGGCTTAGTCATGCTGGCCACATGACCCGGAAGCTGTACGCCGGCTCCCTCGGCCAATAAAGCGAGATGAGCACCGCAACCCCAGAGTCGGTCACGACTGGACCTAATGGTCAGGGGTCCCTTTACCTTTATTGCACCAGAGCAGATTACCTGAACATACAACACCAGCATCTTCTCCATGGTTACAGTCATTGGTTCCCAAAGGCTTGGCCTTGCAAGCAGTGAGAGAAGCTTCTGTTCCTGTACATTCGACATCATCCAACCAGATGGGATCAACTCCTCGCCCAAATTGAGCTCCACGGGGGGCAGCTATGGCTGATCCACAATCAAGGTACCTACACACAACGACTGCTTCATTTAGGTCCCAACTGTCATCGCACACAGTTCCATATTGGTTGAGATGAAACACTTCCACCCTACCAGAACACCGATGACTGCCATTGACCAGCCTTAGCTCCACCGGATCTGGAATGGTAAAAGTTATAACATGGAAACACAAAGCCACAGATATTTTAAGAAGACTCCCAAGAAAGATGATGTTTCATTTTACTCATGCTAGTATGGGTTATACCTAATGTCATCTGGACTGAGGCTAGTGCTATCCATTACTCTGACAAAGGTTTCGCCAAAACTGTGTTTGCCAATAAATACATTTAGTTCTTTTTATTTATTTGCAAAATTTCTATGCTGCCCACATTAGGGGGAAGGGAAACCATCAAGGTGGTAAACAGCATTAAGTAATAATAAAAGTACATTTTAGATATGTACAAAACACATTAGCCATCAGTAGATCAGAACTGATGCATCAACATGGCTGATCACACCTCAAGGAGAGCTTGGGTGAACAGATGGGTTTTAAGCAGATTCCTAAATGCCAAAACTATAGGAGCTTACCTGATGTTCACTGGAAGCACATTTCAAAGGACTGGTGCCTCCACACTAAAGACCCTGCTCTTAGTAGACATAAGATGAACCTTGAGAACTTATGACACTACTCTGAGTACTTCTTCTAAGGATTGAAGTATCTGGGATATACAAGGCAAGATGCTCCCAGAGGTAAGCTGATCCCAGTTGGTTCTGGGCTTTCTATACTAACAGCAAGACCTTAAATGTGGCCTGGCGACATATTGGTGACCAGTGGAGTTATTTAAGCACAGATGTTTCCTGTCCCTGCTGATTATCTCCTGCAAATGCCTTTCGGGGAATTTCTCAAACTTAAGAGGGAGATAGATCAGCAGTACATAGCACAATACCCAGCTTATGAGAGTCAGCAGACAGTCATAAAATAGGAAGCTGGCAATGGATGGTGTAGCAGTTAAGCTGGAATTCAGCTGTGGAAATTTGGAATCACATCCCTGATTTATAGGCTCCCTTGAACTCAGTAATGCTCACTTCTAATTACATAGGTTCAACTTGTAAAATGAGTTCCGTTTTAACAACTTTTAGCTTTAAATTAGAAATGCAAAAAATCTTGCAAAGAAGGATTACCATTTAAACAGGCAGCATGAAGGACAAATTCCTTCAAAGCGGAAAAAGTACCCTTTGCTTATTTACCTCATTTTCAGTCTTCCTCTATGCAAATACAGTACAAACCATTGTAAAACTTGAAAGCTTAGTTATCATTCGGTCGCCACATCAAAGAAAGTATTTCAGTTTCCCTGGTGCTCATTGCTCCTGCTCTAAAGTGCTAGAGCCCTGTTCCCCTGCTATTCCTTCTCCAATATACATAGTCTAGGCAAAGAAGAAGACTTGGTCCTGCATCCCAGCCAACCCGAGATTGGAAGACAAGGGCCTGCAGTGCAAGGTCTCCAAAGCTTCATGCAAGAGGGACGCAGGTTTATGTAATAGGAACATGTATGTTCCAAACCATTAAGCATGGAATATAATTTACCTGCACACTCAACACCAGCATCTTCTCCATGATTGCAGTTATTGATCCCCCAAGAGCTTGCTGGGCACTGACTGAGGGCTGTTTCTGTTCCTTGACAGTTCACATCATCCAACCAGATGGGCCCTGTTCCTCGTCCAAATGCAGCTTTTGTACGAGCTTTCAAAGCAACGCCACAGCCCAACTCTTTGCAGATGACCTCAGCCTGCTTAAGGCCCCAGCGATCATCACACACAGTGCCCCACTGATGATTGTGGAAGATCTCCACTCTTCCTGAGCAACGACTTGAGCCATTCACCAGCCTGAGTTCTGATGGGAAATAAAATATTGAAGGACGCCACTCATTAAGCCAAGACATTATTGGCAAGTTTCTTGAACATCTCATGTCTAATAGCTAAGGAGGCTGCGCCTCATCTCACAAAGGGCATGAATACATCAAGTCATTTTTCTTCCCATGAGGAGAAGCTGTTCCCCATACCATTTCCCTCAACGAATGCTGATGTTTGCCTCAGAAATGGCCATTTACATCCTCCCAAGGTGAATATCAAATTGAGAGTGGGGCGGGAATTTTCTTTTCCCCCCAATTTTTTAATTAATTTTCCAGATTTAAAAGAAACATATCAAACATAAAAAGAAAACATCAAAAAACAAACAAACAAACATATCCTAACTGTAGAAATGCCACTTTTGTTAACATTGTTTGATGACTTCCTCAACTCCCCCTGACTGAGTTTCCATATAAATCATTGTAGTAGTTTTCCAAAACTAATTTTACATAAAATTTACTTGGTCCAATTAACATCTTTCTTTCTCTTCATTTTAACTTTTATCCATAATATTCTACAACATCACATATTTAAAACCTAGGCCGATTTGAGACTCACAAGTAATTCTATTTAAGTTATCTTAACATATTTAACTAAATAGTTTTTAAATTTCTTCCATTCCTCTTGATACTCCTCCTCCTTCTGGTCGCGGACTCTTCCAGTCAGGTTGGTTAGCTCCGAAAAGTCCATCATCTTCTGCCATTCCTCCACTGTTGGTACTTCTTGTAATTTCCAATTTTTGGCCAACAAAATTCTAGCAGCAGTTGTGGCATACAAAAACAATCTAACATCTTTTGGGGGGCAATTCCAAACCTATTATTCCAAGAAGAAAGGCCTCTGGTTTCTTAATAAATGTATATTTCAACATTTTTTTCAATTCATTATAAATCTTTCCCCAGAAGTCTTTCACCTTGGGACAAGTCCACCACATATGATAAAAAGTACCTTCTTTTTCATTTCCAACATAGATTATCACTCTTATGATAAATCTTTGCGAGTTTTACAGGGGTTAAGTACCATCTATGAGGAGGGAATTTTCATAAGGAAAACACAATGGAGGAAAGAATTGAAACCCCCTCAGACAGCCCTAATCTGGACCGGCCTTCCACAGCTGGCTCTATTCCTCCTCTCTTTTAAAGAAATATCACCGTGCACTTATTGCAGGGGTGGGGAACTTGTGGTTCTTGGCATAATTTAACTCAGCCTATAGATATGGGGTGGCACAGATGGAGAGAGAGAGAAGAGGGGAGGGAGGGGAGGGAGAGAAGGACAGTTATGCAATCCTACAATGTTTGTAAAACCCGGCCCATTTTGGTTCTACCCACTGCTGCATGCAGACCCTGACAAGTTACTCCCATGGGAATATGGCCCTGAGAGAAAAAAGGATTATCCATCCCTAATTGTAATGTATCATTTGGTTATGTCTCAGACAGAGTGCTCCTCTTCCTTGTTTGGAAACTGGACAACTTCCTGTGTAGTTGTTGAATATAAAACAGGGAACAAAGAAGCATGAACAAAAAGCTAGCTGGTTTCTGGAGTGCTGAAATAGCAAGCTTGTTTACTTATGTTGTGAACTTCTTGTGTGGAACATGTGCTCAGAAAACAAATTGTGTATGTATCCATAAAAACAAAAACAAATAGATGAAGTTTAAAGGGGTGGATGAAATTAGCAAGGTGTCCTGTTGAGCCTATCTAATGAGGGATGTGGAAAGGAAGGAAGGAAAGAAAGAAGAAAGGGAGAAAGATCCATTGAAGATTGTTCTTCTTCTATAATTATTATCAGTAGTAGAGCTCTAGAGAAACCCACTGTTGACAAAACAGCTCCTTCAACTTTTAGCCACTTTCTACAGCCATAGTATGGCACTCCCTAGTGGTCTCCCATTACCTGAGCACACAGCACCAGCATCTTCTCCATGATTGCAATTATGTTCTCCCCAGGCTTTGAGGCGGCAGTCTCTGAGGGCAGCTTCTGTCCCTTTACATTTGACGTCATCCAGCCAGATGTTGCCTTCACCTCTTCCAAACTGAGCTCCTCGGGGAGCCGCCAAGGCTACTCCGCAGTCAAGTTCCTTGCACACGACTTGGGCACTGTTCAGATCCCAGCCATCATCACACACTGTCCCCCACTGCTGGTTGTGGAGCACCTCAACTCTCCCAGCACAGCGACTTGTACCATTCACCAGTCTGATCTCATGGGGGTCTGAAAAAGTCAAAGGAATGGTTATTTTTTCCACTTTCCAGTTCTCCAGCCTCCCTTGCTTTTGTTCCCATTTGTGGCAATCCATCCAGTAATACTGAGGTTACTCAAGTGTGTAACTGATCATTGTGAAAGCAATGCAGGTGCAGTACATGGGTCTGGTCATCTTGGTGAATGTGAACAAGAGGTTCTCTCCTTTACAACTGTGTCTTTGGCCTGGCAGGTTGGCTTCTGGAAATCTGAAACCCTATTGTCTCCAAAAGGACAAATAGTGGTTCAAACAGCTGATGTCTAGGCTCAACTGGAAAAGATTGGCTGATTTTCCTCAGACTTATGTGTAGTAGCTAAGTGGTAGCCTTAGGCAAGCTGTTATATCATCATCGTGACCCCTCTCCATGTGACTATGGAACATTCTGTTCACTGCAGATGCTTTATCAGTTGTTAGCAAAAAGGACTTGTATCTGGTTGGTTTCCCAGCTCATTATCTCCCCCATCCACTGCAGTCTAAGTTTGACAGATGGGAAAATCACCAACAATCAGCTAATCGCTGGGACTTGCAGAGGGCTTTGCAAGGGTCTTTCCTTTGCAAGACCTGACAATCAGCTGATTGTTGGACTTTGTGAAGACCTTGGCAAAGCTGTTTGCAACATGCTCCACAAGACCTGAAAGTCTTGTGGAAGGCTTTCCTAGCACCATCATTATATATCTACGCTGGCTCCCAGTACGTTTCTGAGCACAATTCAAAGTGTTGGTGCTGACCTTTAAAGCCCTAAGCCTTAAGCAGCTTTGGCCTTGTATACCCAAAGGAGCATCTCCACCCACATCGTTCAGCCTGGACACTGATATTCAGCTCCGAGGGCTTTCTGGTAGTTCCCTCACTGCGATAAGTGAAATTACAGGGAATCAGGCAGAGGTGGTGCCCACCATGTGTAGCACCCTCCATCAGATGTTAAGGAGATAAAGAACTACACAACATATAGAAGACATCTGAAGGCAGCCCTGCATCAGGAAGCTTTTAATGTTTGATATTTTATTATGTTTTTATAGGTGTTGGAAGCTACCCAGAGTGAATGGGTAACCCAGCCAGATAGGCGGTGTATAAATAATCAAAATTGTTGTTGTTGTTGTCCTCATCATCACGGCCAAAAACTTTCCTCTATCTCTTGGCCTTTGGCTTCAAACTTAGAAGTGGGTGGGATGTTTTAAATGTATTCCTCACCTTGGCTTTAATGAATGGGGGGTGGGGCCGGTGTTGTTTGGTTGTAAGTTGCTTTGAGTTGCCTTGGGCAAGAAAAAGTGACCAACAAATTTAATTGATAATAATAATTGTGACACCCCATGAAGAGCACTTTCTATAGGGCTTTGCAGGTGCCATCTGAAAACGCTATTTCAACTGAACCAGGTTGAACTGAACCTACCTGGCACCTGATGTCATATATGAATATATATATATATATATATATATATATATATATATATATATGAAGGTGTAGAACAGGTGAGCATGGTTGGTTCAACCAACCATTTGGCCCAATTAAGCCCACAGGCTGAAGGTTCCCCACTCTTGACTTAAAGAGTGCTACATTTTAAGGCTTTCATTTTGCTAGTGGCTGGAAAGCAACTCCTGCAGTGGACACCGAAGACTAGAAGATGCAAGATGGTTTTTAATGGCTTGCTGCTATGAGCTATTGTTCTGTCAGACACGTCTTCTAGGACAAAGACTAGGACAAACAATTATGGAAGTTTCAGTCTAGCTAGTCCTTGCCACTGGCTGGTAGGGAGGTGAAAAGAAGCTGAAGTTTGCAATTGCTTTTGGTGGAACTGGCACTATTTTAAATACTTGCATTGTCTTTCAGGGTGATTGCCAAACACTTCTGCCATCTTTTTAGGCCACAACCTACTTCCTTCAGAGCTTTCATCTAGATAATTTACCTTGGTAGAGTACCTGACTGTAATGAAGAATGGATTTGAACTACATCACATAGTACAAAATTACCTGAGCACTCCACACTTGCATCCCTGCTGTGGTCACAGGTATGCTCTCCCCAGGGTCTTTTTTGGCATTCACTCAGAGCTGCTTCTTTTCCTGTGCAGTTAACTCTGTCTAGCCAGATAGTACCAGATCCTTGGCCAAACCGTGCACTGCCTGACACTGTTACAGGTTGTCCACAGTCCAGTTCCCTGCACACGACGTGGGCATCATTCATATCCCAATCAGAACCACAAATTGTTCCCCACTGCTTGTTGTGATACACCTCGACCCGCCCTGAGCAGCGAGTTGTGCCGTCCACTAGGCGAAGCTCTGATGGGACAAAAAAAGAGTTTAAACACCAAAAAAGTAATCCTGCAGAGAATTCCTTGAGCAAGAATAGGTGGATAATATCACTGAAACACCTTGGGGCGGGGGGAAGTGAGCATAGGTTTGGATTAGATGACTTACAAGAGACCCCTCCCCACTCTATGATTCCATTCTTTGAAGTACAGACTTGTTGGACTCTTATTGGCGAGGATTATCCACTAATACAAAATAGTTGAACAATAATATCCTCCCATGCTCTTTGCTTCATTTCTGATTGGGGGAAAGTGTGCCTTACCTGCGCATACAACACCGGCATCTTCTGTATGGGTGCAATCATGTACTCCCCAGTCTTTTGCTTGGCATTTGCTGATGGCAGTCTCTGACCCTGTACAGTTAACGCCATCCAGCCAAATGGGACCAGTTCCTGCTCCAAAACGAGAACCTCGTGGGGCTGATATAGGAGTTCCACAGCCAAGATAACTACACACGACTGCAGCGTCATCAAGGTCCCAATCGTCATCACATATGGTCCCCCAGAGTTTATCGTGCAGGATCTCAACTCTCCCAGAACAGTGATTGGGGCCATTTATTAATCTGAGCTCAGGGGGTTCTGAGAATGAGGAAAACATTGAGAAATAATGGGCAAATTTTTTTTTGAGTTAGTTTCATGCATAACTGTTTCCACCAATTCCCTGTCCTCTGCTACTACCACAATCTTATTTTGATTCTCTGGGATGCCTACAGATATGCACAGTGTTATGAGTCTGTGGGTGCCAGAGTTTGTGAGTGCTGTATTTCCCTAAATTCCTGGATCTAGTATATGTTGGCATTTAATCAATGCTTGGAGTGTTAATTAACTGTGTGAATTAAGTGGTGTACTAGAAACTAATTTCCTGGAATCAGCAAGTGTAAAAAGCTAATGAAGACAGGCCAGCCACCCTTTGCCCTTCATTCTGGTACCCATTTAGATTTGAGGAGCAAGCCTGTAATGAGTGTGGAATAACCAGCCTCATTTAACCAAATGCTTAAGTCTAATTAATGCACAAAGAAGTTAAAGCCAGACTTAGCTATGTCACTTCCCCTCACCTTGGGATAAAATGGGCAATTAAGTCTTTGTTTCCTCCAGTCTACCTTTTCGGTGTGTGAGGACATATGAGCTGATTGCTCCAGCTTAGCCGCATGGCTTTCACCAGCCTCTTTTGTTTCAGACCAGAATGGAGTCCAAAATTAGCATTTCCCTATGCCAATAGTTTAGGAGCTTTTACCATTTTGTAACCAAGCTACATTTTACTGCCTTTGCAACCCATCTGACTGCTGTATGGAAAAGCACATGAGTGTGATCTAAGGAAGGTTTGTAAATAAACCAATTCATAGCTTTAAAAACATGTTTGTTTTTTCTATGATAGGATTAGTAGGAAACTTTGGAAGAAGCTTTCAAGCAGGTCATCTTTGGAGCTTACTTGGAGGGGCACATTTTTAAAGGTTTTACAGCCTATATTTCCATGCTTTATTTTGTTACATGTTTTGCCATGTTACATCTCTGTTGGGGTTCTTTCACCAAAGAGTACTTGGCCCAAACTTCATGGCATACGGGAATTAAAGGATTTCTCCAACAATTAGCATTGAAGATATATATATATATATATATATATATATATATGTATATATCCCTCTTTTCCCCCCCTCTTCTTTTTGCAAAGCAATTCATAGTGCAGGGGCCTCAAACATCTGAGTATTAAAGCTCTCCTACCACAACCCATATTATGGTCTCACTCCAGATTGGGTTCCTGATGCTGTTAAGGTTATATGTCATTTAGCTGCTAGTTCTAGACTAGGCACTACTTTCCCATGGTTAAATGAGTAGCTGAAATATATATTCTCCAGGCTCGGGGACAGAGTATGTGATTATTATTTTAAATTTTCATAGTTCCTTAGTTGTACAAATCCATAGATTATTACCTTCACACTCCACACCAGCATCCTTGCTATGGGCACAGCTGTGTTCTGTCAATGTTTTTGGCGGACATTTCCTTAGACTGTCTTCATCCCCTGTGCAATTCACTTGATCCATCCAGATGGGGCCAGATCCCTGTCCAAATTTAGCTGCAAGAGTTGCTTTTAGAGCAGCTCCACAGCCTACTTCCCGGCACACAACATGGGCATCAGCTAAGTCCCATCCATTGTCACACACTGTTCCCCATCTTTGGTTATGAAGCAACTCGACCCTGCCAGTACATGGAGACGAACCACCTGCCAGTCTCACCTCTGTTTAGAGAGAAAAGGGAAAAACATAATAATTCACCTTCTCAGCAAAACCAATGATCCTTTCAGTATTTCACCTTTGTCAGTAGCCCATCAGATTCCTTGTGCATGTTGAACATGGGGTGTTGATGGAATCCATTTTCTTTGGTGTGTTCCCAGAGTTCTAGAGACATAGCATCACCAGTGGACACTGTTGCTTGGTTTCTATCTGCCATTTTTAATCATCCCTGACTGACGTATCTCCTCCATGAAGTAACTCAAGGGTTATCAACCTTTCTAGGTCCAAGGCAAATTTGTTATATTGAATGAATGCTGTGGGTGTGACTCCCCCCCTCACTTTTTTCCACCCTCCCCAGATCAGAGCCCTCCCATAAGAGTTAGAGAGAGAGAGAGGATGCATGCACACCTCACTGTCCAAGGGGTCTGGGTAAAAATGAGACTCATTAGAATTAATCTGAGCTTTGAAAAGCACATAGAGCTGAAAGAGGAAGTGGGAAAGTGTGTCACACTTTTGACTTCCTCCTCCAGCTCTATTTACATTTTGAAGGCAAAAAAGGTAACCATCCTCACCACCTTATGACTAAGGGGGTGGGGTGGAGTCAATGGCTTCATGTGTTGGGATGGATTTGGAAGGTAGGTTAGGATATATGATTTATTTATTATTCTTCCTCTTACTCACTTGAGTAAGATTAGCATCTGGTTTAGCAGAGTTAAAAAATATATACCACCCTTTGCAGCATTAATGTGGAAACTTGGGACAAAGCTGTGCAGCTTTCTAAAATTATCCAGGACACCTTTGGGAGACTGGAGCTTCCCCTTTATTTATCCCTATATAAATAAAATAGCAACACAGAAGTCTGTAATGTAACAATATAAAACTATTGTTTACTTACATAAAGCTGCAGACTTAATTAAGGCAAAATAGACATCTAGATTAAAAAATACATGGTTTACAGAAAAGATGGTGCCTGTGCTCAGGGGCATACAGACCATGCATCCTATCCCTATGGCTGCATGTTGAGAAAGGTCTCAGGCAGCTTTCATTTTAATCACACTGATTAACCCCATTTTGATTTTGTAACAATAAATGCAATTCTACTTTTTTACCCAGATTGGACTCTGCATTTGATTGCTACCCTGCATTTCACTGCAACATCCCCATGATGTGCTGTGACTCTAGAACACAAATTTTGAAATTCACACCTCCATGGGCTTGTAGGGATGCACATCTGATCAAGGACATGTGTTTACCTTGCTGAATAACCTACCTGAGCAAAGAACGCCAGCATCTTCTCCGTGATGGCAGTCATTGTCTCCCCAAGCCCTTGCTGGGCATTGACTGAGGTCTGATTCTGTCCCTGTGCATCTGAGTTCATCTAGCCAGATGCGACCAACTCCTCTTCCAAAATATGCTTCACGGTGGGCTGATATTGCAGCTGCACAGCCCAGTTGCCGACATACTACTCTGGCTTCCTCGATACCCCAGCTGTCATCACAAACAGTGCCCCACTCTCCATTATGGAGCACCTCGACTCTCCCACTGCAGCGACTCGAACCATTCACCAGCCTGATCTCAGCTTGGGCTGGTTCTTCAGGAGGTGAACTCCAAGCTCCACCACCTAGGTACACAAGTTTCAGAAAGTGGATTAGCCATTTTAATTAATTTTAAATTGACTTTAATTTTAATTTCTCAGTCAAATGATCCAGATTGTGCTCCAAAATATATTTTCCTTCAGTTAGTTATACCTTTCCCACTGCTGCAAAATAAATAAGGTGTCGTAGCAGTAGCGAGCAGTTGGCTGGAGTGTTACTACACAATGAGATGAATAGCAATGATTTTATTTTATTTATTTTATTGTTTATATCTCTCTTTCTTTTAACCTAGCTGAGCTTCTCTGTCTGTCTGTCTGTCTGTCTGTCTGTCTCTCAGCATTCAGACTTGAGGTTATAATGCTAGTGCTTCTGTCCCATTCTACAACATTCCTTTTACACTGCATTTCCTGTTGCATTGTGGAACGATGTCTTTTTGATCGCTATACCATGTTGCACTAAATTTCATTCTCACCAGTGGGTGGCGTGTGGCACACGTGTGCTTCTGTTTCTCTGCAATTCACCCCTGAAAATGGTGGGAAAGAACTGTGTGCTCAGAATACGGCCCCAATTTTCATCCCATGATTTTTTGAGGTTAACAGGGTTGCAAATGGATTTTTTTCCCCCTGGAAGCAATGAACATAGTGTCGACATGCAGAGGGCCGTGAGGCCAGCTGGCTAGCCCCAGCTGGGTCGTCTCCTTCCAGCCGCCCCGCTGTGAAGACCCATCGGCCTCTGCTCCGAAGTAAATCAGCGACCCAGGCTTCAAAGCCAGGGCACATTATATTAGCAGAGCAAACTGCGCACACAGAATAGGTGTGAGGCTTATGGAAGCATACTACAACTATGGATTTATTAATCATAAATCAAGACAAAGAAACAAGTCGCCTCTTTCTTTGTCTTCTCGCGAGAGAGTCCAAAAGCAAAAGCAATAACACAGCGGAAGTTCCTCTAACGACACCAAAACAGTGCTGGAATGTAAACAGACATGTGACACGTAACAGTTCCATGTCTGCTCTTTAAGGTGGAATAGAAATTTCCGCTGGGTTTGCAGAAGCAGCTTTTATATCATGTGGAAGATTGCACATTACATGAAAATTATTAGGCAAGTAAACATCCGGAAAATGAAATGGTCTGAATGCAGCCCTGCCTTCCCCCCTTAACTTAGCTGACTTTAGCTGACCTTCACCAACAAAGTGAAGTTTTTGCACGATTCGTATATTGACAGCTTATGGACGCAGACTTTCTTTGGATAAATACAATGACATTTAGAATGAGTTTACACAGAATATACTGAGTTGTTGATAATTATATGTATATTAGGATAATAAGAACATACACATCTGTATATTAAAGGATGGTATTGTAACAATATTTTTTTTCATTCACTTGCTTTTTTCCTTTCTTCTTTTCTCAGTCTTTTAATAAATGAAATTTAATAATAATAATAATAATAATAATAATAATAATAATAATAAAGTTTTGGCACCAGGATGGAATAGCTTAATACTCAGGCTTCCGATATCCAACTCAGTTTTCTCTTATTTTCACTTCCCATGTCCCTCATCAACTGACCATTTCTTCCAATTGACAGTTAACTGTCCTGTGTTTCTCGCTCTGCCCCCACCCCCGTTGATAAACTGTCAACAAGTAGCTGCTGCTAAAGAGGCTTGCAACATATTAACAGCACAAGGCTCCGAACTTTGACAGTTACACTCTGACATCAGGAGAGGTCACAGTATTCATTTCCAAAGCACAGAACATAGACATTTGGCATTTATCCACACTATGCCATTATCTACTTTTCCAGTAGGGACAGGCAAATGGTAAATTTCAGTTACTCCCGGTTTCTCATTTTTCTAATCTTAAATTCACTCCTCCACCTCACACTGGTTTTTTTAAAAAACAACAACAACAAAAACAACCAAAAATAAAACAAAAAGTCATGTAATTTTACCAGCATTTCAGTGCAAATTTCTCATAATACACACACATTTTGTATGTGATTTTGCTTAAGAGGCTCCTCTGAACACGTGCAGCATGATTTCCCCTGCCCCACTGTCTTTTCCACTACTCCATGCCCGATATCCTTTGTACACTACATTTCCTCCTCCTCCTCCTCCTCCTCCTCCTCCTCCTCCTCCTTCTCCTTCTCCTTCTCCTCTCTCTCTCCCTCTCTCCCTCTCTCTCTCTCTCTCTCTCTCTCTCTCTCCCTCCCTCTCTCCCTCCCTCCCTCTTCCTCTCTCTCCCTCTTCCTCTCTCTCCCTCTTCCTCTCTCTCCCTCCCTCTCTTACTGGGTGATTCACAATTGGTATACCACTTCTTCTTATTTCTTATTTCCCTACTTGGGACCCCACCCCGAAATTCCCATTTGGTACAGACCCACTAGCCCTTCCCACTGTGATTTTGTAACCTTGGTACACCCCACTTCCCCCCTGCTCCCTGCTATCATGAATCATTTGACCACATTGTGCCAGCCTAACATGGTACACTTTCCTTCCTGTATTCAAGGAATTCTCTCTTAGTACACTACTTCCCCTTAACTTTCTAGCTCTCTTACACACACACACTACATCTCTTCCTGCTTCTCAGACAAACATGCATGCATACCCCCTTCCTTTCTCTCCTTAATACACCCTGAACATGTATTCCCCCACCCCAGGCACACATCCATACATTTGCATCTCTCTCTCTCTCTCTCTCTCTCTCTCTCTCTCTCTCTCACACACACACACACACACACACAGACAACTTATCTCCACTTATCTCTCTCTCTCACACACACTTTTGCTTCTATTCTGAAGTCCAATTTGCGCGCGCACACACACACATGTGTATATAAAAGATGATATAATTGAAGTGTTATGAGGGGGGGAACAGGTGAGGCCCATCTTGGGAAGCAGTTTCTGTGCAGCAGAGGTATTTTTATCCAAGAGAATTGCTGCCTGCCTAGCCCCCATCCCCTTCAGCCTTTCTGACCCTACCTTCATCTTAGCTCCCAAGGCAGCAACAGCCACAGCAAGTTCCCCAGAGGCTGCCTCAGCTCACCCACCTGCTCACTTGCTCTCACCCCTCACAGGTGAATTCCTGTCTGCCTAGCTCCCTTCCATGTGTGGTGGAGGAACCACCTGTTGGCTTTTTGCAGTATGGTAGCGCTGCAGAGAGCTTGCTGGGGAGACCATGCATTAAAAAGGGACTCAAAAATAACTTAAACAAGGTTTTAATTACAAAAACAAAAACTCCTTATACACTAAATACATCAACAACAAACCAGACCCAACCACCAACCCATCCCCCAGGGTAATGGGAGAGCTAGGTGCTGCTCCTTATATACTACACCCAATTGCTGACACAGCTTAATCAATACAACTCAGCAGCACCTGCTATGTTTCACAGCTGTAAAGCTGGGTCTCGTTAATTTGCTCTGGCCCTTGCTCTGGCCCCTTAAAGACATACACATCAGGTGGAACAATGATGAACCTTCACATTTAAAGAAACAATTCAACACCACCTTCCCTCTTATTTTATTGTCTTCTCCTCAGCTTGCCTCCCAGCAGTGGTTATGGCAGGCTTCCCTCAGGCTGCCTTGGCTTGCAGTGGTACCTTGGCTTTCGAACGTTATCCGTTCCAGAAGACTGTTCGAGTTCCAAAACGTTCAAAAACCAAAGCATTTACTTCCGGAAGCATTTTTTAATGGAAAACTCAATATGGAAAACGTGTGGCACGTCTGACTTCTAAAAGTGTTCGAAAACCAAAGCATTTACTTCTGGGTTTATGGCATTTGAGTTCCAAAACGTTCATCAATGGAGACATTCAAAAACCGAGGTACCACTGTACTGTAATGGGTTTTAGCCAATATGTGCCTCTGCTAATTGCATATGTATATAGTCGAAACTGCAAAAAATCTGCAAAGTCATGGGGTGGTAGTCAACTGTGATCTACTCTTTGGTTGAGTTTTTTCCTTCAGTTGTCTGCCTACTTCTTGATCTTTCAATCTCTCTTTAGCTTTAAAATATTGAAAGATGACAAATATAAGGATGTTATGGATAAATATTGGCAAAAGAGACATCTTGAAAAAAATGCAGAGTTTAAATGAGGAAAATCAGCCCCCCCCCCCCAAAAAGTTGATTAATGGGTAGAGCAATCCAACCAGCTTCCTGGTTGGGGGAAAAATTACTACAGGACCACCACAACATCCAGAGTTGCAATGGCTCACACCAGCTAGGCCAGGTGGAGTGTGAGGAGGCAGCCTTTTCTGCTCTTTTCCATCCATTCTCAAAAATTCATCCCACTGATGACAATTGGAGGGATTTCACAACAACGGCTCTAGGTCTGGCATCTTTTCACAATCGGCCTGGGGCCAGTCTGGAGAAAGGTAAGGCAGATTCATAGCCTCTTCTGTCCTGCTCCCATTTCTGGTTTTGCATGCATAGAAAAGCACCAACAGAGCTTTCCTCCACCACCTTGAGAAGGCCTCTGTAAAGGCAAGTGGCAAGGCAAGTTCACAGTGTCCTACGGCCCCTCAGCTATCCTTCAACAGAACAAAGGATAGCTCTCTAAATGAGATAGCAACATATGGATAGACATCAAATTAGAATAATGAACAATCAAATTAATTATTCCAAAGGTTTGGAAATAAACTGAGTTCCTTAGGAATCTCTCTGCACATTGAATTTCCTAATTTCCTTGCGGTAAGCAAGATTGGTTTATAAGCTTACTGCCCAAAGTAGAAATAATTCTTACCGACTTGCATTTGTGTTCCTATGACTATTTTTTTAAAAAAAAAGACAAACAAATCCAGCAACATCTCAAAAAACTTTGCACTATCAGCATTGTTCTTTTTCAAACAAAATAGATGGTTCTCTGAAACATTGAGCAAGCCTCAGATTTCATAACCTCTGGACAAAGGACACTTTCTCATGCAGTGCAAAACTAGAAAAAGATGAGCATAGCTCACTGACTGATTTGATCTATGAGAGACCTTGCTCTGAAACCCTGCTAACATTATTAGTACACTAGTAGCAAACCCGGAAAGCTTTAGTGCAATGGTGAGCTCCAACAAGAGGTGATTGCTCTTCTTTACACCAGCGCTGTTCCCTGGAGCCTTCCACTCCCTTTTAGAAAGCAACTACAGGTGTACAATTGTTTCTGGCCCTGAGAACCTCTTCCATCTGGATTTGTACCTTTATGTTTGGATTTCTCGACATAGTTCCTGGGTAGCCCTGTTCCTCCAGATTGTTTTGTTTTTTAAAAACCCTCCCTCTGGCAATGATCCCCGTCTTATCTGGGTCCTCCCTATATGACTGCCCTTGGGGGATGTCCTGACAGAGCAGTTAGATTTCCCTCAGGTCTGCTCCCTGGAGATGTAAGGCACTTTGTGCCAGTCCTGACACCTGGTTCTCCTCGTTGGATCAACCAACCCAACAATACTTTCCTAACAGCTTTGGCCTTGCTATGGCAATGTTGGTTGCTGTATTCAGGGCTTGGTTGGAATTCGCCCATCAGACAAATTTGCACTGGTCTGAATGGTTTTGCCTATCTTATAGCAATCATCACAAATTTTGGTGGTTTAGGCATTGGGCGACCTTAGTCTTGGATGGAGGGGAGGTTGTAGCTTCTGCCTCCCCCACCTGAACAAGGCTACCCCATTAAAGGGATCTGGGAAGGAGTTGCTTCTGTCCATATGTCCAGATGGGGGCTTGGGCCACAGTGCTCCCCTGTGGGGATCCCACTATTTGATGCAAGTCATAGGAATCCCCACTGCTGAGTTGACCCTTGATGTCATTTCTGGCAGGCTGGCCAGAAGTAAATGGTTACCCATTGCCTATGCTAAACCTTTTCATCTGCAGTCAACAAAGTTGTGGCCTGATCTGATTCCATTCTGATTGTGTGGTGTTCCTTATTTCTATCCCAGCAAGTGTCCCAGGAAGCCAGTCTAAATGTCACTAGTGGCTGACAGATTTGTTATAGCCCATTAGAAGAAGAGAAGAGTTTGGATTTGATATCCTGCTTTATCACTACCCTAAGGAGTCTCAAAGCGGCTAACAATCTCCTTTCCCTTCCTCCCCCACAACAAACACTCTGTGAGGTGAGTGAGGCTGAGAGACTTCAGAAAAGTGTGACTGGCCCAAGGTCACCCAGCAGCTGCATGTGGAGGAGCGGGGAAGCAAACCCGGTTCGCCAGATTATGAGTCCACTGCTCTTAACCACTACACCACACTGGCTCTGATGCTTTACCATGTGAGACATAGTTCGCCGATGTCTGGAACATCCCTTTGTCAGAATGCTTGACCAGACACAGATGGTTGGTCTGAGCAGAGGCTAAATCCCTTTAAGACTTTGCATTTGTGGGGTATGTGAGATAGAAAATCTCACCCATTATATACTCCATTGGGCAAGGTTTTGCCCAGTATCTTCTCTGTGTGATGGGCTCATGGGAAAAAGCTGTCCCATGCGCCCTTGCTGAAGAGGGGAGGGAAAAGCATATATAAGGCTGCTTCCGCTGGAGCTCACAGCCATTTTGCTTTGAGAGATTCCCATCTGCCCACCCTCAGGTTAGAGCCTTTGTTGAGCAATTCTGAGTCACTTGTTGACAGGGCCAGAAAGGAACTTTTCTCTCTCAAACTGATTGGCACTTGGTTGGGGTTGTTTTTTTTCACTTTTCCCTCAGTGAAATTATGTTTTTTCTTTGTTAGGTGGAAGAACGTTGTTTGTATGAGGGCAGAAATGGCATTGGTCAGGATCAACATTGTATGGGGGACCCCCATAAGGGGCCTGAGGGGAGAATTGACCATGGCAAACCTAAGCGTGGGTTCAGTATTGGAATCTGCACCCTGGTCCCCCAGTGAGAATTTGCTTGCTTGACTTGCACCACGGCAAGGTTCAACACTGGACGACTCCCATTATACAGGTTTGGAGCGATCCAAAACCAGCGGATCCATTCCATCAACATGGGGCTTGTGGAATGATGAACTGATCCTGGGACCTGATGCCATGCCAACCCTTGCCTTGACTGCTGCTGTCAATAAAGAATTGGCCTGATTTTATGCCATCACCGTTGTACAGTCTGGTTATTTTGCTGCTCTCATAATGTGCCTGGGGAAAAGACATGTAAGGACATGTAGCCACCCTATGAACGACTTACATGGCTAGCGTATATGGTCTACCTCTCCCTCTTCCCCCAGTTAAGAAGGAACACACAAGTTACTTTTCCTCATACAGTGGTACCTCGGGTTACATACGCTTCAGGTTACATATGCTTCAGGTTACAGACTCCGCTAACCCAGAAATAGTGCTTCAGGTTAAGAACTTTGCTTCAGGATGAGAACAGAAATTGTGCTCCAGCGGCGTGGCAGCAGCAGGAGGCCCCATTAGCTAAAGTGGTGCTTCAGGTTAAGAACATTTCAGGTTAAGTACGTAACTCCGGAACGAATTAAGTACTTAACCCGAGGTACCACTGTACTAATCTACAGTCTCCCTTTCTATAACTGGAGATAAAATGAACATGTCCTAGTCTTCAGTTTATAGCAGCAGCACTTAATGAAGGCTCTATCTGAATCCTACAGGAGCAAAAGTTAATTAGTGGTGAGAACACGCTGCACATGCTCATATACCCATCAGTTTGTTTTTCACTTATCCTGAAATAAGACTAAATAAGACTAAACCTGGAGAGGGCTGACTTTAGATTTTCATGGTTGGTTTTTTTATATACTGTGATGATTGAGCCTTTGCAGTCTACCAATGCATTGCAAAAAGCCAGATTATATACTCAAGATCTATTAATAGTAGGGTATAACTAAGCACTCCTGAATCCAGAGTATTGATTTGTGCTTAAGTACAAAAAAAAGTTTCATTCATCAAGTCAAGCATTCTTTGCAAGAATCCCTATAACTATCAGACACCAGACCAGCCAAAAGTAGACCACAATCCAATTTCTCATCCTATCAGGTTTGCTGGATCAGACAAAAAGCTACCTACTTCATCTTTCTTTCCAAGAGCTCCAGCAACCAGCAGGCACCATATGGTCCACCAGAATTAGTCCAGTGGGTCATCATTCCCCTTGCAACCATCTTCTAGCCACTGCTGATCTAGTGGGATCTTTAACAGCCAAGCAGTGGGATTTTGTAGGCACTGATGGTGGAACAACAGCAGTGACAGAAAGAGTTGCAGGCACCCATTTGCTAATATGCAACTTAAAAGAGACGACAAGGCTCAACTCACCCCAAAGAGATACCAAGAGAATAAGGACCATCGCCACCTGTCCCAGCCATCTTCCTAGAGAGTTCCCCGAAAAGGGGAGAGTGCAGGCAGCCATAGGTCCTAGGGACTCAACTAGGTGAGAGGAGGTTTCTCACTTGAATGGAGTGCTCAGATCCTGAACATTTGGGCTGCAGCTTGTCCTGATGAGATACGCACACAGGTCAATGCCACGGGCAAAGGTTGGGAGGCAAAATGCTCGGAAGGGGCTGGTGGAAACTGAGAGGGAGGAGCATAATCCAGTGTAACTTGGCTGACAGCTGACACTGCTGTTTTTACCATTTTGACATTGTGAAACAACTTTCGGTTCCCTCAAATGGCTGGTTTCTCGCAAGGCTTCAGTGTTTCTCTAAGGGTCTTTATAGCTGAATCCTGAGTGTATCGTTGGGGCTTTGTTTGAGTCAAGTCTCAGCCCTGTTACTAGTGCCAGGGATCCTTTATGGAATATGTGAAGGAATAACACAAGTGCCTCTGAGCATCTGAAGGGTGCCTTTCTCCCTCTAGGAAATAACATGTGCCATACTTTGAGGAATGAGGGAAGCTTGCAGCTTTGAAGAAAGCTTAAACACCAGTATTGCCCAACATCAATATGTAGCAATATCCAGAGTATGAGGAGTTGTAATAGTCCTTATTCAGTTAGTATTGCACCATATTAAGACTACAGCTCAGAGGTGGAAGATCATTTGCTTTGTATGCAGAAGATCCAAGGATCAAGCTGTAGCATCTTCAGGTTGGGGTGGGAAAGGCCTGTGCCTGAAACCCTGGAGAACTTCTGCCAGTTACTGTAGATAATACTGAGCTGGATGGACCAATGGACCAAGATGCTTCCTATGTTTCTTACCCACCAATTCATTCACTCAATAACTTTCAGTCATCTCCACTACAAGTTGTGCTGTCTTTGAAACTTAGGAGAACCAGTGGGGTTTTCTAGGGAAAGTGTGGGGAACCACCAACTAACTACATTTCCATGTGGGGCACTGAGAAAGTGAAGTCCATTTCTTGGCAACCTGCTCAGAAGCCAAGCGCTCCCTGTGCTGGTTGCTTAGGAAGAGAGAGGATGGGGAAAAGAGGTGAAGTGGTGGCAGACAGATAGAGAGGGAAGGAGAGCAACAAAAGGGATCTCCCCACTGGCTTTTGGCTCTTGTCTTGCTGACTGCCAACTCCAGTATGCCTCCTGACTATGGGTAGAAGAATCTGTTATTTTCACCTCTCTGTTTCTTGTTTTCCCAACCTTAAATTCAGCTCTCCAAATTTCTGCAGCAACCTGTAATCTATTTTTATTGTTGTTAAAGCCTCATGAAAACTATTCAGCTTTTTTGTGTGAATTTCTCCTCATAAACACATATTTGTATGCTGTTCTGATTGATGCACACCTTTTTCTAAAGTAATTTCAACTCATATAATGCATTTTTAATGTTATTTTCACTTTGTATGCACACTTTCTCCTAAGAGTTGAATTTTTGTAAAAACCGATGGGAGAACTGCATCACAAAATTCAGATATAGGTGAATTTTGAAGGATATTTGAGTTTTTGGTTCTCATGTTGTTCAGAAAGTGCAAATTTGATAGATCCAGCTTTGAATGAAAATTGAAATCAATTTCTCCCCATCCCTTATTACTTTCTTCTGGGGGAGCTAGGAAAATAAAAGTGCAACCTGAACCATTTCTTGCTGGTTACATTTCATTTGCGTATCTGTTGTAAAACACTTGCGTGTATCTTGAAGAACAACATACTCCTTCTCCCACACAGATTAGGTTGACAGAGGATGTAATCTTCCTTTTCTTCTTTGGAGGGTGAGAACCACTTTTTAAATATTGGAAGTAGTGCAATGAAAAATGAAGGTAGATTGCTGTGATATTGAAACAAATTATTTGCTCGCATATTTTGAAGGAGAAAACGTGAGCCAAAGGAGGGGAGGACAGTACAGTCCTATGATTTCTAATATTCAGTTGTGTGATCTGCTTTTAAAACGCTTGCTTTTCATTGCTTGTTTTTAACTCTTTTTGGTTTTACTTGTTTGCTTTGGTTTTAGGGTATATTTTCATTTTTGCATGTACTGCGTTGATCTTGTGTAAGCTGCCTCCTGTACTTGTAGAAAGGCAGACTATACATTTATCAACACTACCAGCACGTGTGATGATATATATCCACATCATGATATTTTAATAAAAAGATAAAATTAAAGAAAAGTAGATGCATAAGGAATGAAGGGGTAAATTAGTTCATCTGCTTGAGGGGGACCAAAACACAAGCAGCTGTTAATTCATTCACTTATTCATGCACACATTCATCGACCAGTGAGATTTTCCTTTGTATCCATAGCTTACGGGATGATGAGAGAACTGTGTCAGCCAAAGTGCCTTAAACACGAACATGTTGACATTTTTGGAAGCGGTGTGATCAAACAGGGAACTCTTGGCGATCGAGGCATTTGTTTGCAGAAGCAAGTCAAAAAACAACAACTCTAACTTTCAAACCATGCACAAACATGGCAGAGGGAATTGCCCAACAGGAGGAAGCTGATTCTCTCACCTATCACATGAATGGGACGTGTGCAAATGCTTTGGCAAAGACCAATCCTAGTCAACAGTTTCTCCTTCTTCTCTCACAGTATGAACTGGTGTGCTAAGGGCTCACGGAAACAGAACTTGAGCCCAGAACCTGTCTTGAGCACAAGGACTCAACTCTTGGTAGGCTCAACCTAACTTAAAATGGCAGACTAGGCAACTCCCTAGAGTGCTAAAATCCTTGGGGGTACTTTCTTCAACTAAAATGTTCTTAGAGAGAAATCTACTGCTTGTACTTGTGGAGGCAATGCCGAAAGGCAGCTCGGCAACTCATTTCTACTGAAGAAGCAGGCTCACAGTATGGGTGTGCTGTTAGACTCACCTCTGGGGATGAGTTGGTTGCTCAAGTGTTTTCTGTGCTTTGTAGCACGTTTTACCAGCTTGGGTTGTTAGGCAAGCTGCTGCCCTTCCTTGAAATCTGTGAAGCAGCCACAGTTGTATAAATTCTGGTAACTATGCCACTGCAATGTAGGGCTAGAAGCTTAATTTGGTTAAGGACACAGCAACAAAACTGGTCATTGGTTTAAATTACAGAGAGCACATCTTCTTGGTACTTAAAGCAGGGGTAGGTAACCCACTGCCAGCGGGCCAAATATGGCCTGCCAAAAGGTTTTGAGTGGACTGCAGAGACCCTGAACCATTATGCGGCTTTCTAAAATTCTGGGTGATTTACCCTCCACATTTTTCTGAGGTTAATTACATTTGCTGGGCTTCTCAAGTGCCCTGGGGCATTTTGGGGGCTACTATTAAGCTCACATCCACAGATTTAAAGTACCCTTATTCCACTTCAGCAGTCATGAAGAATCCTGGGAAGTGTAGTTTGTTAAGGGTGTTGGCAACTGTAGGTCAGTGAGATCAGCACCCCAATAAACTATAGTTCCCAGGATTCTTGGGGGGGGGGGAGCCATGACTGTTAAAGTGGTATAAAAAAGGTAAAGAGACCCCTGACCATTAGGTCCAGTCGTGACCGACTCCGGGGTTGCGGCGCTCATCTCGCTTTATTGACTGAGGGAGCCGGTGTACAGCTTCTGGGTCATGTTCCCAGCATGATTAAGCCGCTTCTGGCGAACCAGAATGCTTTAAAAGTATTGTGTGAATGTGACCATATTTCAATTGGGGCTTCTAGGGAAATATGCAGGACATTTAATGGATTGCTCTTTGTTGCCGCTTACCAGTGTTCTTAACAAGGCTGCTCATTAGTAGCCTATTTGCTGCTGGTTCCATTGTTTCCCCTGCTTCAGGAGAAACAATAAATCTGGCAATGAAAATACTGCATTGGCCCAAATATAAAGCGCACCCGCACCTTTAAAATTCAAGGGGGCGGGGAGAATACCCGAATATAAGCCGCTCCCTTAAAATTCCGCAGGCATTCACACTCGTAAATGGCAAATGTGGAAAAAACTCCTATGGGTACTAGAGAGGACCCACAAGTGAAAGCGATGAATGACATAAGAATTAATTGCACAACAGTCTCAGACTCGCAAATCGGCAATAAAACATTTGGTTCCATTTTACCGTATGTCTGTTTTAGCAGTGATATCGTAAAAGCCCATTTTTGTAAGGCCACGAATTTAAGCTGCACTTTAACTTTTCATGGTTGGAATTTGGAGGAAAACGTGTGGCTTATATTCAGGCCAATACGGTGTGTGATGAAATCAGTGCCACCTTTTGTACGATTGGCAACCCTTTTTGAGCCCTAAGACGCATTCCCTTCTGAGCAATCTTTTGGTTGCTGGAGGCAAAAGGCAGCAGATCAATGAATGTAAAAACAAAATTAAAAAATTCATTCCAGTAGCACCTTAGAGACCAACTAAGTTTGTTATTGGTATGAGCTTTTGTGTGCATGCACACTTCTTCAGATACACTGAAACAGAAGTCATCAGACCCTAATATATAGTGAGAGGGTGAGGAGAGGTATTACTCAGAAGGGTGATGGGAATGGGTGATTGGCTGATAGGCGTGGTAAACCTGTTGATGACTGTTAACGACTGCAGTTGGTCTTACAGGAAAAAGCAAGGGGTGAGATGGCTAAAGATAGCTTTATCATGTATAATGAGGTAAGAATCCAGTGTCTCTTTTCAGACCAGGTCTTTCCATGGTTTTAAGTTTGGTAATAAGATGCAATTCAGCAACTTCTCTTTCCAGTCTATTTCTGAAATTCTTTTGTAATAAGACAGCTACTTTGAGATCTTGTATAGAATGTCCTGGGAGATTGAAGTGTTCTCCTACTGGTTTCTCTATCTTGTGATTCCTGGTGTCAGATTTATGTCCATTTATCCTTTGAATGTAAAATTCACCTTTATATAGGCAGTTTGTTTCTGCACACACACCCCTCTCTATCTTCCATCCAGGGAAGTAAGAATATTTATCAGAATTCAAGGACCCATTCCAGCCAGGCAAAGATGCTCAAGGAGAAGATTCATGGGGGACATAGTCAAATGCTTTGCTGAAGTTACGGTATGTTATTGTCCATGGCATTTCAGTTATCCACCTAACTTGCAACTCTATCAAAGATGTATGCTTGGAAACATCCAGTTCAATCTCTTACAGAATGAGAGAAACACATTCCTATTCATACCAACAGCACCAGGAAGCAGCCCTTCATTCCTGTACTGTTGAAATGCTAAAACTCCAGAAAAAACGAATAAAGTAAAATCAGTAGGCACCAAACACCAAAACTCAGAAATGTCAGATAATGCCTGCTAGTAGATTACTTTCTGCAGTACACGTAGGATGAAGCTGTCAGCGCATCTCCATGTGATATGAAAAGCAATCAAAATTGTTTTAATTGCTTAAATTTTAATTGATGAGACTGACGTATATTTCTCTGATATATATATTTGATAAACGTGCCTAACCAGTGACATGTATTTTTTTTAATACACTAGATGTTCCTGAGTTTGCAATTATTGTTCCCTTCAGAGTGGATTATGATGAATCTGCAATTATGGAATACAGTGCTTCCTCATCGTGACTTAAGTTTGGGTCAACCTAAGATCTGTATGGCATTTAGTAGTTCTATACAAAACAGGAAATCAGCTAGGAGCAGACATATCCTGAGCTGTTCACAGAGCATTGTGCAAATTTCAGCTGAGAATGCTGCAATGTAGACACATATCTTTTTTTCAGTGGAAAATAAAAGATTTGTATGGGGATGGGACAGGAAGCGAGAAATTTCCTAATTCTGAACAAATAATTGCTTTTTGTTTACCCTGGCAGAAAGACATGTAGACAGATTATTTCCCAAGATTTGAGGCTGAGTGGGATTTGTTAGCTTGTGTTTTTAAAAATGTTTTTCAGGCTGCTGAATCCAAATTTGTCCACATCTTAACATGCAACACTAAATCAAGAGTTGCAGTCAACATAGCTGATACCGATTCTGTATCACCACAAACATGCTCTGACAGCAACAGCGTTCAGGCACTTTTGACAAAAGTTTGAAGGAAAGCTGGAGAGAACCACTGGAACAGGCTTATCTCTGGACACAAGCTCTACAGGGAGGGCAGGGAACGGTTTATTGCAGGTGATGTTGTTCTGCATGTCACAGAGGACAGAGTCCAACGAGCTAAAAATCCCGAAAGGGCAGATTCCTGCACAGAATTGTTGTGGTTGGTAGTGGTACTGGGCCCCAAGAGTAATTTAGTACCGGGTATGTGTTATCATCTCCATGACCAAAATGCTCAGTGTGAAATGGAAATGGAAAAGGCAAAGGAAATAAATGAGGCATCCAAGAAAGCAAATGCTATAGTAATACTAATAGTAGTAGTAGTAGTAGTAGTAGTAGTAATTTATTTATACCCTGCCCATCTGGCTGGGTTTCCCCAGCCACTCTAGGCGGCTTCCAACAGAACACTAAAAACAGAATAAAGCTTCAAACACTAAAAACTTCCCTAAACAGGGCTGCCTTCAGATGTCTTATAAAAGTCCAATAGTTGTTTATTTCTTTGACATCTGATGGGAGGGCATTCCACAGAATGACTGCAATTACTCTCACATAAACTGGCTACCCATGTGTTCCAGTCACAACAAAGACATACAGTTTCTAAATACCCTAAACAACTATGCCCTAGAACAGTTAAACTGAGCAGTGGTGACACTGGGCTTAGTTTTAAGTGATACCCAGGACCTGGTGCAAGATGTGTTGTTGAAGCAATTAGGAATGGAGACAAAAGTGAAATCTAATTCAATATATAGGCAAATGGGTAATTCACTCCAGAAAAGGGAAATTCATCTCAAATAAGTGATTGGATTAAAGCAAATCAAGAGAACCAAGTCTCTTGAAAATTCTTGGGAATTCTTAATTATCTGTATATTAGAAGCTCAGCTAGAATTTACACCACACAGCATGAAAAGTACCACCAGGGCCATGAAGATGCCTGTGTGATTAACAAGTAGTTTCACCCACTGACCACCCATGGCAAGAATGACACCACAGTGTCCTAGGGCCCCTCAGCTATCCTCCAGGGGAACATAGGACAGCTCCCTAAATGAGATAGCAACATATGGATGGACATCAAATTAGAGTAATGAATAATCAAATTAACTACTCCAAAGGTTTAAAAATAAACTCAGTTTCTTATGAATCTCTCTGTATATTGAATTTCCTAACCTCTTCTGTGGTAAGCAAAGCTGGTTTAAAAATCTACTGCCTTAAGCTGCATTTTAAGCTGAATTTTAAACTGTATTTTAACTTACATTTTAATCAACTTTTTATTTTTGTTTTTACTGTATTTATATACAGTGTTAGCTGCCCTGAGCCCGGTCTTGGCCAGGGAGGGTGGGGTTTAAATAAATTATTATTATTATTATACAGTTAGAACTGGATATGTAACAACTGATTGGTTCAAAATTGGGAAAGGAGTACGACAAGGCTGTATATTGTCTCCCTGCTTATTTAACTTATATGCAGAATTTATCATGCAAAAGGCTGGGCTGGATGAATCCCAAGCCAGAATTAAGCTTGCCGGAAGAAATATCAACAACCTCAGATATGCATATGACACAACCTTGATGGCAGAAAGTGAGGAGGAATTAAAGAAAATTAAAGAACCTTTTAATGAGGGTGAAAGAGAGTGCAAAATATGGCCTGAAGCTCAACATCAAAAAAAACAAAAAACAAACAAAGACCATGGCCACTGGTTCCATCACCTCTTGGCAAATAGAAGGGGAAGAAATGGAGGCAGTGAGAGATTTTACTTTATTGGGTTCCATGATCACTGCAGATGGTGACAGCAGTCACGAAATTAAAAGACGCCTGCTTCTTGGGAGAAAAGCAATGACAAACCTAGACAGCATCTTAAAAAGCAGAGACATCACCTTGCCAACAAAGGTCTGTATAGTTAAAGCTATGGTTTTCCCAGTAGTGATGTATGGAAGTGAGAGCTGGACCATGAAGAAGGTTGATCGCCGAAGAATTGCTGCTTTTGAATTGTGGTGCTGGAGGAGACTCTTGAGAGTCCCATGGACTGCAAGAAGATCAAACCTATCCATTCTTAAGGAAATCAGCCCTGAGTGCTCACTGGAGGGACAGATCCTGAAGCTGAGGCTCCAATACTTTGGCCACCTCATGAGAAGAGAAGACTCCCTGGAAAAGACCCTGATGTTGGGAAAGATTGAGGACATGAGGAGAAGGGGACGACAGAGGACGAGATGGTTGGACAGTGTTCTTGAAGCTATCAGCATGAGTTTGACCAAACTGCGAGAGGCAGTAGAAGACAGGAGTGCCTGGCGTGCACCCATGGGGTCACGAAGAGTTGGTTGGACACGACTAAACGATTAAACAACAACAATTATTATTATTACTGCCCTAAAGGGGTCCATACCATTTCAAAGCAGGAAGAATCCTTGCCTACTTGCCTACTTGGATTTGTGTTCCTTTGACTGTTTTTTAAGAAAGACAAAGAAACCCAGTAACATCTCAATAAAGGCAAATTCAATGACGAATGTCACGTTTACTTCTCTTTTCATAAATGAAAGTTCCATCTTTGACACAAGTCCTCAATTTACTTTGCACTATCAGCATTGTTTTCCCCCGAACGGAATGGATGGTTCTCTGAAACATTGAGCAAGCCTCAGCTTTCATAACTTCTGGAGAAAGGACACTTTCTCATGCAGCACAAAACTAGAAATCATGTGTACAATTGTTTCTGGCCTGAAAACCTCTTCCTCCAGAGGATCTGGGTTTCCTCCAGAGGATCTGGGGTCCCTAACGTAGTTCCTAGGTAGCCCTGCTCCTCTAGATTTTTTTGTTTTGTTTTTAAAAACCCTGTGTCTGGCAACGATCCCTGTCTTACCTGGGTCGTCCCTGTATAGCTGCCATTTCTTCCTATATACATAAAAATGTATAGCTGTCATGAAACAGTCTGCCTTGGAGGATTTGTAGTGCTGAACCACAGTCCTGGATTTGCATGAGGTCAGGGGAGGCGAGTGGAGGGAATGAGAAGGCAGGTTTTAAACAAGAGCAGAGGGTGGAATAAGGCAGGAGCTGGAGACACACAGAAGTGCTGTGCAAATATGAGGGAACCTGAAGGAGCTGTGAGGATATGGAAGTTTGTGTGAGGTATAAAGGAAGGGGGTTGGGGCTGGCAATGGGGTGTGGGGGTTAGGCTTAGGTGGCATTGGAAAGCAGCAAGAGCACAGGCCCTAGTCCTCCCCCCCTTATATACCGGTATATAACATCACACAGGGAAAGTTATGTGTGTAATGTCATGTCCAGTTTGGCCCCAATGCATTTTGCTTGAGTGTCTTTCCTAATTTGGCAGCCTTGTTGTAGACAACGATCAAAGTCTGTTTCCCTTTACTTTTAGCCTCCATCTCCCTTTTAATTCTAGCAGTCTGGGAGTGTTCTAAGAACTTCATCTTGATGTTACAAGTGGCTGCCATATTTGTTATTTCCTGCTACTGGAAGTCTTCTTATGCTTTACTGTGTGAGGCATGGTTCAACGAAACACTGCTCACCTTCTTGTGGACGGCAGTTGTGGCACTGCACAATACACTGCTGGTGCCAGGCAGCAGCCACTGGGATGAATGTTCAGTAGACATCTGGAAGTGACTTATACCCATAATTCCTTCTCAGGCAGCGAGGGAAGCAAAGGAATAGCAGCAGACACTCACATAATGGCAAGAGATACTAGCTATTGTTGCATTTGCTATACAGTGGTACCTTGGGTTATGTACGCTTCAGGTTACATATGCTTCAGGTTACAGACTCTGCTAACCCAGAAATATTACCTCGGGTTAAGAACTTTGCTTCAGGATGAGAACAGAAATTGTGCTCCGGCGGCATGGCAGCAGCAGGAGGCCCCATTAGCTAAAGTGGTGCTTCAGGTTAAGAACAGTTTCAGATTAAGTACGGACCTCCAGAATGAATTAAGTACTTAACCTGAGGTACCACTGTAGTCACAAAGCTAACCAAGCCCTAGATGGCAGTGCCAGTCTTCTCCCCAGAACAGTCCCTTGTGTCTCATAAAAGCTACTCTGTACTTTTGGGGGATTCCTTCCAACTGCTTAGGATGTGTTAAAAAATTGGGCATGTCAACTTGTATGGGCTGTGCCTCATTCAGTTTCTACCAACTCTTATTACTACTGCATCTCACTGTGCCGCTTTCAAGGCATAGGGTGCTATAACGTGGAAGGGGACAGAAAAGCATCTTGCATATGCAGAGTGCAACTTTCACTACTCTAGATCCAAGTCTGGGTTCTGTCCTGTGCTCAGATCCTGCTTGTAGGCACTGGGTTTGCCACTGTGAGTACAATACTGTGAGGTACGTAGGTTGGGCCGAGAGGCTGTAATTGGCTCAAGGTGACCATGTGGGCTTTAAGGAGAAGCTGAGGTTTGAATCTGATATCTGAGTGTGTTAATCTGTGCATTGGGCAGGTGGACTTGTGGCAACGCAGAACTTACACAATGATCCTTGGTATCTGAATTGGAATGCTAAAAGCAGGCAACCTCTTGAAATTTCCACAGAGCACAAAAGCACCACAACTTGATTATTCGGTGCTTCCTTCTGGGGGGGGGGGCTACAGAGTGATGTGTTTAGAAGCCTGGTTTATTTTCAGATAAAGCAAAATTTCATCACTAAACTGGCCAGGATGGGGAGGGGAAGGTTGCCATATTTCAAAAAGTAAAAACCAGGCCACTCTGAAAGTTCTTGAGCCTTTTTTTTTAAACAAAAATGCCAAAAAAAACCCTGC